TGACAGGGACTCTCGATACATCAAGGGCTTTATGAAGGAAACGAATCGGATGTTGGGCGTGGAAATGAATCCGGGGACCGCATATCACCCCATCACGGATGGGCAGACGGAGCGTATGAATCAGGAGATCGAACACTATCTCCGCATTTACGTCAACTACCATCAGACGGACTGGTCGGAGTGGCTGGGAATGGCGGAGTTCGCATACAACGACAAAATGAACACGTCTACCAAAATGTCGCCGTTCTATGCTAATCACGGATATCACCCATGGAAGGGAGTGGAGCAGCGGATGGAATCAAGGAACGAGTCGGCGGAGGAATTTGTAAAAAGGATCAAAGAAATACAAGACGAAGCAAAAGCAGCATTGGAAAAAGCAAAAGAAAAAATGAAAAAATACTACGATAAACAAAGAAAAGAAGTTCCGGAGTTGAAGGTTGGGATGAAGGTGTACATAGAAGGGGAAAATATCGAGACGGATAGACCATCAAAGAAGATGAGCGACAAGAGATTGGGACCATACGAGATACTGGAGAAGGTTGGAGCGGCCGCATGGAAGCTGGATTTGCCGGACACGGACCGAAGACACCCGGTGTTCAACGAGTCACTGTTGACACCCTATCACGAACCACCCCCCCATCGCCGAGAGAAGAGACCCGTGGCCAAGATGATCGGAGGAGCAGAGGAGTGGGAGGTCGAAGAAATCGTGAAAGAGCGAAAAGTCGGCCGAGGAAAACAGTACTTGGTCAAATGGAAGGGATGGCCGCACAGCGAGAACACCTGGGAACCATCACGTCACCTTACCCACGCAAAGGACGTCCTGAGAGACTGGCAGAGGAAACAATCAAATCCAGACACACGCATTCGCCTCCTGCCAACGCTCGAAGCTGGACACTGGGACTATCTTATTCATCGCTATAAACCCAGGGATGAGCGCCTCCCCTATCCCCAACGACAACTCTTTGACCCTTACGAGAACGTCTTCACGCCCATTGGCCTAGTCGATGAGGACATCGACCCTAGAGAGGGGGTAATGTCATAGTTCGGCCACTTTTTCATCTTATCTTCAACGATCTTATCTTATCTCGGCACGGCTTATCTTATCACGGATCACGGCATCAGACGGCCCGGGCTAGGGGTTTGAGGGATTATCCTTATCGACTCAAGGCTGCGCGACATATGCTCCGGAAGGTTCTACTACAACCCATGACCAGTGTTCCATGCGGTACATAGCCCTATGACTCATTAGTTGTAGATATGACTCAGACTGGATTTGGGTATAAATACTGTAGCTACTTGGTTGTATTCTCCAGTCTTCGAATTCACTTCTCTTTTCGACTTTGTTTTTGGGTTGATTATCACAGCTCGAAGGCGAAGACGGTCCAGATGCCACCGGGGCGGACGACCCCACCTCAAGCCCTGCACGTGCTCCCACCATCACCCCCGTTCGCACCCCCGTCCGCGCCCCCGCTCGCACCCCCGCCCGCGCCCCCGCCGACACCCCCACCCGTGCCTCTGCGCGCACCACTGTTCCCTCGTCTCCTGCTGACTCCCTGGCTCAGTTGCGGGCACGGGCTCCCCCACGTCACCCCCTTCAGCCGCTGGAGACGGCTCCGATGTCGCAGCGGGAGGTTGAGGAGGGCATCCAGAACATCTTGGATGCTTTGGACGGTCCTTCCACCTTGCGCTCAAAACGGACGATGAAGGTGAACCGCTTGTGGGACAACCTCCTTGACGACCTGAGCGCGTTGTCAATGGCTCAAGTCGGGAGCGAACCGCTTGGTACGTTGACAAGCATGAGCCAAAGGACGTTCCCATGGAAGACCGCCGGTCCGGCGCTTTTCAAGGCAGGGTACATGGTCCTCGGATGGCCCCATCTTCTTCCCCTTCCGACGAAGCTCGGACACGCAGACAAGGGCATTCGCTCGTTGCCGGCATTGCAACAGAGCTCACTGGCGGCCGCCATCAAGTTCTCCCTGAACGAGGTCTTCGAGGGGCGCGAGCCAGCGGGTATTTCCTTTTTTGGCAACGACTGCCGCGATCCCCGTGAGCGCTTCCTGATAAACACCTTTTGGCACGAATTGACCTTCATTCCAGGAATGCCCGTGCTCGCTGCGTTCCCCCAGCGCGTTGGAACAACCATTGCTTTCAGTGGTTCCGAGTTCGTCCTCGGGGTGACTGGACAGGGGGACCCGTGCTACTTCAGGCTGAACCTCTTGGACCCAGACCCAACGCGACGATACTTGGACTTCAGCATCGTGGTGAAGAACGAAGCTGGGGACTACGCTCTTCCTGTGGTCTCCCAACCGGCTTTGCATGCACCTGGGGCTGCTCCTGTCGTATTGAGCTCACCAACGCGCAAGCGCCGTGGTCACCTCCCCGCCGCACCCCCCGCCGCAACCCCCGCCGCACCCCTCGCTGCACCCCTTGCTGCACCCCCCGCCGCGCCCCCCGCCGCGCCCCCCGCCGCACCTCCCGTCACTGACGCAGCGTCGTCTCCCATGCCGCAGCCTGCCTTACCCCCGCCTGCTGTCAACAAGGCCAGTGGGAAGAAGCGCAAGGCTGATCCCGTGGACATTCCCGCTCCCCGTCGCAATCCGAAGCGTGCCAAGGCCAGCACTGCTGCCCCACCTCAACCGTCGCACCAAGTTGGTGGAGGCAAGCAGCGTCAGGAGTCGACACCGGCCTCGGAATACGTCCCAACTGCGTCTGCTCTCTCGGAGACATCGGATGCTCAAAAGGAAGGTCCTGCCGGTCAGTACCTCGCTACCCTATATGGACATGACAATCTTCCCCTCGGCTTCATTCTCCCCAAAGAGAAGCGCAGATCTAAATCATTTCCAGTAGTTCTGACGCGCAAGCTGCCGCGACAGAACAAGCGTCGCTATCAAGAGATGAACGCGCCGTCCCCCGAGCTCTCTTCCCCTGAGAGTGAGGAGGAAGTGGCAAAGACACCCCCACAGAAACGCCCTCGCCCCCGCCCTCGCCCCCGCCAAGTCAATGCAGTTGCCAGCAGCTCACAGCAAACGCTGGACGATCCCCCTGCTGCGCGGGCGCCTCGCGCTGCCACCAAGAAGCAAGGGGCTGTTGTTTCAGCTCAAGCTCCGACGTTGGTGTCACAGTTGACGCCAGCCAACGTAGGAACGGCGGCACCCTCTTCAGCACCCCCCGCGGCACCCCCCGCGGCACCCCCCGCGGCACCCCCCGCGGCACCCCCCGTCGACACCTCCGCCGATACCCCCGCGGCCACTGCTGCTGCACCCACAGCGTCGACTTCCACGGCAGCGACTGGATCGACCGAGACTGCCGCCGCTGCTCAAGTGACTGATCCCGCCACCGCTCTGCTTAGCTTTTTCTCTGCCCCGTCCTTCCAAGCAATGATGGCAGGTGCTATTCGCAGCGCAGTCCAGGAGGAGCTCGCGAAAAAATGAAGGTGTTACGTTCAATTTTGCATGTCCTTTCTTGATTGTGGGGTTTATCTGCATACATTCATCCGTATATTAGTTTCGACATATTTTTTTACAACGTCCTGTTGTACATCTTTCATACACGACATCGATCTGCCCCCCCCCCCTCTTCTGGCTATGGAATTTTAAGGGATGGATTTTCAGAAGCTGAGTTGCACCATTACATGGTCAGGTAATGAATGCTTGAATAGTAGTGCCTTCTGACCCCACCCAAAAACATACTGTTCATGCTTCCACACCTCCCTCAACATTCATCGAACTTGAGGGGCCTTTAATTCTCTCAAATGTCAATCAGCAGTATTCAGTGCACGGAGTTCAATCATGCAAGCTTTCACTGACCCCTACCAGTCCCTGACAGTGAACAGTTTCATTGGGAGCTCTCATTCCAGACCGAAGTGGTGTAACGCTGTTTGTCAAAGAAAATTTCCATAACCGTCCTCTTCACGCTTCTAGAGCAAGCCAGGCCAGCAGATTACTAGGAGCAGCCCAGCGCTTACCCCCGCACGCACCCCCGCACGCACCCCCGCACGCACCCCCGCACGCACCCCCGCGTGCACCCCACAACAACAACAGATTGTGTACAACACCAAACTCATAGTCAAGGGCGATTTAGGACAAGTTGAATGGTCTAAAATTTTGGGATTCCATGATACAGAGCCCTGAATCATGTGGAAATACCACTAGGATTATTTTACCCTGGTTATTTGAATTTCTTTCTGTGATCAACATCATAATCCCCGGCGTGAGGCAGAGTTACACAGTGCAGAGCTTCTCAGGGAGCAGAGTAGTACACTCTGTAAAAGCTGTTGTTTTTCCTCAAAAAGGCGGCTACAATGCAACGAATACCACGAGTGGTTAAACATGGAACTGATCAACCGCACGGGTGACCCCGCAAAATGATGGGAACATTCCCATCATTACCGCAGTGCGGCGGGCATTTTGCGCTCAGCGCTTCACTTTCTTAATTATCGAAGCTAGACACAATTGGGATAGCATCGGAATTTTTTCCGGCAGCCATTTGGTTTTTTTTTGCGCCCAGTCACGTGACCGTTTTGGCCGCCATCCGCTGCATTGTGCGCCATCGTGGAGAGCATGCAAAAACCCGACCAAATGGTGGCAAAATGGCCGGGATGAAGTCACGTGAATATGCGCCCGCCACCCGCCGTGGCATGCGGGAGGTCGGTAATGACCCCGCCCGCACCCCCGCCAGCCCCCGCCAGCGTTTTAAAATTTTTGGTTCCATCTGTCACGTGCTTTTTTCGCCCGCCATCCCGCCCGCTCGGTGCTTCCACGTGATTGATTTTTTTTTCCCGCCCAGCTACCCGCTCTTACAGATGTAGACAAGTCACATGTATATATTTTCGTTCACCCCCCCCTGCTGACCCCCGCATATGCCCCCGCCCCCAAATGGACCAAATCCCCCCCGCGGGCCCCGCAGGGGGGTACCTTTTAGGTACCCTCAGAGCTACGTCTGAGGGTACCCAGGAGGACCCCCGCGGGGGTGCAACCGGGTGATGGCGGTGGTAACTGAGGTGGGCATTCACCATCGCCCAAATGTCGAAACAATACAATACCTCATGGATTCAGCTTCACTAGAATATGTATAACTCATTTTTTATCCATTTCGAACGGAAATCATACCCAATAGGTGGTATTAAAAACCCTTGAGAGTGTTTTTGTGATGAAAAATGCTCTCTGTAATTTTAAGTCAAGTCCACCCTTCCAGTGGTCAACGAGCTCGAGACAATCACCTCCCAGGCATCATAGAGGCCTATGATCCAAAAACAAGCTTTCAGGACGTCTACATATCAAATTCTATTCAAATACAACTAATCCATCTCAAAATATCAGGGATTGACCAGCGCAGACAGCGTTGGATGTGCTTGCGGCGGTCTCCAGAGGTGGCTGTGCTTTGGAGTGCCGCAGAGATGTCACATGCGTCACACTGGAGTGCCGCAGACTCTTCTGGAGTGCCGCAGACTTGTTTGGAGTGTCGCCAGAGGCCCCGCAGGAGTGCCGCGGTGTGCTGTGGAGTCTGCGGCACACTGTTCTGGAGTGCCGCAGGAGTGAGATCTCCATCGCTGCCGCCAACGACAATGACGTCTGGAATAGTCCCGCTGCCTGCGCGGATCATTCCCACGTCCATCAACGTCTCAGCCGACGTGGACAGCATGTTGATCATCATCGTTGCCGTCGAGATAATCATGTGGAGAATTTGGAGTGCCGCAGGAGTGCCGCAGGGTTGCTCCTGCGGCACTCCGCGGCACTTTCAGTGAGCCCCATGTACATCGGAGGCATGGCACGACATCGGCCGACTCCTTTTGGTACAACGCCAACTAGGGCAATTTCTTTTCAATCCAGCGACGATGGTGTGATTACTGGAGGCGTTTCATTAGGAGCTATCAGAGATTGCAACATAAGGGACACTCACCACTTCGTCGACTGGACGCTTGTCGTCAGCCTACTGAGACATTACGGTCTCGGCAACGACGGATTTCTTCAGCCGCAGCGTCTCCCTTGGGCCCTTGTGCAGGAGCGGGAACTTGCGGCGCTGGAAGCTGAGTGTGTCGAGCAGCAGAGTCCATCGACTCGGGTGAGGCACCCTTGCGTCGATAGCTGAGTTTGATCGTAAGCTCCGGCGTAGAGGCGCAGGCGGAAGGATGTGGGACTCACTGCATACAACGACATCTTGGCAGAAGCTGATTGCACCTTTGAGGTTCTCCTCGTCCTCCTCGTCCTCCTCGTCACCGCAGAGAGTGGATGTGTCCGAGATATCGGATGCGACCGAGTCCCGTCGGGGCCGAGTCTTCATAATAGACTTGACGGAACTCGGCGCTCGGCGGCGGTGGGAAGGGACGCGAGTGGGAGCAGAACCCGAGGCGACGTAGCCGGGGATAGTAGAAAATGTGGTGCGTGTGTACATGGTGGTTGTGGCAAAGGTTGTTTTGGATGGAAGTCGGGACTGGGGTGTCCTTATATGCACGAGGGATGGGACCCTGATTCAGAAGTAAAGCGGCAGTGCAGTGAGACATGTCTCGGTGGATGCGGCTCAGAAATACCTGTCTCCGTCCTCAATCTCATCCAGGAATACAACACGAGCCCACTTACCCTCCGTCTAGCTTCCTATTCTCACCGAGCGTCATGCACATCATCGGCAAAGCTGGTAAAGCGATATGATGTCCCCATTGGATCTTATCTTTCCTCTGAACAGATAGGGGCTGATTGGACTTGACATCATCGGTTTGCATTAAGACAACACCGAGATCCCCTGTCTTACGCGAGTAGGGGCGAGAGCGGGATGTTTCAGTCATAAAATGAGACTTTTCACTCGCTGAGATGCCGCCGGTGTGCGATACAGACAGCGACTTTGATGGATGCTTACAAGTATGAATAATCCGCGTGTCTTCCTGCTGAGATTCCAAGTTTCCAGTCAGCCTGTCGTCAATCGTTTCAAGACAAAATTGAAATTTTCGGCAAGACCGGGAAGGCGAAATCAACCCGCTCTTTGGTCCGTGGAAACAAATTAAGACAGAACTCAAGTTAGGGGTCTTTCACGATCTAGCTACGTCATAGATTTGGCACAGCCTCATCACGTGGATCTGAGGCCTTAACTGGGCTCGATCAACACAGATAGGGGCTATCTAAGGATACTGGTCGGTCTGAGATAGATTCTAGTGGTGTGCGTTGCAGTGTGCCGAGTGAAAGACTGTCGCGAAGCTTGCTTCAGACTGATGAGCGCATTACTTATTCAGATGCAGCGGGGTGTTCCAGGTTGTCCGTGCAAATAGTCGAGAACAACGGCGCACATACTCCGAGCCAGATGATCTATAGAAGTCAAATGACGGTCATAGTTGAGTTTGTCAATCTCGCATTCACTATGTAAGCTACTGATAGCCTGGATGTGAGGAGCTAGTAGGTATTATCGTAGCTCTGCCTCACTGCGGTTGTTCCGGCTTTTTATATTTGTGAGTTCCCTCGCCATCTAGATCCCACTTGCCGATAGCAAGACTGTAGAGTGGTCAGCTGAATACGGCGCAGATGAGAGAGCACGCACTCGAAGACGGCCATGATCGTCCACTTACGGTTATCCGCTTCAGGGAACACGAGCGAACGAGGGCCATAGAACACCTCATCGTCGACCTCGTTCTTTTTCCGAGGTAAACAATGCATGAATTTCCAGTTGGGATTGGCGCCTCCTTCTCGGCAAAGCTCCTCCGTCACCTGGTATCCAGCAAAGTCTTTGTACCTCTGCTCGGCCTCGGCCTCCTGTCCCATTGAAATCCATGTGTCTGTGATGACCACATCGGCACCACGGACGGCTTCCTTGGGGTCCTCTCCCCACCAGATGTGCTCGTCGCACCCGAGCTCCCGCACCCGGTCCCACACCGCAGCAGGGGCACGGTATTTCGGGTCAGCAGGGGTCGCAACGCGCATTTTATGGCCCAGTCGGGGGAACGTCACGAGCATGTCGTGCAACACATTCGCAGAGTCGCCCACGTAGGCGATCGTGAGTGGTGGGAGCTCGGAAAGGTCTGTGCCACGACGAAGGTGCTTGCCGTTGCCCCGCGGCGTGGTGACGTCCTCCTGCGAATCCGGCTTGAACAGGTAAGCGTGTTCATGTAGAGTGAGAAGGTCGGCGAGAATTTGTGTCGGATGCCAGAGGGATGAGAGCGCGTTCACAACAGGAACGGGAGAGTGGGCAGCCAATTCCTGTAAGACGGTTAAGGTTCAGCTGTCAGCTGTCGCGGGCAAACAAACACACCTCGATCTCTGAATGGTCACCGACGCGAGCGAATATGCCCTGGCACATCCCCCCAATAACACGCGCCGAGTCACGCACGCTCTCGTTTACACCGAGTTGGATGTCGTCGCGGCTTAGAAACAGCGCACGGCCCCCAAGCATGAACGCGCTCGTTTCAGCCGCGACACGAGTACGGGTACTCCGTTTGGAGAACAACATGGCTACGGTTTTGCTGAATAGCGATTGAGATGGCATGCGCAGGTCATTAGCCTGCTTGTAGGACAAGGAGCCCTGCGGGCGAAGCCATGCAAGGGAGTTGGCCTTCAACGACGCAGAGTGCTTGATGAGACGTTGGATTTGCGGAGCGGTCAGGTCCGCGAGAGTGAGAAGATGTGGGGGCCGGGCCATGGAGAAATGAAGACTGTTGATGGGGGCAGCCGCAAAGAAAAAAGTCCGAGTTTGATGTTCGAGTCATGTGGCCGCGGGTCGCTCAAATGGCACGCTGATAACATTCTAGTTCAGTTAGTCTCCTCTCCAGGTGCCGCTAAAACTTTTAAACTTTCTCCCTCGCCCACCATCGTCCATCCCACTGCGGTTGCTTTCTTCGTGGCTCCAGCTGTCCGGAATCGGAACAATCTCAGCGCGTGGGCACCGGAGTGATCCAGAGCTGCATATTTGGGATTCCCTGTGCCTGAACGGTATGGGTCGATCGACGCAGCTTTAAACTTGCTCATATGTATCTGTGTCGCACCCTCCGCAGTCTCTGGACCACGCACGTCATAGTCATACATCGCACCTTCATCCATACACGACTTGCATGCACACCGCCTAAGCGAGGCCGTCCCACCCGAGACATCGCATTCCAATGTCTGCTCTCGAACCCGACTCCGACGACATGGACTACGGCACGCCGCCTGCATCTCGTCACCTCCGGCCTCGAACCCCCGGCTCACCGCAGACGACCCGGGACAGTCTATACGACGCTACGTCTACGATCGACGACCTCACACAAGCACTGGAGAACGTCTCGCGGGTCGCCTCGCCGGAACCTCCGGAGCTGTTTTGCTGCTGCTGTGGACAGGATGACTGCGAGAACCTGCGGGCTTGGACGGCGACAAAGTCGAGGTTGCAGAGTCGGCTGACGTTGAGCGCTGGTGCGTTTATTTACTTCCGGATCCACCTTTCGTTTCCTCGACCTCATCGTTCGTCAGAGGTCGGTCAGGCTTTGCTTCAGCGACATGAAGCCTATGTGCGACGGGTTCAAGGCGAGCAATTCGAAGCGCAAGAAGCGTCGGAGGATGATCTCGAGAAACGCGAGAAAGTGGCTACTGCAGCCCAGGACCATTTGGACCAGCTTGTCAAAGACAATCAGGCACTGGAAAAGGTATGTCCCCTCTCTCTCTTATGCAGTGCCCTTTGGATCCTGATTGAACGATTCAGCGTCTCACCCGGGCCCTAGTCAATAACGAGGTTACAGAAGTATCGAACAAAACTATCCTCCAGGAGCTCGCCGAAGCCAAAACGACGATATCGCGCCTGACTACGTCGGCTGCGCGTTCTGTGGGATGGGACACCCGACTCTCCGCTGCGCTGAAGGAAAAGGAGGATATGCAGCAGGAACGAGACAGCGAATCACAGCGGGCGAGACTGGCAGAATCCCGTTTCGCTGCTCTCAAGGAGCGCACATGTGCGTTATCGCTCGACAAGCTTTCGCTCAGTTGATTCATTCCATCATAGCCAAGCTTCAGAGCGAAGTACGACGATTGCAAACGGCGCTGGAGGAACGCCGTGAACATCGGCTGGAATCGTCGGAGACGATCATTATGGACGCTCGTGCAAGATTGCAAGCGTTGCATCGCTCCGTTGGTGCGCCTGTAGAGCAGCCTGAGTTGGCTGAGGTGTTAGAGACACTTGTGAACGACAGCGACACTCTTAAGCGGGACAATGCCGAACTGCAGACTTTGCTGGCGGACGCGCGCGAGGATTGTCGAGCTTTGCAGGAAGAACTAGAGGATCAACGGGTCAATCCGCCACCCAGAAGTGGTGCAGCCACGCCATCGTTCTTGAGGACTCATTTCCATACTGGCAGCGTCCCTTCTGTTATGCTCCCACCGGTGAGTGCGAGTACCACTCCACCTGCTTCCTGTCTGACTGTATCAGGGGCATGCCTTCAAGCGCAGCTCCAGCGCCGAGAGGCGCACTTCGCGGCGCTATGTTCGTGTTTGGGTTCTTCTCCTCCTTCCGTTCACTGTTGACGGTGCGTTAGGAACCCATGACCCCGGAAACGAATCGGCGCCCACTTTCGCCCACCGATTCACTTGCGAATTCGGAATCCAGATGGCCGCATTTGGGCGGACGATATCCGATTTCTCCATCGCATGCCAGTTTCGAAGACGTGCAGGACACAGACTCGACGCTGGAACGCCGATCATCCCACCGACCGCTGTTCCTCCTTGCAAGGTCACGTGGTGTACAGACAGATCCAGTCGCTCCACTAGGACTGGTCCATCCCCCATCACATTCACCATCTTCCGGTGCATCAGTGTATTCAGAGTCGCTCGCTCCGTCATCAGCGAACACTACGACGGGCAATATCTCAGCTCCCTCAGTGACTCTAGCAGTCTTGGTTGAGCGGACAGCTGGTTTGTTACACAGGATGCAGACTGCTGACGCATTGTCTCTTACAAACAGACTGAAGCGACAGCAGATCCGGGGTGCTGATGTTGGCCATCTGTCGCGCACGACTGTGGCGAGCATCATGACCGATGTGCACAAGCAGCTTCGGGCAGGCGGACTGCAGGACGAGGACATGCGTGCTGGGCGTCGCGATGTCCGCTCGTTTATGGCTGTGACTCGGGAGCTGTTTACCACCTTGGGCGAGCTCCGGGTCCTGCTCAACGAAGTGGTGCTCGATCCTGCCAGTGCGAGTCGGATCAGTGAGGCTGCGATGGACCCCGGCAAAGCCCGCGACGAACATCCGTCAGGACCCGCCACTTGGTTCACCAAGTTTCTTTCCGGGGTCACGCCCAAACAGGATGTGGACAGGAACGGAGCGATCTCACCACTGGCCGCGCCGAGGCCGATGATTGGAAAGTTTGTCCCCAAAGGTCCTGCACTGGCTGCCTCAGCGACCACTGTCAACGTTGAGGTTTCCGGTGCTCGATCCGTGGCAAGCAGCACTTTCGATGCATCTTCCATTCCATCACGCGCCGGTAGGATGACTTCTCCGGCACCAGGCGTTATGGACATCTTTGCCGGCGCTCCACGATCAAAGACGCCTGATCCCTGGATCGTCGTTGGTCATCCCAAGCTGTCTCGGAAACCGTCTGCTCTGCTACGTCCCGGTCCACCGGGATCGCGCCATCACCCCAACAGGATGTCGCGCAATGTCGATGCGGTATTGGACGGTGTGGACACCCCAGCACATCGAGAGGGCGATCATGACAACTCAGACGATGCCGCTGCTGACGAGGAGCCGGACTATCTGGGTCCGCTGTTGCACCGGACATTGCGGAGACGGGGACTGTCCGATTCCTCGATACATTCTACATTCGTGTCACAAGCTGCGGCTGACAACGAGTCCTCTACTCGGGAGGCAGCTTGGCTCGAGGGCGGTTCTGTGCTCCAGGCATTGAGCAAACGAGTCCAGAGCTTCCGTAGTGGTTTGGGCGGTGGAAAGGAGAGCGCGGACATGCCTCCTCCAGCAGAACCGACTGCACCGGTGACCATCTCACGATCAAACACTCGACGTTCCTCGCGCTCTTCTACGAATCGTACCGCGGAAGATTCCGGCTCGTCGAGAATAACGTCTTCCTCTAGTGGATTTGGTTTCCTCGCTAATTTCGTGCCCGATTCTAGCGATGTCGCGCGCAGTTTGAGAGAACAGGATGCGGTGTTGTCGAGAAGCTACCGCGCTGTAGATCGAGGTATAATATGATACCCACTTTAATGTACTTTTTATTCATTTGTTCTGGTATGTATACAAGAATTTGCTCGGAATGTGAATGAAATTGTCGTCCTTCGCCTATGATACATGTACGACTTGTGCTAATAGCATAAAGCGACCTCTATCGACGCCGGTTGATTGCGCATCAGTGCATCATGACGCAGTAGCTTTCCGCTCTCCCCTTCCTCTCGCCGCCATGGCCATCGACGGACTGATCATTCTCGACAGCACTGGGTACGCTTTATCTGCCCACGTGTGAATCTACTTGACGACCCCAAGCCGACCCATCATCCAGTCCGGGTTCCGCTCCACACCTCCTGCGTTTCCGCTGCTGCACACCGACGCCTTCAACACCGCCTCGTCCAAGACGCACCGTGCCGGAGACATTGAGCCCGTGATCTATGTGCCGCCGATGAACGTAGGCGATCCGCCCAGCGCATGCTGTCATGTCGAGATCGGGGACATGAGGATCTTATGTCCCGTCAGTGGGGAGGGTGCGTCTGGAGCATATTCGCGTCATGGGACTATTCTGAAGCGACGCAGTGGACCCTCTCTTTGCCTTTGCTTTCCTTCAAACCTTCATCGACATCCTGCGCGAGTACTTCGGCGCGCTTTCCGCCGCGACTCTAAAGGACAACTTTGATGTCGTGTATCAAGTGCGTCGGTTGTCATGTGTCTGTTGAATGACGCCTTATCCGCACTAGTTACTGGAAGAGACGTTGGACTCTGGGGGCCACCCATCGACAACGTCTCCCAACGCTCTGCGAGACATCGTCCTCCCTCCGTCGCTGTTTTCGAAGCTCTTGAGCGTCGCAGGCGCAAACATCAACACTTCGTTCAATTCTGGTGCGGTCGGCGGTCCGTTTTCCTCCCCGATTCCGTGGAGAAAGGCCGGGATGCGCTATAATAGCAACGAAATCTATTTTGATATGGTCGAAGAGCTCAAGGCCATTGTCAACAAGTATGCAAGCTTCAAGATCGTTCAAATACCTGCTGACCTGTTCTCCAGAAATGGAACGACGTTGACCAGTGAGGCTTGGGGAAGAATTGAAACCAATGCCAAGCTATCTGGGACGCCGGATTGTTTCCTCTCTTTCACAAACCCACACGTTCTTGCGGACTGTTCTTTCCATCCATGTGTCAGGTGTGTAATCTCGCTATATCTTTGGATACCCGGCTGACAGTTGTGCAGATTACAGCGTTGGAAACGAGACAGCTCGCTGTCCTTTGTACCGCCAGATGGACATTTTACACTCGCAGAGTACCGATTCTCACCAACTGCGACGGCAACAAGCGCCCGATCGGGGAATACAGTCCTTCCTGGCAAGGACAACGTGCCCGTTCCGTTTATGCTCAAACCAACGGTTGAATTGACCGAATCAGGCGGCGAGTCTCTCTCTCTCTCTCTTGCATCGTGTACCGATGACTGACTGCTGCTTGCAGGGACTTTTGAATTGAAGCTGACTTCCCGCATCCCCGGCCAATCGATGGAATCCCTGGTGGCAGAGATGTATCTGGGAGACGGTGCCAGCGGAGTGAAATGCGTGACTTCTCGAGGGGATAGCGGACGCCGTTTCAATGAAGGGATGCCTGCTGGGTCGGGTAATGGATCGTGGACGTATGACTCAAGGAAAGCTGTAAGCACGCAGGCCTGATACCCGCTCCGAGTCATGGCTGATGGTGGATCGTGGCAGATTGTGCGGTGGGAGATACCGGTGGTGCCGCCCTCTAGCGTTTGGACTTTGCGGGGCTCCTTTACATCGTAGGTCACACGGTTGATCGTCCTTTTCTGCTGGCTGAATGAGTCGGTTTCAGGCCTTCCGTTCCACGTCCAGCACACGCTGTCCAAATCCGATTCAACATCACATCGTACACGTTTTCGGCGCTCAAAGTGGATCAATTGAAGGTCACCGGAGAGACTTACAAGCCTTACAAGGGTGTCAGGGGTCGTTCTTCCGGCAATGTGGAATGGAGATGGTAGCGTGGCTTTGAATTCATCGAGCGGAGTCATGTTTAGCTGTTACGATATCTGCGAATGAGCTTGAATTCAGAGCTTATGCCCACCGTTAATGGTGGCTGTGCTATTTGTGTTGTTTTGAGTTCGACGCCCAAGCGCGTGTATGACGGAGCATCACTGATCGCTACGCCCACTGTCATTTCAACGCCAGGGGCCTGCCTGATGAGCAACAACAGGCAGTGACTGCCAACTGGTCTGCTCTTACCATGTCCAGCGATGTACTCGCTGAGATTGCCGGGGTGAAGCCCAAGACGTTCCTCGCAGATGGCGAGGATACGGAAGTCAGCTCTATGTCCAGGTGTGTTCTGAATCCGTGTCGCGTCTTCCGCACGGCACAGCTCACTGCCGTTCATCCAGCAACCTCAAGTACAAAGTCAAGCGAACCTGGGACCACTATTACTGCGTCTGCCCGGTGCGCTCCCTTCCTCCTTGTCTCCTTCGCCCGTGGGCTCAAACCTCCTGCGGCTCCGTAGGCGTGGCGCAACCAGGGTGGGATCCCTGTTGATGCGCGCACATGCAAACACCTCCGGGAGCTCTTTGGGGATGAGTATGAGGCGGCGCGTCTGAAGTGGAAGAACCCATCCGGTCCCGGACTCCCTGGATCGAAGAAGCCTGCGTCCAAAGCGAAACCTGCGTCCAAGGCGAAACCTGCGTCCAAGGGGAAGCCTGCATCTAAGGCTAAAGCCAAGACCGGGAAGCGGTGTAGGGATGATGAAGACGACGACGAAGATGAGGAGGATGAGGATGAGGATGAGAAGCCTAAGAAGAAGGCGAGGAAGATCAAGAAGGAGAGCAACGATGACGATTCGGAGGATCAGGAGGAGAAGCCTGCGAAGAAGGGTAGGAGGAAGAAGAAGGCATACAGCAGCGATGAGGAGGCTGAATCGTCTGAGGAAGAGAAACCCAAGAAGAAGCAGGGAAAGAAGAGGAAAGTGAGATCAAGCGATGGGGAGTCCTCAGAGGATGAGAAGCCCAAGAAAAAGAAAGCTGCGAAGGGAAAGAAGCGACGGGCCCCGGAAACTGAATCTGAATCGGAGGAGGAAGTCAAGCCCAAGCAGAAGAAGAAGACTTCGAAGAAGAGGAAACATGAGACCAGCAGCGATGAGGATTCGGAATCTGAGGATGAGAAACCTAAGAAGAGAGGAAAGGCTAAGGCTGTCAAGAAGAGCAAGGGGGGGATGACAGCGACGACGAGTCGGAAGATTCTGAGGATGCGCCCAAGAAAAGGAAGACGAAGACTGCGAAGAGGGCCGCGCTGAAGCGCAGTCCCAAAAAGGGCAAGAAGGTGGACAGCGACGACGAGGACGAATCGGCGTCGGAGGTTGAGAAACCGAAGAAGAAAGCGGCGAAACCAGTGTCGAAAGGTCTTGGCCGGACGGCGAACGACGACGAGGACACTAAACCCAAGTCCAAGAGCAAGAAGCCTGTCTCCAAACGCAGTGTTAAAGTTGACGACGACAGTGACGACCCAGCTCGAGTCAAGGGCGTTCCCGAGTTATTGCTCGCAAACAAGTGGGATATTGAAATCGGGCCGGACCCGACAGGATGGTGGGTGTCCGAGAAACTGGATGGTGTCCGGTAATGCTATTTCCTCCATCGTTTACTGCCCGTCCCTAATTACTGCGACAGGACTTTCTATAACGGAAAGGGAATGGTCAGCCGACTGGGAAATCCGTTCACACCGCCGCAGTGGTTCCTTGACAGTCAGCAGTCAATCTTCACACGATGAGCACGCCGCTGATTTTCTGTTGCAGAACTCCCGAAAGATATTACCCTTGATGGAGAGCTTTTTGGCGGGCGAGGCAAATTCCAGGACACTGTCTCGATCGTCAAGACTATGAATTCGCCGCATTGGAAGGAAATAACCTTCCAGGTATGTCTCAACTGGTTGCATCTCGTGCCTCTCGATTCGATTGCCCTGTAGATCTTCGACATTCCTTCCGATAAAGGCGTTTTCGAGGACCGGGTCGCCCATCTGAAGACTTTATTCGGACCCGGTGGCAAATGGGAGTGTGCTGAGGTGATTGTCGTTGAGCAGGAGAAGCTCAAGAACCGCAAGGATGTCTTGGATAAGCTTAAAGAGATCGAGACCCTTGGTGGAGAAGGCCTGATGCTGCGCAAGCCTGGCTCGTCAGTCTCCACTTTGGCTGCCGCCTAATCCCACTGACCAGTCCACAGCAAGTACGAAGGTCGCCGCTCCAGTACGTTGCTGAAAGTCAAGGTGACGTATATGGTTTGCTCATCCGGCCGATGTCGCTGACCACCCACAGACCTTTTATGACGCCGAGGCCGAGATAACCGGCTACAAGCCTGGCAGCGGGAAGCATACCGGTGTCACGGGTGCTCTGAAGTGCAAGATGGCTTCTGGAAAGGTGTGCTACGTTCATTCGCTCCGTGCTTGACTCGGCCGTCTAAATTGGTTTGCAGACATTCAATGTCGGGAGCGGCCTGTCAGACAAGCTGCGCAAGGATCCACCTAAGATTGGGACCATCATCGTCTACAGATTTCAAGAGCTGACCCGTGACGGTGTCCCTCGGTGAGCATTCAACTCTGCTCACTTTGTTGGATAGCGTTCTGAGACCGCGCAGATTCCCTACGTATGTGGGTGAAGCTATTGACAAGAAGAAAGCGAAAGATGCGGTTCTTCCCGCCCATCGCAAAATAAATTCCAAGGACAATGACTGATACCGCAACTCCAACCAGTTAATCTGAGGGAATACCCTCATCTTTATCTATTTATCTCATGTACCTGTTAGTGCAATCTATGGCCGGACTTCCGCCTTTAAAGCTTAGACCCTCATTCTCCTGCGCTTTCAAGGGGCTAGACAGCTGCTATGCACTCAGACCTTACCCGAACCTTTCTATCATCTCGATGTAAGCTGATGACGTCAATCCAATCAGCCCCTATCTGTTCAAAGGTTAGTCGCATACCCAATCAGGACGGTCTCTCGCTTTTACAGTTTTGCCGATTATGTGCGTTGCGCTCTATGCGGGCCAGATGACAGATTGAACAGAAGTGGAGTCATGCGATGTTCTCGGGTGCAATTGAAGACGGATTCAGGTATTGCTGAGCCAAATGCACTGAGACATGTCTTACTGCACTGCCGCTTCACTTCTGAATCAGGGTCCCCTGCGCAGTGCATATAAGGACATCCCAGCCCCGACTTCCATCCAAAACAACCTTTGCCACAACCACCATGTACACACGCACCGCATTTTCTACCATCCCCGGCTACGTCGCCTCGGGTTCTGCTCCCACTCGCGTCCCTTCCCACCGCCGCCGAGCGTCGAGTTCTGTCAAGTCTATTCTGAAGACTCGGCCCCGACGGGACTCGGTCGCATCCGATATCTCGGACATATCCACTCTCTGCGGTGACGAGGAGGATGAGGAGAACCTTAAAGGTGCGATCAGCTTCTGTCAAGATGTCGTTGTATGCAGTGAGTGTCCCATTCCTTCGCCTCTGCCTCCACATCGAAGCTTACGAGTTAATCCAGCCATCGATGCAAGGGCACCACACCCGAGCCGATGGACTCTGCTGCTCGACACACTCAGCCTGCAGAGCCATGAATTCCCGCTCTTGCACAAGGGTCCAAGGGAAACCCTGCCGCTGAAAAAGTCCGTTGTCGCTGCTCCAGCCGACACGGAAGACTCCAATGAGGACGAAATGTCTCAGTAGGGTGTCGACAAGCGTTCAGCCGATGAAGTGGTGAGTATCTCCTCCGTTGTCATCCCCAATGCTTTCTGACGAAATCTTTCCAGCAATCGCACCAGCCCCGCTGAATTGTAAAAAACTGCCCTCGTTGGTGCTGTATCAAAAAGGAGTCGGCCGATGTCGTGCCATGCCTCCGATGTACATGTATTATCACCCATGTCTCGCTGTTCTAGTTACCTTCTCGGATCAGAAATTGTTCCACCAACGAAATGAACGGTCGCAGTCCAAATTCTGATCAATTTTATTACATAAAAGTATCCGTGCTCTCCACGAATCATGAGACCTGAATAATAGTTGTTGTCAACATAGGTTCTTACAGACCCACAACCCTCAGGCTAATCTTATCAACTTGATGTGATCAAATCAATGATGTGATTGCCGCTCACCCGCTACTAAGTAGCCTCGAGAGAAGCAGCCATCTCACCCAACGTCTCGAACCGTCTCTTCCACTTCGGCGCTTCCCCGGAAGTCTCGAGCCCCATGACGGCGCCCTGGCGGTCAATCCAGACGGCACTGATGCCCATCCGGCTCGAAGGATCGACATCATGGAACAAGCTTTGTGCGACGACGAGCACCTGAGATCCATCGACGCCAAACTCACTGCGGATGGCGTCCAAGGCGCAGCTCATACTGCTAGGATCGGGTTTATAGGCCCCGGTGTCTTGCGCGGTGAGGATGAGCGAGAAGGGTGACTTGCACCCCGAGATGCTTTTCGGCAGCCAGTTTTGACCGGGCGCGGCGCCGCGCACGTAAGCCGACTGATTGGCAGTGTCCTGAGAGAGTTTGACATGCGTGGCTGCAAAGGAGTTATGGTCCACGTTGGACAGGATCGTGAGTTTGTAGTGCTGCTCCAAGACGCGCAGGGCTTCGCAAGTGTCTGGAAAGACGGGCCAGTCCTTGATCGACTGTCCAAATGCAGCATGCTCCTCCTCTGGAATGGACACTGGTATCTCCCCTGCGTGCGTTTCTTGTAGCGTGCGGGTCAGAACGCGATGTGCCTGGGAGAGGAGATCACGGTAGAGGATCGAGGGATCGCTCGCTTGCAAGTCTTTCTCGATCTCGGTGAATGCCAAGAGGGCTTCTTTTCGAGACCATGTCGCTGAGGAGGGGAACCGGGCCAGCAGAGGTTGAAGGCCGGTATATATGCCCGACTCCCAGTCCTAGTAGAAACGGGGTTTGAGAGCGCGATCAAACGAAAGGACCACTACTTGGCAAGCAGAGACTTACGACCAATGTTCCATAGCAGTCGAATATAATCGCTTTGAAGGGCGATAGATCGAAGTCGGTCATGTTTACTAGTGGTCCTCCAGGTTCAGCGCGTGAGAAGCAGGCTGCGCGCTTCGTCCTGACGCCGAAATGACAGAATCGAGCGTGATCTTATCTTATCTCGATGACAGCGGCCCGGCTGATGCGTGCATCTAATTCTTACTGGTACTACCTTCATCCACACGAATCACTACCATTGAACAAGCAGACGACAGTAAATTCGCAGAGTCTAGGTTTCCGCATGTGGCTGACTGAGAGGTCCATGAATGCGGTACTTGTGTGAGACTTTTTTCTGAAACTGCCAAGCCCACTTGACCACCCCACCACGCGAGTTGTTGAGGGAAGAAGAGACGTGCAGTCCAATTGCGTGGCTGCACGGCTGTCAGTCCAGCCCAGGCGTGCGACTCGCATCACCAGGCCGACCTTGGCTCGCGTTTGAGCGGCCTTGCCTTGATCCTCCTTGAGGTGATCTGTGGCAACACTGATTGATTGACATACTATCACGACGATGGAAGATCTCCTGTCCAGGGGTGGTATTTAATCGACTCTTCTGTACAGATAATGTCAACGGCTTTCTTTCTTCCCGTCCAGCTACTGTTGACCAGTTTTCCCTTCCTTCTCCGCCACCTCTTTTTTGACAATGCGTTCCTCCTTCGTTCTTTCATTCGCTGCTCTCGCCTCGGTCAACGCTCTGCCGCGCGGATACGCGCCGCCTTCTCAACGCTCGTCGATCAACGCACTTGACGATGTTCTTGTCTTTGATGCCCCGGCCTTCGATGACCCAGCCAACCCCGGAAACACACTCGTCCAGCTGCAAGCCTACGCGTCGACACGCGAGGTTAGCATCTCTCCGCTCGTCGACGGCGTCACAAGCGCGCTGAAGGCGATCGGGCTCAACGTCAGCTCGAGCACGGCGGACACCGTCACGGGCCGGCTCGCGCTGTTTGCCACGCTCGGCCTTTCGGGCAAAGCGGTGACTGTCAACGTAGACGGATGTGCGCAGCCGGCGACGCTTCCCTCGACGGCTTCGGGGAGAATGGCGATCCAGAATGTCTCCGTCGGAGCGTGTGCGAGCGGAGACGCCGCTGTGCAGGGTGATGTCAAGCTCAGCGGATTCTTGAACAACCGGAACGTGAACTTTACCATGTTCCCGTCGTCGAACAGCGGATTTGGTGTCATCTCTGGTATGTAGTTGACTGTTCCATGCTCGGAATTGGTGCTCATAGAACTGTAGACATTGACGACACGGTCAAGGTCTCGCACACGCTCGACAAGCTGCAACTTGCGCAAACGACGCTGATCGACACGCCGGTGCCTGTGACGGGCATGCCCGAGCTCTACGCGTCACTCGCCAAGTCGCTCAACTCCCCTCAATTCGTCTACGTCTCTGGCTCGCCGTTCCAGCTGTACCCCTTCCTGCGGGACTTCATCTCGACGACGTACTCTGCTTCCAACGGACCGATCATGCTGCAGAACCTGACGACGACAAACATCCAGGACATCATCAACTTTGCTCAGGTTCGTCTTCTGCGTGTGTCTGGACTGAAGGACCCAGATGCTGATGATCCGCGTGTGCAGAGCAACGGAATCTTTGAGTACAAGTCTGCCATGATCGACCGTATCCAGGGAATGTACCCGGGCAAGAAGTTCTTGACCATCGGAGACTCGACGCAGAAGGATCCCGAGACCTACGCCGAGGCGTGAGTACAATACCACCTCGCTCTCCAGAATCCCCTGACCTTGGCCGCTATAGCATCCGCAAATACGGAGACTTCATTGCCTGCGCCTGGATCCGACAAGTCGATGGCGCAAACAACACTGCCGAGCGATTCGCTGCCGCCTTCGAGGGCGTCCCGGCCACCAAGTTCAAGATCTACACTGACGACGAGATCCCTTCACTCGCGAACATTGACGTCGCGGGCGGATCCTGCTCATAAGCAGCTCGGGGGAACGACACACTTGAATAAATCGCTACATACACCAAGTGTCCTGCAAATACATAGTAATGAACGCATTGTCGGTGGCTGAAGCACTGGAAACCCCCCAAAAAAGAAAGAAGTCGATGATTTGATGTGCACAAATATACTGCGGCCTTCACACCCAAATCGCATACCCAAACCGGATCCGTCTCAACCTAGTCTCCTCGTCACTGTGCCTCTCAAAGCGAGCCTTGCCATCCCATTCGATTGCAACGCCTGTCTTTCTCAAAGCAGACAATCTTGCCGCCACATTCGTGCAAAACGTCAACGAGATTTTGGTGATTGGCCGCTGACGGCTGCGTAGCATGCGAATGAGAGTGTCGAAGACGCCGGGAGTCTCGAATGAAGTGTTGACCAGGCCCAATGTAGAGAGGGCAGGGAAAATTGTCGGGTCCTCCTCTATCAAATTGAGCAGACACAGCACCAAATCGTATCGTATTCGATACAAATGGGTCACTGCGGGGAAGAACCGAAAAAGTCGAGGCCAATCGTCCATGTGCAGGAGGTGCGCTGGGCTTGGCAAATCACACTCGCACGGTGGAGGAGAGATGTCCAGCTTTGAGATACCGGACGTCGGAAAAGCCGAAAGTACCGCGGAAAGTAGCGGAAACACATACGACCTCGGCACGAACGACAGCTGGAACTCCGGCGAGCTGTCGGTATCCGGCGACAAGTTGGCTTCCGCATCACTCGATCCCTTCAGCACGAGCTCGGTATTCGAGAGCCATCGGACGCCTAGAGCACGCAGCCTCTCACCAGCCGGAAGGGCCTTCAAGAGCTTGCCGATGGTCTCGAGCAAGATCGAGAGACATGTCAGCTCCATCGGCTGCTCCATCAAGAAAGAGATACAATCGATCTCAATGCACGGAGTGGGAGGGAAGTTGAGCTGTACTAATAGCTCCGTGCAGTTCCACATATGCCCCCCGAGAGAGATTGCGATGAGATCTGGCAAATGGATAGAGGGCAAATGCTTCTCCACGCTCTGACTGGTGCTGGCGAATGCGGAGACAATCGTCAGCACCTGAAGTTCAGGCAATGCAGCCAGAACCTCGAGCCATTCCATGACAGAAAACGCAAGCTCCGGCGGAATATCCGACACAGAAAGATACGTGAGCTGCATACGCAACATCACGGAGCACTTGGGAATGCTGCAATTCACGAGTTCCAGTTGGCGCAGACAGGGAATGTGTGCTGCAAAGGCATCTGATGCAAGAGAGATGGTGTCATTGCTGCAATGCAGGCGCAGGACCTCCAATTTGGGCGCGGGAGCAACCAAACCGGACCTAAGCCGCTCATAATAGTTGCCCGTCAACCCTAGATCGAGACATTGCGTGCGGAACAGGTGGTCCGGAAGCACCAGCAACACATTTTCCCCCGCCGACTCGTGCATCGACACATTCGCCTGCACCGTCAAGAGCGTTCCGTGCGATCGCTCAAGCGACTCTCTGACGCGCGATGTCGGGTCGAAACCAAAATCAATGTTGCTCCACAGTCGAGCGCATCCGAACGCCACCAATCGCCAGTGCCGACATACGGTTTCGATCGAGAGGCGGGCTTCGGCCGGTGTGATGTACCCCGGGTGATTGGCTGAGACGCACGAGTAGGCGGTGAGTATGAGGAAGACCTCAGAGAGAAGCTCCGCAGAAAGCCGGGAAACGGGCGCCAGCGCGTTCCGGTGCGTGTGGAGGTTCGAGAGCGCGATCATCAGAGTCTTGCGATCTTCAACGAGCGAAGAGCAGTCCCCACGCGCTTCCATGGATTCCAAAGCAGCTACGATGTTGTTTTGGTCGGATACAAGAACGTCGGCGTCTTGTGAGGGGACTGGCGAAACACTGCGCCAATCAGTGCGAGCATGCAGATCAGCACCCTACGCACTTTTCCATAATCTCGTTACAGCTTCTACACCAGTGGCGATGGAGAGTGAAGCGTTGGCATGAGGCGATGCTAACCGTGCAAGATCGAGGTAACTGCGCACGACCTTTCAATCTCCTCCATCACACGCGCAAATATCGTGGGCATGATCGGTCAAAATGCTGATCTCTGTCACGTGGACGCGTTTCTCGCGCTTTCGCACTTGAAGTGCATCGAGGCACAGCTGCGATCTTATATGTGCTTGGCTTTATGGGAGAGACACTCAGCCAACAATAACCTACAACATGACATATATAATGCATTAGGCCACCGCGTTGATCCATCCCTTCTTGATACCATAACCAACAACCTCGCCAGCACACATAGGACCTTCGAGCAAGGCTGGCGGGGTGACTTTCGAAGCAGAGGGCATCGTTCTCTTCTTTCTTCCCTTGCTCTTGCCTTTTTCCACTTCGGAAACAGCCGATATACTTCTTCCCAGCCATTCCTCGAGATCAAGCAAACACTCATGACAGTCCCGTTCGCTGAAGGTGCTGGACGTCCGATTCGGTGTGATCGTCTTTCTTCGAGCTGGCGCTTTCAGACCCTTTCCCTTGAGCAGCTTGGTAACGAGGTGATGTAACCACTGAGCCTGTAAGTTCCCAGTCGTGAATGGAATAAAACAACGCACCATTGAATTAGTCAAAGGATGGAAGGCTTCCCAGTCGCCGCTGTTGTGATCACGCATGAAGCGATATATGTCAAACTGGTAGTCGCCCTCTCCGGCGAAGATTTCCTCGTCAAACGGAGTCCAATGCACCATTTCGCCTCCAGCCCCATCACCGGCGTCCATCCGGGACAGGCCCAGATCAATGAGTGTGACTTGCACTGCAGCTGCTGACGAGTCCATTGTCACAGGTGCTGTCTTGGTCGGTGCCGCGCGGTTCTGGTTGACAGCTTGCAAGGCCCGCGGAGGTTGGACCGGCATGTCTTTGACAAGGATCTGCCCCAGATGCAAATCGCGATGCTGTAAACGCCCTAAGATTCAGGAGGTTGAAAAATAGGTTGAGTGGACTGACCTCAAACGACACTAGTTGTTCGGCATGTGCTAGAGCCTTTGCAACCTGCCAAAAGATGCTGGATGCTTGCCTCCACGGTGTCTTTGGGGAGAACTTAAACGCCTCTAGATCGGGACCACCATTGGGGAGAACAATGATTGCGTAGACCTGCGATACCGTGAACGTATCTACCAACCGTCAGAATTGCCAACGGGCTCTGAGCAGTAATTCACACCTGGACGAACGCTCTCAGTCCCTTTTTCCCGCTCATATTCGTCCCAAAGCTCCAAGAGAATTTGCGGATACGTGCCCTTGACAATATAGGTCCGTAAAAGATCCACGAATCCGTCGCACACTTGGCCCATCGCATCGGTGACGATGATCTCTTTGAGCACATCCTTGACGTCCGTCGAGAATGGCACGTCCAAAGTGTCTTCTCGCGCTTTGGGCCGCAGTTGTCGGTGGGACTCGTCTCGCAAAGGGATAACCTTCAGGACGACATCTCCAATCCCATACACCTCCGAATAGCTGGCCTCGCCGATTTTCCGGAACGTCGACGGAGCATCGCTGTTTCGGACCAACGTGTCCAAAGGGAACGTTCGGATGAACGCAGAGAACTCGTGCACCCCACTCTCTGTCTGACCGCATTCAGCCAGGAGTGGTTGGAGATACTCGGGAACCTCCTCAGAAGCAGAATGCTGCTCCGATCCCGGGATTACGGAGATTTCCAACGAAGATAAATCAAACGAAAGATCTTCATCCAGCGAGGTGCAAGGTGATGGAGGCGAGGGTGGAGTGTAAAGACCTCTACGGCGAGCAGGAGTCAACTGCCGTGATTTGATAATTGGAGAGCCGACACGAGGTCGTTGACTAGCTGAAGACTTGAGCGAGGATTTGAGCGAGGGCCTTGGTGGTGGTCGGATCGCGGGCAGTGATGCAATGGAAACAGCAGTAGGAATGACCACTTCCACTTTCAGTCGTGTAGTCGAATCGAAATGTGGTTTGGGGACGTGTGTCTCGATTCTCATTGGGATTTCGTCCTCCGAATCTGATTCATCCGATTCAATTCGCAAGGGGGCTAATTTTCGTAGCCTGCGAGCTGGTTTAGGTTGCACAGGGGGATCGTCTTCGCTGTCACTACCTGCATCCCGTTCAAAGCGAGTCCAATCATCTGTGTACCACTTACTTATGATCACAGTCGGCCTCGAAACCCGCCTCTCCTGGCTCAGCGTATTTCCCATGTCATCTAGCACCAAGATGTCCATGTATGGCGCAAACTGCTTGTTGATCAAGGGCGTCATCTTCGGCGAGCTTCGTCGCAACTTGAGAGGAAGTGCAACTTGGGGTGATCGCGGTGTATTGGCCGGCCGAACGCCAAGGGGCTGACGAGACGGTGTCCGTTTTGCGGGTCCCTCATCGTCTCCGGCTTCTATTCGGCGAATCTGGGGGTGTTTTCGGGAAGGAGGAGACGCGCGACTTCTTCTGCTGACGTGGATGACCTTGGGCGAAGGCGGTTTAGTCTTAGATTTGGTCCTCGTCGCAGTGCCGACAATAGTATTCTCCCGCCGCTTCATGCGTGAAACCACTGGGACCATAACCTGCGTTGGAAGATCGTCAAATATGGACGGAGGCGCCCTCGGGAAGCGTTCTTCTGCATTGACGATCCGGGTCTGGCGCTTGCCGTACGTATGGACTTGTTTCGTGTGGTGACCAAGCATGCGTGTGATGAAGAAAGCGGCACACGCAACCACAGAGGCAAAGATTCCAAGAAGGATAATAGTGGTGAGATTGGGATAGATAGATTTAGATGTTGTTGCCCGCCTCAAGCCTGTAGATAACTGCAATGAGGCACCAGCTAGTGGCAGAGCTGAAGTCAAACTAGAGTCACGTGAGCGCGAGTCGCGACACACATGTGACGCTAATCAGCGATCATAAAATAATTCACTTTCTCCGCTCTGCCAAAATGTCTGGACCGCTGTGCAAGAATCTCGTCTTGGATGCAGGCCCACTCCTCTCTCTATCGCCTTTAAGAGGTCTCGCGGAAACGTATTACACGGTCCCTCAAGTTCTGGCTGAGCTGAAGGACAAAAATGCTCGAGAGCATTTCGAGCGTCTCGGATTGACTGCTGGAGTCAAAGTTGAAGTTGCAGCACCCGATGCAGCCAGCCTGGCTAATGGTGATTCAAAACTATCGCTCATATAGCCTGATCTCATCGAAGGCAGTGATCCAGTGGGCTAAAAAGACTGGAGATTATGCAGTCCTATCGCACCCCGATCTTTGCGTTCTGGCACTGACTTATTCGCTGAATCAGCGAGAAAAGTCTCTCACGAAGGAAACCACCGAAGAGAAGGCATGTTGCCCGTTATATATCGCCTGGTTTTACTCACCCTTAGGTAGTAGATCAACGATGCGCAATCGACCAAGCCTATCCCCTCACCGGAATCATCGGTAGCGCATCCCATAGAAAAAGACGAAGCTGTGGAAATCGTGTCAGAGACTGAAGATGGACCTCCAGATTCCGAATCAGACGAGGAAGCGACATCCGAGGATGAAGATCTCGAGCCGTTGGATGTCGAGCTGCATCCACTAGACGACGGGGATGACAAAGAAACTTCAGCTTCGCCTACACCCAGACCATCCGCATCTGATGAGCCGATCTTCGAAGATCCATCTGACGAGGACGACGGAGAAGGTGAATGGATCACCCCTGGCAATGTTGCTCTGCATAAGTCCCGTGCTATGGGCATCCTGCCCGATGACGATGCAGACAGCAAGCGGAAGGGCAAGGGAAAAATGATAGAGCGTATCAGCGTCGGGTGCATGACTGCCGACTTCGCGATGCAGAACGTCCTTCTGCAGATGGGGCTGAATCTGGTTGGCACGGAGGGTAAGCGGATACACAAAGTGAAGAGCTGGGTTCTTCGATGTCACGCTTGCTTCAAGTGCGTCCTATCTCTCATCTGATGCTCCCGTCTTCATGGGTCGATAGAATATGCAAGGATAACACCAAAAAGTTTTGTCCGTCATGCGGCAACCCAACCCTCCTCCGTGCTTCTGTAACAATCTCAAGCCCGGATGCACCAACCGATGCCCCGGTCATGCAGGTGCATCTCAAATCGAACTTCCAGTATCGCATACGCGGCACGAAATATTCCATTCCAGCCCCGAAACCGGGTTCCGCAAAAACCGGCACCGGAGAGGGACTGATTCTGCGTGAGGACCAGACAGAATGGATCAGGGCGAAGAAGATGGCCGACGGTCGTCGGGAGAGGGAAGAGACCAAAATGAACAGGAGTCTCATGTCGCAGAAGGGCAACGGAATTGGCAGCTGGCTGGATCCCGACTGGGTGCCGGAAATGCTGTCTGTCGGCGCAGGCGGCAAAGGCCGTACTAACCGTCATGCTGGGGACATGCCCACGATAGGTCATGGGAGAAAGAATCCGAACGAGAGGAGGAAGCGCAAATGAGGCTAGTCACTTTACGATTGTAACCTTGTAATGGCTCCGCGATTATGATGATATACATGCATTGTCTGTCATACAACGTCCCGTTCACGCCAAGCTCCTGTTCATGAACCGCCTCTTCTGGAACGACATCCACCATTTGCTCGGCTTGCCGGTTCCATCCGCGCAGAGCCGTTCCACCAGGCGGGAAGCCAGTTCCTGGCGTACTTGAACAAGGTATTGGCGCAGTGCATCTGTGCAACATCAGTCACGGATATCTACCAAGCTCAAAACACAAACCCGCTTCCTGCCGGCTAGACGGGGGCGCGTAGTGTGCGTTCAAAGCAAAGTTGGCATCGCCAGGGATAGCGAAGTTGTCGACGGAAAGCGTGTTGAGGAATTTCCCCGCCTCGATTTGCGTCGGTACTGTGCGGTTCGAGCCGATCTTGGCGAGGCAATCGGATATGTAGAGGATGAGGACGATGAGGGTGCGGTCTGCGGGACCTTTGATCTCAAAGTTGCGGAACAGGGAGTTGGCACGGAAGAGGTCGAGAGTTTCGTCTATGATGTCTGGCGTGTCTGGGTCCGCTGAAATTAACAGAGAAGCTATCTCAGCGGGGCATCTCGTTGAACGAAGGAACACACCATTGGGAGCGGGGCCGCGCAGTTTAGTCTTGATGGGCAGGATAGCCATATTGCCTGCAAGACGCATGTCGGGCTCTTCATTGAAAGATGAGTGATAGGCCTTTGGAATGTTTTAGTTGGCGCATCGGACGAAGTAGACGACTCACGGGCATGATTCAAGCGACTGCACTGCGGCGGTTCAGAGTTCTGTAGATGACGGATGATGTGGCTGTGGGAGCGGGTGCTGACTGGATCATTGATGGTATCATTGCACTGTTCAACACCTTACAGTTGCCCTTGAACGTGTTGCCGCTTAACGAGGGAATCCAGCCAGCTAGTATTCGAAGCAAACTGCTCACCTTCATGCGAGTGAGATATTTCAGACAGTTCGTATGAGATGCCGATGACGAGAAGCTCGGCAAATGACCTTTAAATCCGTGGAGATCATAGTCTCTCCCCACTCAACTCGATCCCAACTACATCGATTGAACGAAACCTCTGTTCTCTCATCTTCAGAGCAATAAGAACGGCCGCCACTCGGATTTAGGTATCGCGGTACCGTGACCCAATCGGCACAGAGCAGGTGACTGACGTGATTGGCGTTAAGCATCGACCGCCGGCTATCACTTCTTTTTGGGGCCTGGGATCGTCCGTTAACGTTACTTATCCCTCTTTTCTCTTTCCTCTCACACACTATGGCTCCTGCCCACCGTTCCCTCATCGGCGTGAACGCCCCTGCGGTCGCTCTTCCCAACTATGATGGTGAAGAGTTCAAGCTTACCCCAGGAGAAGGCGGCATGCCTACGGTCATTTTCTTTTACCCCAAGGCTGGTATGTTATTAAGCCAAATGGTCTGATTTCTAGGGCGCTGAACAAAATCAGGGTCTTATGGATGCACGAAAGAGGCCTGCCAGTTCCGAAATGCTATCGCTGGTAGATTCCTTTTCCACTCCGTACCAACCACTGGGCGCTCAACATCTGCCGCTACAGAGAAGGAAGCGTTTCAGGCCGACAATGTCCAAATCGTCGGCATCAGCCCGGACTCTGTTGAAAAACAGAAGACTTTTGTCGAGAAGAACAAGCTTACTGTAAGTTGCGATGCGACGAATTGTTGACATCCTTTGTAACGCATATATGCAGTATCCGGTCCTGAGCGACTCTGAGGGCACGGCCGCGAAGGCATATGGCATCGGCAAAGGTCTGTTTGGGCTCGCCGATGTGGCCCGGACGACTATCATCATCGACGCGAAGGGGATCATCCGGTATGATTTGATCCTGGGCTCGTAACGATGACATTTTGAACCAACGGCCCTTAGGGACACCATCGAGGGAACCCTGAATTACGGAGCTCATGCCAAGTTTGTCACGAAATGGCTGCAGAAACTCGAAAGCGAGAAGGAGAAGCCTCAAGAGGCACCCGCCGCCGAGACTGCTGCTGCTGCTGAGACTGTCGCGGAGCCAACTGCAGCCGAAGAGTCTGCCCCCGCGGAGGTTCCCGCGCAGGCTGAATCCTGAGCGGCACGAAGCTGTGTACACACGCACATATATATATACCCGGAATGACACACTCACTACATCAATCCACACTCGTTTTGACCCATTTCACTGATTCCCGATGTGCGACCACGACGCCAGCTCTGATCGTGGTCCGGTCAAAGCCGGGATTGAGCACAGCGGCTTGTAAGGTCGGCGAGTCGTGCAGGACGACGAGATGTGCTGGATCGTCGATTGCTACGGAAATATCCGCTGTGGCATTGGGGTCTGCGATGGCTCTCTTCGAAATTGTTGTCACAGCGCGCTGCTCGTTTTTCAGTTCTGATTTCTTGCCAAAGAGTGCACGGACCAGAAGATTGATCAGATCTGGCGCCGTGGCAGTCTGGAACAAAGCAACACCGAGCGTGCAGAGAGAGAGCGGATCAACAGATCCTTGAGGTGTGAATGCGTTCTGCATCAATCAGTCTTTTTGCGTGAGAATTGGTGAATTTCCTCACTTGCACGTTGTTGACCGACAAGGCCACCTGTATCTGGTGTTTATTGGCGAGATACGGGACCCTCAATGTGCCACGAGGTGGACCCAGAGGCTCGTCCACCGCGCCTCGCCCCAGCATATACAGATCGCTCTGAGGAAGACCGATAAAGGTGATCGGGAGCTCGCCGATGGCCTGTTTGAGGTTGCACCACTCATCGGAAGTCAGCAGCTGTAGACGTGTCGCGTGGCCAATGGTTATCCGTCGACCCGTGGGCCAAAACAGTCTCTTCGCTTGCGCAATCACCTCGTAGATCAGTGGCTCGGACGTTGGATCCAAGTTGTAATCGAGATGAAAGTCGACATGGCACTCGTGTTTCTGAGCGAGCTCGAGGATGAGCTTGATATTCAACTTGGCCTGCGCTAAGCTAGGTTCCACATAAGGGGCAGACCCGACGACTGAGAGCGTCCCTAACGCGGCAGCTTCTTGTAGAAGGGAGTAGTTTTCTCCAGGTTCTTCCGAACTCCCGTCAAACAGAGGCTCCTGGGCAAAAGCTGCTGATGGTCGGGTTGAGATCAATCCTTGAACAGGGCTTAGTCGGATGCATGCCTGCTAGCTGGATATCACAGATTCCATCAAAGGTCTTGCAAAGTTTCCGTCCCACGTCAAGGCAGGTAAACTTCACAACAGTGTCGATCTCGACATGGGCACGCATGCTGGTGACGCCACACTCGACGCTGTCACGGATGAGGTTGAAGCCCCGAGTGTACAGATCGACCTCGTCAAAACCCGCTTTGGCTTCGTTAGTGACAGTCATGGCTTCTGCGAAGTCGCTGGCTTCATTTGAGCTTCTAGTTAGACGAGAAGGATGCTGAAGTTTGACACACCCAGAAACGAGATTGCATCGGTCGAGGATGTAGCATTTGTCCAGATGGATATGGGAATGACATAGGCTAAGAGATCGGCGAATGGCCGTACATCGGAGAAGCAACCAAAGACGCTTACGAGGGGATGACGAGGCCTCCCTTCGCGTCAACTTGACCCGCGCCAGCCTGAGCATCAACTTGGACGAAACCATCTTGTTCGTCGATCCAGCAAATGAGACCTGACTTGCACTCGATCGTGCGTAGAGCGCCAGGAACAGAGGATCCGGGATCCGGGATCCGCGCGTTGACAATGGTCAATGATCCCGTAGCGATCGCATCCATATGTAATGATATAGCACAGTTAGAGCAGTAGGCCGGACCGTCGTGCGGGTGGCGATGGAGCGTGATTGGCGTTATTTGTCAAGAGTGCATCCATCAAGCGCGTCATAATGCGAGCCAGACGTCAACCGAAAACCTTCAGAGTTTGCATCCGTCCGCCATGGATCCAGAGGTGCCTCTGATGTCCTCAGAGTCCCCCCAGCCTGCTCCGGAAGTCCTCACGAGTCAGTGTGCATTCTGCGTCCCTGGGAGTGCGAATCCAATTTGTCCCGAACAGAGCTCGTCAACCGGCTACGCGCACTAACACTCACCCTGCTCCCTGTCGAGGTGGATCCAGCATCGTCAGTCCCCGCTTCAGGTTGGCGAGTTGCCATCTCTAGAAACTCACTGCTAGCCTCCAGGATCTCTGGACCTACGAGCCGAGTGATCACACCCCAAGTTATCAAGGCGTACAAGGCAGCTGCTGGCGACTTTCACGAGGCGGTGAGTGGGACCCGGATCAGTCTCGCACCGCCATGGTGATCTGTTTTGCCAAGCTTCCATATTGCCTGCTCCGGGCGCGCACTGAATTCCTATACGACGCGGACCACAACCCAGCAGACTATGGCGAGAACATCGGCCGAGGCTAGTGCGGAAATACTTGGGCTTCAGCCGAATTGCCTAAACTCCGAACAGCTACAGCATGCGAGGTCCTCGCAAGAAGGATCGTGCACGCGGCGCCTCCCGATGCACTCAACACGATCATGTCGACGCGTTTCCAGCACATTCAGATAGACGGAGACAAGAGCGACATGGCCAGTGCGCTTGAGATGGCGATTGACTCGCATTGGTGCGTCGAGCTTACTCTGTTGTTCGCTTCCCGAAACTCAATCTCTGCAGCACCATCTTCCTTTCTTCTAGCGAAGCCCAGGATGTTGTGAACGCTCTATGGAAGGGGGAAATCATCCAGCAAAACAATGAGAATCATGACATCGATTGTAGAGCGCCTGCTTCCATATGACTTTCCCGGTACTGACTCCGCATCAGTCGTACGGTACTCGGACACGCGTTCCAGCGACTCCTTTTTTGCCCGCTTGGATCCATCGAGAATGTCCGTGCCACGGTATCAAAACATGTTCCGAATAGTCGTTTGGTTGTTCTTCCTCTTTGTGTATTCCCAAGCAGGTGTGAAGTCCAGCTACATTCTTTCGATGCAATCTGACATCGGTCCAGTGAGGCAACCGCTCGAGAGATCGCAAGGTCCGCGCGAGCTTGACGAGTGGGAGATTGCGCTGTACACTATGACTCTGGCGTTTATGGTCGAAGGTCATCCATGTCCAGCTCTAGTCCTCTCTATTTGCTAACCGCTCGCCTGCTCTAGATCTGAGTCGAGTACGTTGATCGAAATCTCATGTCCCAATCGTCTGAAAAAGCTCCTGCAGTTATACAAGCTCCTCAAGTTTGTCACGTACCGCGCTTACAATTTCTGGATGGTTGGTGAGTCTTGCTCGCAATGAATTGCTGCGAAATCTCAGCTGACCATCGTGATCAAAGTATCCTTTATCACGAACGGAATCCTGACTGCCGCGTTTGTTTTGCGCGTGGTCGGAATGACCGGGCAAGAAGAAAAGGCTGCGGATCTGCGCTTGAAGAGTTTCCAGATTTTGAGTTTTGCTGCGCCTTTGCTATGGTGCGTTGTTCTACATGGTTTACGGAGATATCGCTGAATCAGTCACTTCAGGATGAGTGAGTCCTCACTTTCCGAATGAAGCAGCGAAATAATACCTTAAATCAGAGCTGATCACGGTGTTCGACGGATATAAGTGTGTCAACTTTATTTTCTCGGCATCCCAGAAGACTGAAATGGTGACTGGATAGATATGTCGGGACAATGCAGATTTGCGTTTCCCGCATGCTGCAAGAGTCTAGCATCTTCTTCGCGGTACGAAAGTCTCGAACGCCGAGACCTGACCTGACCTCACATCTCGTATAGCTTTTGTCCGTGCTGATTATCGGATTCTGGCAAGGACTCTATGCTCTGGATGCGTCTGACGGAAGTGCTGAAGGTTCTGGCACGGTACGTTTCTCTATCTCTACCAACACACATGATGCTGAGTTGGCACAGATCGCCAATGTCCTGGTGCAAGCGCTATTGCAATCCCCCGACTTTGGAAAGTTCTCTAACAGCACGATGGGACTCGTTCTGTACTACCTGTACGTCCCTCTTACCGTGGGACCACCTCTGTCGCTCACCCGATACATGGCAGATGGGGTGTTATCACTGGTACTTTCCAATGCAAAAACTTGAACAGCACACACTCCTGACGCTGCCAGGTCTGATTCTGCTGAACATCCTCATCTCGCTGTTTTCTTCAGCGTATTCGGATGTCGTTGATGACGCTGAAGCCCAATATCTGGCGTTCTTTGCCAGCAAGACGGTCGGGATGATCCGCGCGCCAGACGAATTCGTGTTCCCCTCCCCGTTCAACATCATCGAAGTCCTTTTCCTGATTCCGTTCGAGTGAGTCTTGCGACGGATTCCGGGCTGCAGCTGCTTGAATATGTTGACAGATTATGCGGCCTCAGCCGCAAGTCCTACGCGAAACTGAACCGATTTGTCATGATCACCGTGTTCTTCGTGCCGCTCGCCATGATTGCGCTGCACGAATCGCTTACAGAAGAGAGCAGACACACTTGGATGAAGCACTGGCTCAGTGGCGATAACGAAGGCGAGGACGAGCGACCTGAGCACCACGATCCGGTGGTCGATGACGATCCCGTCGGCCGCGTGATCAGCAAAGTTCCTTTCGAGGATGTCGTCAAGGCTTTCCCTGATACCAACCAGGTAGCCTTGTCTTGCCCATGCCTCTGGGTTTGCCGCTTACACTATCACACTGCACAGTCGAGCGAGGCACTGATGATGACCGAGATCACCCAATTGCGAAAGCAGCTGGCAGCGCTTTCAGAGAGATTGAATAGCATCGGGAACTAAGGACATCTAGTGATTCTAATTGCCATACGGTCTACTCGGATAATTGTTGCAGTGGTTCTGGAATGCCTGTTCTTGCGACGGAAGTCTGTTGCCACGAGAGTTGTATGCGCTAGCTCCAGCTGGCACACTTTTGTCTGAGGCCCAACGACCATCTTGCTGGCGTGGTTCGTAGCGAGGCTGGGGTCGACCGTTCAACTGGAAGCGATCAGATTTCATCGCCCCGATACCAAAACTGTTCGAAAGCGGCATCGGTGCAAACGTGTCGGGCGGTGAATGGACAAAGTTGAAGTCTTCGCGAGCGGCTGCCATGTTATTGCTGTGTCTCAGACCAGTCCAGTCGAGGTTATCCGTGTGCGACGAGTAACCGAAAGTAGCCGGGGCTTGGGTCTGCTGATGCTGCTGAATGTTGTTCGGATTGTTGCTGTTCTTCGGAGCGACATGCATGTGCGTTGATTCATTATGAGAGGCGACGTTGACCCGGTCGCGGAAAGGGGATTGCTCGGGCACCAACGTTCCACCGAAGACGTCTTTCGCTTTGTCCTGGTGATCATTCTTGCTTGCATTCTCGTTGTGCTGCAACCATGGATCGTGGGTGGACATCCGTGCCCAAGAGGTCTTTGGCACGACAATTTGAGGTTGACCTCTGTCATCCCGCGAGGATGGCTGCCCGGCAGTGGGCGGAGTGAGCAATGTCCAGGTATCAGCACGTTCAGATGGGCTCGAAGACGACGAGGCTTTGTCCGGATGTACCTGTGCAGAAAACGGGAGCTGATTCACTGCTGCTCCGTACCCACGGTCCTGTCGACCCAGATGCGCATTCTTGTCTGGCTGCAACCGCGGATCGTGAGCGAACATTCTTGCCAAAGAAGTAGATTGCGGAACAACCTGAGCTTGGTGCGGCGCATTCCGGTGCTGTGCAAAGAGCGGTGCGCCAGCCTTTGTGGTCGGCACTGAAGATGGACATTGTTCCTTCGCTGTCTCCCATGCGCCGTTGGGGGCTGACAAAAGCGCATCGCCACGTGATTGGAGTGCGACCCAACTGTCGTCCTGATGCTCAGCACTTACATGTGTCGGAGCTTTGATATCGTTCCGAGGAGGTCGACTCTCAGCTTGTCTTGTATTCGTCTGTGTACTGCTGCAGTCACTAGCACGGCGGCCACGATGCCCTGTGGGCTTACGATTCCGCTTTCCTCTTCTATGTTCGTGCTTAGATTTGTCGGACGCTCGGTTGGAATTACGTTGATGAGATGCGGGGTGGGGTGCCTCAGGCTCGTCCGGAGCCAGGGCCCAGTTTGGACAGTCCGCAGTATGCGCTGAAGTAGCCTCGACATTTTGAATGGGTGGGAGCTCGACATGTTTCTTGTTTGGTGCTCCAGCAAGCGGTTCAGCCAATACAACCGCAGCGAGATCGGGATATCTAGTGGCGATCTGACCTAATGAAGGAAACGTCCATGCAGCACAAAGTGAGAACACCCACATTGGTTGCATCGGCATAGGTGTTGGGAGGAACTTGGATTGGCCCGTCGGATGTGTCCAAAACCACACTCGAACCTTCATTGATGTAGGCATTCGATATATCCTGAATCATCCCAACCTAAATCAACCAAGGAGCACAAACGCACGGCTGACTGACCTCTGTGCGTTTGTTTCTCTTCGTCACCAGGACTGATTCTTCGTCCATCAGCTGTGAAAGACCTCAGCCCACGATCGAAAGAATGATGCAACTACACACCGAATCACTAATGATTGAATCGTTCGTGAGATCAAAAGAGGCGTATGGAGTCGACGACGCGATGGCTCCTTCCGCAGTGAAATCAACGAGTGAGTCTTCTCGAGTGAGTGCAGAGATTGGACTAGCAGCGACAGATCCTGGTGTCACCGTGGCAGTCGCGTCCGTCACTGGTGGAGGGGTGGGTGGCGCAGAGATGCGGACGATCACGGGGTTTGCAGGAGCCCAGAGGACATCGCCCGGTTCAAGCTTCTTCATAGGTTCTTCCAAGGCAGACTAGACGGGCGTTCAACGAGCGAGCAATGTTCAATGCTGAACACGTACTATGGGCAGTGGACCCTTCGGTGCAGGGCTCGATTGTCGAGAGACCGTGGGAGAGGGAGGATGGGGAAAGAAATGGGACATCTGGTCGAGAGGCAGATCTGAAGATAGTTCGAAAGTAGGTGGCAGAGACGTGTCCGATATTGGGATAGAGGTGTTGGCTGGGCCCGCACACGGCGAGCGAGCGTTCTGATCATCGGTACTCGCTTTGAGCTTGGATTGGTGCATCTAGAGTAGAGTTCAATCGTTTGCAGGAGGGAGAAGCGACACACAAACGGCATGGAATTCGAGTTCTTCGTCTGCGAAAGAGCGGGCTGGAGAACCCCTCTGGGCGGTGTTGGTGTCGGTGCGAGTCAACTATGCGCGTTCATCAATGTCCAGAAACATGGGTAGAAGCTGACGCGAAACCCACCGTCGGGTGAACGGGCGAGTCATCCTTGGATATCTAGGAGTCGTCAGCGTCGATCTTGCACAGTGGATCTCGGTAACGCGTACAGAGTGACCATCCGCTACCAAGACATAAGACGCGTCGGGGCTGGGCGTGGTCGATGCCGGAGGCTCAGTGCCAGACTGCTCGTTTCCCATGAGCGATAGAGGCTAGGGTCAAGGTGGATGCAGAAGAAAGACGGCCTGCATAAGCCAGCAGCTGTCATTGAGATGTATCGAATCCCAAAACGGCAGGGACAATGCCTTTTGCCCGTTGGCGAGCCCATTCAGAGGGGGTTTCGCGTACAACACGTTTATTTCACGCGCGACTAGTGGGAGCAGTACGCGTTCCATGTGGCGCAGGTTCTCACTGCGAGAATGGGCGGTCCCTGGCATGCAAGACCTGCATCCGAGTCAATAACGTCCAGGCACTTAGTGAATCTTCTTCTTCACCTCTATTTCTCAGCCACACCAGTTTTCACAGCGGGGGGAATCAAATGTATGGGATATATTCAACCAGTGGTACGAATGTATACACGTATCGTAGAGAGATGATCTATGCGCCGAATGCACGGAGAAGACAGTCGTCGTCGACCACAACAAAGTCCGACCACCATCATCCGCCAAGGCCGCGCTGGGAGCGATCCAAAAGCAACCGGACTCAAAACGAGTCCGAGTCACAGAATCCCAACCCAAGCTCGATCTTACACGGCTTTGACTCATTATCGACAGTAGACAGCGGAAAGGCTGGTGAGGACGAAATCCCCCTGTCGAGACAATTTAAGGATCGTGTAGCAGTTGGAGGCAGTCAAGAAAGCAGAGAAGCGAATGAGGAAACGAAATGCATTGAGGACATGAAAGAGAGAATGATGTCGATTTCTCGGTCGGCAAGCCATTTATACGTCTGTTCGGCGATCAGATGCCGGGCCAATCAAACAACTCCCATCCATCATCAACTGCTCAGTTCCACCACTCACATTTACCGACCATGGAAAACGACCAGGTGCGCCAAGCGTCGGCGCCGTAGTCCTCGTGTCTCATCCTCTTCGCAGGGCCTTCTCGTCGATCTCTACGTCCCCCGCAAGTGCGCGGCAACCAGTCAGCATCATTTTGCCGCATGAAAAAACTTGAGGATTGACGCATCCGCTTCTCAGACCGCCTCATCACCTCAAAAGATCATGCCTCCGTGCAGATTAGCATCGTAGACGTCGACGCTAACGGCCGTGCCCTTAACACCACCACCACCTTCGCTTTGTGCGGTCAGGTCCGGTCCCAGGGCGAGAGTGATGACTCGATCAACAGACTGGCAACGAAGGCTGGCCGTGCGTCCGATTGCTCTTTGCCGTGTCACATCGATCGCTAATGCCTCTGCAGTGTTGAGGAATGTGTGGTCTTACCAGAAGTAATCATCTGTTTTACTTTTGCACTACTTTTCTGTCACGGCACAATTCATTTCGCTGCACTCAAACCCAACTGTACTCCTCATGGCATGCAACGTTGCTCCCCTCTTTTTGTTGTAGGTCAAATCAAGGCTCGATGAGATGATGCTTCCTGCCTCAGGCACCGTATGCTTATTCGCAGCCTTGTGGAGTCCTCGCCTTTGTCTGAGCTCGACTGATCATCCCTCGCGCAAGTGTCCGGTTTCCGATTCACGACAAATCTATCTTCGTTTATGAGGAGCGGGAAAGCATGCTAGACTGTTGAACATGAGAAGTGATTGGCAGCAGGTGTACTTGCTGAGACTGATGAGAGTCTCTTCCAGCGGACTAGGTCTATTCTGACTCCGAACGACATCCGTCTCTCCTGGCCACTGGTTTACCAAGCCTCTAGGTCGTTCTGGACAGTGTTTTTTGATCAATCATCTCATCATTCGTTGTTCCGTTGAAGGATGCGTAACAACTGTAGCACAATTGGAAAGTCTTCCCTTACCGTTTATGCTACCGTATTCAGATTCGGAGAGTACATCTAGGCATAACCTTGACATGTAGTAAACTTGACTTATAGTTGAGATGTCAGACGGTGTACAGAGATTATCTTAACAGATAAGGATCTACGAGGATGACAGATCAGCATTGCCCCTTCGTTTCATCATCTGACACTTTCCTCGACTTTCTTGACCTTCCACCCCCGTTGGCCGCGCCAGCCGTTCTATTTCTTCGTTCACACTCCTTGCTGCTACTCTTCGCACCCATTTCAGTCGTCTAACATGTCTGGAGAAGTGGAATACTCTGACCCATCCCCGGTCTTCGATACTCTCGACGTCGACCTCATCATCAAAGTCCTCAAGAACACAGCATTCAGTATGCATTTCAGCAATGAAATATCTCTCAAACTTAACTTCAAAACCAAGGCCCCTTCTTCTGCATGCTCATCCCGACCTTCTACCTCTTCCAAGGCGCCAAAGCGACTGACAGTATTGTGGTCATCTCAGCGGCGTATTGCTTGGCCGTGTCCGCATTCTGTAAGAACGTGTCGATATCTTTTAACCAGCGAATATATGAACATCTTTCAGGGTTCATTCAATGGTGTTCCCTCCTGTACCATAACCAAGGAAGCTTTTGGTACGCTCCTAAACCCATGGAATGGAGTGATCAAATTGTGGTAGTCACTGGTGGTACGTCTACTGTTCGGATCACTTTCTCCGTGTACTAAAGTGAGTCTAGGCTCGTCTGGTATCGGCGAACTGCTGGCCAACACCTTAGCCGTGAAGAGTGTGACTGTTATCGTCCTGGATGTCAAGCCCATACAAAGCCAGAACTGTGAGTTTTTCAGTGCCTCACCCTTTCCATTACTGACGTGTCTCAAGACAACATCAACTACTACAAGTGTGATGTCAGCAAGTGGGAGGAGGTTGAAGCCGTGTCTAAGAAGATCGTTGAAGAGGTGCTTTTGTGGAAAATTGACCGTACGAGCCAAGTCTGACGGGGTTGGCTAGATTGGGGAGCCCACTATCCTTATCAACAACGCTGGCGTTGTGCAAGGCAAGCTGTTGTTGGATCTGTCTCCCGAAGATCTCAAGCAGTGAGTCACATTCCGCGTCTTGGCCATCCGTCCGAAACTGTGTTCTACAGAACCTTCGACGTGAATACGCTTGCCCACTTCTGGACTCTCAAAGCTTTCCTTCCAGCCATGATTGCTGCCGGCAAGGGCCACATCGCAAGTTCATCCGCTTTGCGCAAGACTACCATCTAATCCGAGCAGGTGACAGTTGCATCAGTGCTGGGTATGCGGGGGTTTGCACAAATGAGTGAGTTTAGGCGCAGTTTTCTATGACATTCTCCGCTCAACGCTCCGTAGGTGACTACTGCGCTTCCAAAGCAGCATTGATCAGCCTGCATTCGTCGCTCAGGGCAGAACTCAACACACGGCGCGTCGGCAGTCATTGGGAATCTACCTCACTTGACTTTTCTATCACAGGTACAAAGCACCCGGTGTCCGCACAACCCTCCTCTGCCCGGGCCACGTCCACACACCACTCTTCGCGGGTGCTGATCCGGCCAACAAGTTCTTCTTCCCAACCGTACATCCGATCGAAGTTGTGAAGAAAGTCATACAAGCTCTGGACGACACGCATTCTCAGTCGATCTATCTTCCTTTCTACGTTAACTTTGTCCCTACCCTGCAGCTTTTGCCTGAATTTGTAGGCAATCTAGCCGATTGGGTGAGTAGAGTTTGTTGCGAGATTACGATCATATCTGACTCCTCTAGTTGACTAACGCGAACTTTGCGATGAAGAACTTTCGCAAGCCTTCCAGTCGCAGAGATGAGGAAGGTCCCGTAACCAAAGCAGATTAGACATGCAATAACAGCCCAAACGACGATGTGAGATGTCAATTGTGTGTTTGCCTCGATCAATCTACTTGTCATGTCTGTGACGGCCTAGAGTGGCCAGCGATGCAATTATGAACGGCTGAAACACGCCAATTGGCGCTTTGAGGGTCTATAAAGCGCCTTGACGGCTCGAGCGTTAAATCTCGGATCAGTGCCGTTCTTATCTAATACGCGCTTTGCATCGCACTGCTCTTAAGAGCACCCACAAAGGCAGTTACCTTCCCCACTCACAACTACCCGTCCCTTTCCCACTATCGACCGACTGCCTCGATCTGCGCTGATGTTCGCTACCATTCACCAGGCTCTGCTCCGCGCAGCGACCATCCTCGCCAGCAGCAGTGTCTGGGCACACGACCCGCCACTCACCGTACCACACGCGCCCGAGACGCGTCGAATGTCGAAAAAACGGCGATCGAGATCCCCCCGATCACCCTGCGTTCCAGGCAAGTCCCCTGCGACGTGCACCAGCCAGGCGCTGCACGTAACCATCACCTCGACTCCCTCGCTCTCCGCGACTGCCGCGTTCCTCGCGATGCTGTACCCCCCTCCCGTGTTCGCGACGCGATACACGACGTATGGATGCGGTGGTGGGGGCTGGACGACGATTGGCGGTGATCGGGTGCCTCCCCCTGTGAGTGGCGACCGTCTGACTGCACGCATTGTCCCACGCTCAATCAACAAGGTCTGTCGCAATGCATGTCAAGGCTGTGACACCCCAGACTGGTCGGCGACCACCGCGTTTCGGCGCGTATCTAACTTTGGCGGACCATCGGAGCAACCCCTTGGGCCTACTGCATGTAGGCCGAAAGCCGAGGCTGATTATGACGCAACCGTTTCCGGGCCATTGATGTGGGAACCGGGATCCGTGCATAATGGGGACTGCCTGTCATGTCCTGCTACTATGGTGAGCGCCCGGAGTTGCCTCGCCTTATCTTTCTACTTCTGACCACGACCATCCTCTCTGTCTGTCCGCTTCCAGCCCTCGGAGACAGCGGAGGTGCGCATTGTCCATTCAGTGCCATTCAATTCCTTAACTCATCTTCGTCAGCTTTCAATACCTTTATCAATACCGATCCCTGACTCTGACTCCGGGACGGATATCCCGCAAGTCATGGTTCCAGAAGAAGAAGAAGCAGGAGAAGCAGAGACTTGGGACGATGAGACATGGGCCGCCTACCTCTCGTGGCAATCCAACCAAGCCCACCACCATCCAGGATACCTCTGTGTCTCAGACTCTGCACTCGCACTACCAGCGGCTGGGCCACTGCCGGATCGGTCAGGGCGTGAGCCGTGCAAGGTATTCAGTCGCTCGCAGTTGGCTGCATTTGTACGTCACGCGACCCCTCGTCGGAGGCTTATTGGCTCACACCCGACAAGATTTTAGCTCTGCGCGAGGGCACACCTTCCGAGATCGAGTGTGCGGCAAAAGAGGCATACAAGGACGTGGTGCGTGGTTTGCGGGCGGTGCGCCCGGCGGAGTGCTCATGTTGTGCAGGCCTTTGCAGCATGCGCGGTCGTGCGCGACGCCGTCGGCGGATATTACGAGGACGGGAACGTGCTGGCCCACCTCGATATGCTGAGTGCGTTTCAGTGGACGGACCCGGCAGCATCCGTGCTTGCGCACTGGCGCAACTACATTTTCATCTCACTCATCGAATCTGACGCCCCGTTTCCGTGCCACACATCGCCATAAGCCATGCGCCGGAAGACCACGGCCTGGCTGCGGGCCTCGTGGCCCTCCCACCCCAGGACACAGCGCATCTGTGCGTTCCTCCTCGACCGAGTTTCACGCGATCGGCAACAGAAGAAGGTCTAGAAGTCAAGGACGACGCCAACAGCTGGTGGATCGAGGGCGAAGAGGACTCCGGCGCGGAGCCGAGCTCCGAGTCGGAGGAGGAACTGGAGGAAATGCAGACGCCAGTCGTCGACTTTTCGGTCGCTGTTCCGTGTGCCACGGAGAGCCTCTCGCGCCACTTCCTGCTGGAGGAGGAGGATCTGGTGCTCCCAGACGAGATCCCGGTGTACCGTCTGGGGATGAAACACAGGCCGCTTGATGTGGTGCAGGAGCAGGATGAGTCGGACGAGGACAGCTCACTGGGCGCAGTTTGTGATATGCCGCGCCCATCCTGCGATCCTTTTCCCGCGTCGTTGAGAAAGTGGATCGAATCAGCTGGGCTGACCTGCCAGAGGACGATCTGGGTGACCTGGATTGGGCGCGTTGAGTATCACGATGGACATCTATTGTATTATTATCACCCTGCATTTGTACCAATACCAGCATTGCTTTGCATTGGATTCAAGTAGACTGCCAGTGCCTGCCAAGTACTGCACGTTAAACCATCAAATCCTCGATCACTCGAACTGTTATTGCATCAACCATCATTATTCAGAGCTCTCGAAGAATGAGAAATGAGTGGAGGCAATAACGTACGCTATTCTACTTTTTAAATGCCGTCGATAATATACATATACATCTACTTGGTTGACTAGAGATACACGGATGAGATGGATGGAGGCAGATCAAACCACGGTCGAGTGGTCAACGAGGATGCCGCTGATGCGGTTGTACACAGCCTCAGGGTAACACCTCGTCGCGAGCCTCTCCAGGAGCGCATTCGCGTTTTCGCGCATTCCGCACCCCAACTCAGCACGGACCATGACCTCCCAGGTCGACGGCTAGCAAACGGTTCGTCAGCACAGAAGCAGACACACAAGCGCAAAAAAGTACACACCTCACGGTAGACAGGTTCCGCGGGGTCGATCATGGGCATCACACTCGGCTCGTGGGGGGCGTGGTTGCCGACGGCCGCAACGCCGCTCGGCGGGTCGACGAGACTCTCGAAGATCAGCCGCGCCTGGTCCATGTCACCGACATCCGCGTAGCCCTTAATCAGGAAGTTGGCGATGTATGCTGTCATGTGCACGCCCTCCCGGTGCATCATCCCGACGTACTGCGGCATCAAGTCTGTGCGCCGGTGCGCGACGAGCGTGTTGATCACAGCCTCGAAAACCAATGCGTCACGTGGCGGGGCACCTGGAATCGACGGAATCGACGCAAACACGGACAGCGCCTTGTCGAGGTCTTTCTGGACACAGCCGTAGGCATTGATCAACGTCGCAAAGTGGTTGCCCTGGATGTCCACCGTCGGGTCCTGCCGCAGAGCTTCCCAGATTTGCTCCATCCTCGGGATGTCGACCGGCTCAATCCGCCCGTAAGCATCCATCAGCAGCTGTGAGAAGAGATGGTGAGTGAGTAGAGCTCTATAAACAGACGACGGCACGCACCTTGTATGTATAGGCAGACGGCGAGACCCGGGACTGTCTCATCTGCTGGTAGTAATGCAACGCCCGTTCGCGGTTCGGTCTGGTCGTCGTGTAAAGCTGCATCATCGTGTTGAACGGCGGCACGCGCGGCCGGTAAAGAGGCGATGCGATCATCTCCGCAAACAGATTCTCCGCCGACTCGACATCGCCCACTCGCGCACAGGCACCGATGACCGCGCCATAGGTGATCGAGCTCGGCTGGGTGTGCTTGTGCGTCTTCATCTCCTCGAACAGCTGCAATGCGTGGTCAGCCTTGCGGGCCTTTGCGAGCTTCGAGATGATGTTGTTGTAGAGATACAAGTTGGGCACAACCTGGTGCGTCTGCGACTCGTGGAACAGGGCCAGTGCATTACTCGTGTCGTCCGTCGTGTCCTTGACGTACAGAATCAGCGCGCCATACGCATCAGCAGTGGGCGCGCCACCGAGCTCGAGGATCCGCATGCGGTGCACGTGCGCGCTCTCCAGGTCCCCTGCGTGTGCCAGCCCGACGATCATGCTGTTCTCGACGGCGAACCACGCAGTGCTCTGCGCGCGTTTGTTTCCTTCCAGCAAGTGCAGCACCGCCTGTGCGGCAGTGTATGCCTCCCGCACCCGGTCCACAGCACCAATCCGACCCAGGCTCTGGATCAGGCGCCCCACAGCGAACGGCGTAGGAACAACACCCTGCGCATACGAGGCGTGGAAGAACGCATCGGCTTCGAGAGTTCGCTCCCGGCTCGTAGGCTGTGACAGTTTCTCCTCGAGCTGTTGAGAGAAGTTCTTGTCGAATGTCAACCGCTGCTCAGGCTCGGAGGTGAGCGCCGTCTCAGCCGACAAATGGCTGCCTGCACTCGAGATCGTTGGAGACGCCGAAGCTGGAGCATCCAAACCCTCCATCCCATCGAGGACCTGGACGAACCCAGCCCCAAGCTGTGCAAAGATCTGTTGGACACCCTCTGCGCCCCTCTTCACGAACACAGTCTTCGCAACACGGCGAGAGAGAGTAGCGGGGACATGGATCAGTGTAGAGCCGGCAGATGCCATATCTTCGAGAAGACTGACAAGGCCCTTGAACGCATAGCCCTTGGGCCGTGATGCACTCGAGATCTCGTTCATCACAGCGCATTCCAAGAGAAGAGTCCAATCCTGAACCGTCATCGCGTGCGAGGCCGCCAGCTCCTCTGCGCTCCCGGCAGCAGCGCGCGCCTGACCATACGTGTGCAGAATCCGCACCGAGTTGCTCAGCAGGTTCGATGAACGTCCCAGTCGCGTCAATCCGAGCACAAAATCAAACGAGAGTGACTCCTTTGACTGCAATATCGTATGAGCGACATCACCCGTGCTGACACCTAATTGCTTCGAGACAGCCAATGCTTCCTGGAAGAGCCCAGCCGACACAAGTGCTTGCCAGAGCGGTTTTGCGAGCTGAAGCACGTCCATATGCGGGGCAACCACGTGATTGGCCAAAAACATTGTGGTGGAGACCAGTTGCTCGGGCGAAAGCTGGGAGAGAACACGGACGTTCGCCACATACACGATTTCTCGGTCAGCGTCACGGATCGTAAGTTGGTCGTTCGGTGCACATTCCAGTAGCGTCAGGAAAAGTTCATTGAGTTCGTCAAGTCGGCCAGCATCGCCCAATGCCTCGATCATCGCATGCCACGCAACACCGTCGGGTCGAAGCACTGCCGTAGAACATTCGAACGGTTTCCCGGCGACTGTCTGCTGAGCCAGCAAACGCTGGAACCATGTGATGGCGGTGTCGAGGTCCCCAGAGCGAATAAACCCAGAAATGATCGCAGTGTATGTCGAAGGCGCTGGATGAGGCGTGTCCGCTTGCGCGAATTCCGGTGCTGCAGTGGAGGACATCATCCGTTCGAGGAGCTCAACGGCCTTGTCGGGCCGACCAGCAACAAAGTACGTGGAGACCATTTCGTTGTAGACCTGTAGGTATTGGCGCCGTGACTGGTCTATGTCGATAGCCGGGGCCTTCCAGAGCAACTTTCCAGACGAAGCACGGTCCAAGAAATCCTTGAAGATGATTTCTGCCAAAGTTATTCAGTGCTCCCGCGATGACCAATTGGAGTCAAGACGCACCAGCATTGTCGACGCTTGTGGGCGTCGCATAGACTCTGATCATATGTCGGAAGACCGCCGCAGACGGGGTGAGTTGAGTTCGTTCCAGAGCAGTCAAGACATGAACGGCTGCATCCTGGCGCCCGTGGTTTGCGCAAAGCCGCAACAGAGCAACGAAGACATGCATACGAGCGACTTCAAGTATTCAGGCGTGTTGATCGTCTCAAACAGCTTCATCGCAGAGTCAAACGTGTTTTCGGCCTGCAGGCGCTCAATCTTCTGCGCGTTGGACTTGGAGACTGGCCCGCGTGAACGTATTGCGGTAATGGCCGTATGGATCTCGTTGTCGCGGTCCCCGATGGCCAGTATGAGCTCGACGTAAGTCTGCAGATTGGGCAGGACACCTTTCTTGAGCATTGAACCGTACGTCTGCAGTAGCAGAGTCAACGACTGATCTTTCTGCCGTGCCTCCCGCAGCGCTTCGATCGCTATGTTGAAGTCCCGGACGGAAAGAGAAGCAGACGTGTCAACAAGGTGTTCTCTAATAGCTTGCGCAACACCATTCACACTGCCTGCCATCTGCGCACGACGGATGGCATGCACGGCTGCTGATTCCGGCGGAGGACGGGGAGGCTCCACTGTTTGAGGAGCAGCGGGGTCTGCAGAATCTAGAGCGGTGGCGGAGAGCGGAGGGAGAGGCGCTGTTGCCGAGGAATGCAGTGGAGGAAGAGCTGCAGCCTCTTCGGCGGCAACCAGACGGGGAGACGGAGGCGAACTCGATGTCGAGTTTCTACGAACCAGAGCCGGCGCAGGGGGTGCGACTGCTGCGTCCTGTTCGTCTGGGGAAAGCGCCGCTGTGAAAGCGTGCCTTGACCGCGCATGCAACTGCACAGTCTTGAGGATGCCTGCCGGCGGCGCGTTCGGGGAGGGAGAAGACGAGGAGGAGAGGCTGTAGCTACGCGGGCGTTTGCGCGAGGAGGTGTTCAACGAGACACGGTGGGATATGACCAAATCCTGTTCTTCCTCGTCGGTCGGCGCGACGCTTGTGTCCTGCGACGACATGGCGTTAGCCTGCGTCACCGCGCGACCAGCGCCGCCGTAGCCCGACTGGAAACGACTGCCGGTGTACTTTTGACCTCCCGGCCCAGGCCCATTGCTCGACCCCCCACTCGAGCTGGGTCCCGCGCGGGCACCCGCGGGTGACGAGCTGGATGAGGAATGGAGGACATTGCGGAGTGTATGATGGGATTGGTTCTGGGCCGCGACAGCTGCCCGAGAAGTGCTGTGGAGGAGCTGGGTTGCGACCTTGGGTAGCATTGGAAGGTGCTAGCCCCGGCCGAGTTCTGTGCGGAGTCAAAACCAAACAACTCAGACAGATATCCTGACGGCCCTTCGACACGAATCACTTCGGCAGACGGCAGCGAAAAAAAGACGTCCCGAGATTGTCCGAGTCACGCTCCGTACACGTGCCGTCCATGATGTAAGTCACATGGGGCGCGATTGATGTGCCATCTTCATACAAACTGCCCCGACCTTTCAACGACAACGCGATGCCCTCATCCTTTTGAACCCTTGAACACCCGTTACACGGTTACAACTCGGTGGAATAATCAGCGCACTGGTTTGGTGCCTACCCATCGACGCGGCTGATGGGTCAGTCATCGAGGACTAGAGAGCTACAAGCAAAGCTTCAATTCCAACCCCCACCGCTTGATGTGGTGATCTCAGAGGAGACTGTTCTCAATCTCGCAAAGTACACCCTCCATTTGAACGTTTGCGAGGTGGGGATACCAGGACCTGGTGGCGGGCAACACAATTTCGTAAAGTGTGACCAGGATATGGGATGCTGGTGGCTCTTCTTCTGGGTGCGTGTCATTCCTTTCTGTGCCGGTCAACTCTTCCCACTCACTGTATGCTTTACATCCGTGCAGCATCAGATCAAAAGACACACCATCGTCAAAGGCAAATCGTTCTTCCAGTGTGATCTCACGAAATGCAGTGCCCGGGTCCACCAGAGCGAAGCGGCGCTGCACAGGCATGTCGAGTCCTCGCACATGAAGGGAGTCTACTTCCCTTGTCCCTTTACCGACTGCCGGTCATCTTCTTCTGTCTCTGGTCGTACTGCAAAGCCACACCTGTACGATCGGGAACGAGACCTCATTCATCACATTAAGACAAAGCATGAAGCCATGATAGGGATGACGCTCTCCTACATGTCGCCTCTTCTACTACCGAGTATGCGTCCTCGGCCCATGTCCCTTGATCCACCGCCCGCACTCCCATTAGACAGAATACCAGTCACTCGTCTACGGGTCGAGCTGTCGCCGCAAATCCACGTCCGGACCAGCGGATGGCAGCAACGCGCACCAAATCTGCGCCCACACATGCCAATGCAAGAACAGTCCGAGGCGTCGTACTTCACTTTATTGCCACCGCAGGGCGCCACTGCCGGCCGCATCAAGGCAGCGCGCCGAACGAAATTATCCAAGGCCTCGTCCTTCTCCGAGCTCTCGCAGACACAGAATCTGACTCGGGCGAAAGACGAGAACGAGTGTGAATACGACTTGGCCATGTTGGACGAAATTTCATGGGACGAGACAAGTCGGATTCTCATCCCGGAGCAGGCGACGAAACCTCCATTCTTCGATGTACATCCACGAGATAAAGAGTTCGAGCGCGCAGTGACAGTCTCTGGACCGGTATTTCTACCAGAAACGCAGCTCCCTGAGCACACGCCCAAAATCAGCATTTTCTACAATGTGTTGGCTACTCGATACTACAAGCAGCTGGCTGATGGAGAGGAGCCTGCTGCATAATTCTTGCAACGTGTGTATTGATAGTCGCCGCACCTTACAGTGCAATTATCTGACATGACCACCCAGAAGCTACGTGAGTTATTATCTCTGAATCAGGGGAGCCTCGAATTTGAATCGATGGCTCGGGTTCCAGGTGCTCGAATTCACCTCTTGATCAGCGACAGGATGGCGCAGCTCCCAGCGGATTGGACGCCAAGCCACCCTGGCAGCCAGCCCACCCCATTGGCATCGAAGGCTGGCTTTCTTGCGGCATCAATGCCAAAATTATTGGGACCCATGACTGATTGGGACGAGCCGCTCATGACCAATGTTCAAGTTGGTGTGCTGATGAAAGACGTGCTAGGCCTTTGGCAAGCGAGGCGCGTCGACTGGGTGTGACAAGAACTTAATGATCTCAGATCCCCAGCGCCGGCAGACCGAAGTGAAAGCTCACTGGAATGCTCGACGAATCCATGCATCATGATCAGATCCAGTATCTTTCGCACCCCAACAATCCTACTTGTCAACTCATACAATGCTTTCAAATGGAAGCAAGGTTGGCCATAGACAAGTGTGAGATGTATTACTCATCTCCCATCAACAACTATTCAGCAACGCGCCCGCTCGTCTCGCTCGGCCGGACGGGACGAGTATATTTGCACTTCGAAGCGTCGATGCATACATGTGATTGACTCCTCCCCCGGCCAGTGCGCGGGAAAATCGATGGACGAGGCCATGCGTGTCAAGGCCCGTACTTCGGAGGTCGATCTGTAAAGCACTCATCAGCGAGTGTCCCCCAGGGTCCTCGTCGTCCTCGTCGTCCTCGTCTTCGGTACTGATGTCCTCGTCGTCATCGGAATCTTCAGAACGACGAGACTCCCACCGCGGAGGCACACTAATCACCGGCGAACTCGGCATCGAGGTGTAACCAGAACTCCCGTTGCGACTGATCCATGCGTTCCTCTCTCGATCGGACTCATCCAATTCAGATCCACAAATGACCATATGTCGTTCTTCTGGCGGAAACAATGCAGACAAAACACGCGTGCTCGTCGTTAGCGATGAGCCGTCTGGTGTTCGGGTAAAGCTGTAGAACGAAATGTCATGGGCCTTTGTGCGAGGCGCGTGACCGTCTTGGGTGGAGCTCGACCGGTTCGGAGCAGATTTTTTAGGAAAAGGTTCCGTGACGACGGTGCCCGAGAGCCAAGATGTCGATGAGGAAGCACTAGACTCGAACTCCAGTGCCGGCGGCAGGCCATCCAAACGTGATGGCATCTCGCGAGGAGGAGACCTGGAGACTTGTGGTTCTTCTTCGATGTCCTTCTTATCCCTATTGGGAGAAGGCGAGCTTGAGTGCGAAAAGTAGCCATCATCCACCTCCTCCATCAAAGGTGTCCCGCGTCCTCTTGGTGTGGGGTTTCCGGGTGATTTGGCGGCCCCAGGGAGTGGGATCAGGTCTGGAAACGCGACTAGCTTGACCACTTTGAGCGCCCACTGCGCAACCATGTCATCCGTGTCGACGAGACCGACACACGCTAAATCGGGGGCGAGGATCCGGATTGCCGGTATGGTTGCCATTTTGGGAGGTTGCGACGACGACGACGCTGCTGCGGCAATAGACGGGTCGGGCGTCGATTGGGCTCGGGCAGAACCCCTTTTGGAAGCTTTGGACCTCGATTTGGACTTAGAAGAGCTTGACTTGGAGCTAGAACGTGATGCGCTCGTAGGGGGGACCGGGGCGGAGCCGCTGCGTTCTCTCAGCACCGGACCAGGAGGGACAGAGATCAGAGCTGTTAGCAGGTCCGGATGCGATGCATATAGACTGAAACCGGCGGCGGCGAAGAGCGACATAGCTTCCGCGAGCCTGCGCTCCTTGACCTGATTATGGGAGGATGAGGGATCTAGACAGAGTTCTCGGTTCATCTAGAGAGCAGACGCACGAAGATGTAATCACTCGTATACGACGAGAGGTAGAGTATAGAGATCCCGGCGGCGGCCAGAGGTGCCGAGAGTTCGCTTACACGCGCTCCGGCATTATCTACGCGGCGCGATGAGCAAAGTTGAGCCGCTTGCCCGAGGGCAGAACACACCTAGCTGGTCACTGTGAGAATCAATCTGCAGCACACACCATCTCTCATGAGAAACCTCCATTCCATCCCGGTAACCGTTCCCAGACTTGACGAATGCATCAAATGCATCGACCGCCTGAGGTTCCGCGAATATTGACAATTCGATCTCATTGCAAGTTACGCTCAAGAAGGACGGATTGGGGAGGAGAAGAGTGCGGAGGACGGGATGTGTGAATCGGTCGAGATGGGAGCGCGGAATTGAGACGACGCTGAGGACGGTTGGGAGGCGGGTGATCGTGACTTGCATTAGCGGGGAGGCAGGAAGGAGTCGTGGCCGTGGGCCTTGAGATCCAGGACGACCACCAGGAGGAGGATTAGACCACAGGAGCAGGAGGAAGGAGCCGGTGAAGATATAGAATGCCAAGGTCCAAGCACGCAATGACCCCTGACCTAATTTTCGTTGATCGCATACATGTCCGCTCTATAAACGGCGAGCTCTTACGGCAATGACTATGTCCAGATTCGATTTCTCATCTGACTTCCACACTTTGTTACTTCGATCGGAACATTTGTCCGCATGGGGGCTGGCCTCTGCTCTCATGAACACCTGGCCCTCAATAGCCACGGGGCACCATGCGAACTATGCCGCAACGATCTTGACCCACGAAGCTTCTTACCCGATTTCAAAGCGACCCTCGGTGTATAACTCATAACAGACGCACGGAATAGACACCACTCCTTGTGCTCTCTCGGATGTCTGGAACGGCTCTCCGGGATCATTTATACCTGCAATAGAACCATCATTCTCTATTTCATCGATAGCGGGCTTGAATCAGATCTGCTGCGCCCCCACCGCTCACTTCCCAGCTGTGGGCCACGGACGTGAGATGTTTCTTCGGCCGCCTATCAACCATTTCCTGCGCATCCGAGTTTAGCCCAGAGCTATCCCGCAAAGTTCGAGTCATTTATGGCACGACAGTCTGGTATACAACAGTCCAATGGATGCATTATTTAATTCACTGGCATGAGCCCACTCACCTCCTCCCCGATCCACGAGGACCTATGTAGCCGGTCTCAACGCCCGCAGCCGTTCAGCAAGCTTTGCGTCTTCCTCCCCGATCGTATCCTTCGCCACCAAATCCTGGACAGGTGCCAAATCTCTGGCTGCGAGATCGTGCTGCAGCTCAATGTCCGCCTCTTCTGCGGTCTGTCGCATCAGCTGATCGATTTGGTCCTGCGGTGTCGAGACCGCTGTTGTCGATCCCATTGCGTCTTCCATGTATGACGTCTGAACATCAAGGTCGGCAAATTGAGACTCGAATTTGTCCATGACCATCGATATCTGTGGGTTCGAGCGTTGAGCGTTGAGCAGGCGTAGAACATAACATGCAGAGCAATAGGATATGAAAGACGCACCCGTTCCAGATTCATGCTTTCCATAGCTTTATCCATCCCGCGCACGACCGAGGTCATGTTCCCAGTGACCTGCCGCATGGTCACCGCAGTTTCTACTCGACTGGCGACGGCATCTATCCGACTGGACAGTCGCAAAAGGTTGAGCGATTCACTCTTCTTCCGTATAGCATTCGAGGCATAGATGCGGGCGCCCTCATTGTTGCCCTGTTGTAGAGCCTACAATCACCGGGACGCTGGTCAACGCACAAGCTCAAGGGTCAGAGTAGACACATGCCTTCTTTAGCCTGGATTTTTCCGTGTTTTCTTCTTTCTGAGCCTTCTTCGCCTGCCTGTTGAGGGTTTTGGCTGTGAACTACAATTCCCAGATTAATGACGGCATTGATAGTTGTGGTGCGAGAAACCTTCAGTTGGAACAGTGTCTCTAGGTGGCCATATGAGACTTAATTCGATCCTTTCATAAAATTTACGCACTCTCAAGGTTGCTCATGACGATGAACTGCGGCGAGTGAGGGGATGAGTGAGAGTGCTAGATTGAGATGGATCAATCGTGATGGCGGGGACATCCGATCATTGCACGCTCTCTTCTTCGGTTCCGCCTCTTTCGTATGCTCCATGGGCTTGCTCTATTATCTTAGGTGCAGTACGCGCAAGAGACTCCTTCCGATCTCTAATTTGGCGCATAGTTATGCTGGGATCGCTGTCGCCTTCGCATTTGTCACACTTTCTCTAGGTACGCTGACAGCACTTTGGAAGCGGCGATGTGCTCAAAAGTTACAGCCAGCGGACTCTTGTACATCTCTGAGCTAATCGGTGCGTTCGCCATGAAATCTTAGGACAACTGTCCACACCTGTGACAGAGGAACACACCCGCCTCGCCAAAACAATTGGACAACGCGCTATATATGTCAGTCACACGCGCGTCCCTTGCAGCCCGTTCTCGCACTCACGAATCTTCTAGGCAATCATAGCCCTTCACGTCGTGCTCTACTTCTCCGACTCCCTTCCTCTTCAGCACACTCTCTTTTCGGCTCTCTGCCACGTCGTATACTTGCGCAACTTCTCGGCGACATGGCCGGTCATCTCGCTCTCCTCCCTGACGTTCATCGCTTCCTGCGTGCTTGTCATTGCCGATCACTTTATTTGGTTCTTCCACTTCTCCCATCTCTCTCAGGCGGCTCGTCATGTCAGTCGCCAGCGTGGTCCCAAAGGTTTCCGGGCTGGCCCGCCCACGGCAAGAGTGCCCTCCTTCAGTGAAATCGCCACATTCTTCGCCGTATGTGTATGGGCCGCGCCGCTCTTCCTGTTTCTCAGTTTGAGTGCGAATGACAACGCGCTTCCGGTGTCAGGCACGGGTGTGTCTCCCGTTCGTCTCTTTCCTTTGACTTGGCCCTCATCTTAATGCAGAAGGCACACCCGGACTATCATACCCCACTGAGATCAAAACTAAGCCTCGCGTTTCGCTATTCCGTTCGCTGCTATTCTTCCGCTCGCGGAACCGCAATGAGCAGGGCATCATTGCCCCGCCGTCTCCCGGTATCGTGCCCCAACACTCGCCGATGTTGGCGCCTCTAGCGTCGCCGAGATTCAGTACGCTTACTCCGCCTCGCTCGCCACGCTACAAGCCGGCCGAATTGGAAGCTGAGCTGCAAGCAAGCAATTTCAAACTGAACACACCTCCCCTTCGCAGCGATGGATTGGGCCAAAGGAGGAGGAGCGTCCTGTCGGATGATGGACTGTTTAACTCTTAGTGGAACATACGGAAGTATATATTCGTCTGCTTGGTCTGTCGATTTTGGAATACGAAAATCTCCCCATGACATTTGCAGGGATGGCTTTGGCAGGATTGCGTTGTGATATTTGGTGCGGCATCATCCAGTTGCTCGAAATGAAACGGCAGAACGATACATTCCACATCGCATCCCTGTGTTCATACCCACTTGACTTCAGGTGGCTGCAATTGAGCTCGAGTTATCGAACTCTTCACGAACGGATTCAAACTCTCCGCGTATGTGCCCAGATCTTCAGCTTAAGAGCGAGAAGACGCGTAAAATAATTACTGGACACCTTGTTGCCAAACAACCGCTTAGGGACGGGTACATACTGACTGACACCCAAGTCAGGTCGTCGTGACATGGGGACGCGTTATTTGTCTCTGTTAGTCGTTGGCAATGAAGCTTTCCTGACTTTCTACGCAGTCAGTGAGTCAGCTTTGTGGCCAGGTTGCGATCTTAATGTCATGGGCAACTCCCAAATTACCGTGGAATTGTGCGATCAAGGACACCCGACCTACATCATCGCTTTAGTCTCTCCTGGCCATCGGCCAACTTGCTCTGCTCCCTCAACATCCACGTCCTACTTCATCGGGGATTCCATTACGAACACCTTTCTTAGAAGAGGCCGCATGTGACGTTTCGTGGATATATATACACAGGTGGAGTCCACTGGCCTGAACTGGCGGCACTAGTACGATGGCTCCAACTTCCGACCTCCCCACCTTCGACCAGCTCGGTGCACAAATTCCTGACAATCTGGATGCTGGATCTGTCGCAGCGGAATGGTTCAAGTCGTTTTCAAAGCATGCGGCAGCTGGCAATGGTCAAGAGATAGCAGCTCTCTTCGCTGCAGACTCGTACTGGCGGGACTTATTGGCACTCACATGGGATTTCCGCACTTTCCACGGTCCCGCGTTGCGTCAGTTCCTGTCTGCGCGGCTTCCCACAGTGAAGATGTCCGCGTTCGCGCTCTCGGATGAACATCTATGCTTGAAACGACCGTTTCCGGATATGGCCTGGGTTGAGGCCATGTTCAAGTTCGAAACCGACGTAGGGTATGCATCCGGTATCATGCGACTGATTCCTCAAGCGGATGGCGTATGGAAAGCCTATTGCATGTTCACGAATCTGGAGGCTCTCAAGGGATTCCCCGAAAAGGTGATTATGGTTTATATTGCAATGTGCTATCTGCCCTGACGTCGACATCTCCAATAGATCGGGCCTTTGCGAAATCCTGAGCCAGAACACGGAAAGTGGGAGGAACGGCGCCAACAAAAGACTGCTTTCGAGACCACCAATCCGACAGTCCTTGTCATAGGCTCCGGACAAAGCGGATTGGCACTTGCTGCTCATCTGCAGAATCTTGATGTCTCTGTGTTGGTGGTAGAGCAGAATGAGAGAATCGGGGACAATTGGAGAAACCGATATGACGCCCTTTGTCTCCACGATCCTGTTTGTGAGCATGTGTGCTTTCCATTGACAGGCTCGATGCTAACTGTGATGTAGGGTATGATCACATGCCATACTTGCCGTGCGGATCCAGAGTGTCCATGTGTATCACCCTGACGCAAGCCACAGGTTTCCGCCGACATGGCCTGTGTACACGCCAGCGAGAAAGATGGCTAATTGGTTGGAATCGTACGCTGACGCTCTAGACATCCCGGTGTGGACGTCATCTGAAGTGACCGCCGCCACTCAAGATTCTTCCGATCGTGGAAAGTGACGGTCAGGAATCGAGTTGGGGGAGAGAGGATCTTAGATGTGCAACATCTCGTCTTTGCGACAGGGTTTGGGAGCTATCGAGGAGCATTGCCGACTTATCCGGGCATGGTCAGTCACTTGCGGACCAACAGAGGTCTGGCACTGATGTCAGATATCGCTAGGACACATTCAAAGGCCAGCTACTTCACAGCTCGCAGCACAAGCGTGCCAGCGATCATAAAGGAAAGAAGGTGGTTGTGATCGGTGCATGTACTTCAGGTACCTTGACATTTTCCCAACCACTCAAACATCTCATGGTCTCCCAGCGCATGACATCTGCGCTGACTACTACAAACATGACATCGGTGTGTACTCTACCTGGCCTCAACTACTCATACTCAGGAGTTTCAGATGTTACAATGTACCAACGCAGCTCGACGTACATAATGTCCACCAAGCACGGGTGGCCTATTCTGATGGGTGACCGGTACTCTGAAGATGGACCGCCCACAGAAATCGCAGATATCCAGACTGCTTCGGTCCCGATGCAGGTCGTTGAATTAATGGCTCCCAGGAGGACATTAAAGATCGCGGAGGCTGACAAGTATGGTCTGGTCTTTCCATCCAACACGGATATTTGGCGTTGACTGCTTGCAGAGATTTGCTCGAAGGACTGAAGAAATGTGGCTTCAGACTGAATCTCGGCTATAAGGACTGTGGGTTCTCGCTCGCGGTATGGGAACACGCTGGTGGATATTACATAGGTCAGTAAACAATGGCCGTGAAGATCTCCACCTGATCACGAAACCAGACGTCGGAACAAGCCAACTGCTCATTGACGGGAAGATCAAACTCAAGAATGACAGTCTCATCGAAAGCTTTAGTGCGAGCGGACTTGTTTTTGAGAACGGTACAAGGCTAGAGGCAGACGTTGTCGTCTTTGCTACCGGGTAAGCTGTGACGATGTTGGTCTCCTGGGATCCTAATGCGGTAGTTCCAGAGTCGGCAATGTGAGAGACAACATCCGCAGAGTTTGCGGTGATATTGTCGCCGATCGATGCAAGCCCATTTGGGGACTGGATGCTGAAGGAGAGGTGCGAGGATGCTGGAGGGATCTAGGTTCGTGCTCCCGATATTATAAGCAATTGCTATAGACAGTCATTCAAGGTATCCCGGGGCTTTGGTATATGATGGGTAACCGTTCATGGACAGCATGGAACACGACGTACTCAGTTTTTGCAGGAAATTTGGCCTACAGCCGCTTCTATTCGAAACATCTCGCTCTCCGTAAGTCATCCGCCTGATCTAAACGACGACGCGACGACTGACTTGACTGCTCAGAAATCAAAGCGATACAGGAGGGACTCTTCAAAGAGCGATACAGTTTGGACAGATAGATGCTGCCGGTGCTAATTCATCCGGAATCACCCAGATAAATTGAAATCCATTCCTTTCTTCGCCTGTTCTCCTTGCCTATGGCGTTCTAAGGAATGGGACCATTCAAGCTTCAATTCGCCGGGAATCGACCGAAAACGAGTGCCAGTACATCATCTGAACACGAAACAGAGAATCCCTCCCTGTGGGATGACCTCACCAACAACATTGCGCGATATGTACTGAACATATTCTATCCTGAAAACAACCCGACCTGCTCGTGCACCCCAGGAAGTCCCTCGATGGGCGGGTAGACAGATTACCCGTAGAGCATAGTATTAGAAGAAGAATAGGGCAGGATCTATAGAACGCAACTGACGACTCACATACATGTATCACACTAACCTAGTGAGCTTATACCATCTGCTGGCCTCGGTTCATTCATTTGGATGTACATAGACTGGAGCGATACACATTATAGAGCTCAGAGCCAGCTCAGTTACCTTGGCGTTTTCCCATATCAGTTGGGATGTGTTCAAAGGTACATGGGATTCCGGAACGGAGCGGTTGACCGAATTAGCCGACCAGCCTTGTTTTGAGATGTTCCGCGACCTTCATATGATTCTGTTTCCTGACTTCATATCTCAAGACGACATTGCTTAAATCGAGTTCTCTAGGGCACTGCCCTCTACATTGCACGCTAATCCCAATCGAAACTCCAACCCCTCCCCCAGTTCGAGAAATAGGGCATGACTGCAGCTACTGACCACCAGGTATGCACACACATCAGGCTATTTCAGACGGTCTGGCGCCCGCTTTTACTTACTTCGTCCTGGGCAGGCTCAGTTTCTCGCTGATCCTCGCGCCGGCGAGTCTCCACTCGCAGCAGCTCCTCATAACCCCGTACATCTTGCACGACTGCAGCAACAGTGCCCTTCGAACCCGCCACCTCCGCTCGGCCCCGCACCTTCACCATCTCTCTTAGTACCCCTGATACCCGCAGATATCCTGCGTCCAAACCACTCCGAAAGCAGTATTACAGGGCCATCGATGGTTTCTCTGCCGAATGCGCTGATACCGATTCCTACTGCGCCTCCTCACATCACTCCCGTGAGCATGCTATGGCATCCTCAGAAGCACCAGCAGGCATCCCCGCCATCTTTTCCTATAATACAGCCCAGCAGTACAGTCGTTCCTCTCAGACCCCCGTCGTCGTTGTCGACGTCGCCACAACCCATGCAGGCCCTTGAAACCCCATCTTCTTCAACGAACTCCACTATCTCGCCACCCAGCAGTTCGAATTTCGTGAAGGGGCCGCCCACTCTGCCTCTCTCGACGTTCCTCGAAGGAGCTTGGGCTGAGCACACCAAATACCTCGAGAGCACGGTGGAAGGACTCCAGCTTCAGCTCGCGCAGACCCAGGAAGCTGACGCCCGCGCGATTGAAGAGCTCCAGGCTGAGTTGAACAGACGACGTAGCTTGTATGCCAAATGGGTCAGCTGGGCGACGAATGCGTTCAAGACGTTCAAGGAGAGCACTAGCAAAGAGGCCCAGACGTTGAAGGATGAATGTGATGCTCTGAAGGCGAACAATGACGCGCTCGTGGTTGAGAACACCATGCTGAAAAGGCAGAGCGAGGACATGAAACAGCAACACCATGCGCTCTGCCAAAGAAACCAGGATGTGGAGCGCCAGAATGCGCTTTTTCGGAACCAGCTCGCTCAGGCGGACAGAGATCGTGCATCGGCGGCGCAGGCTAACCAGATCCTGACCGCCAATAACGGGAGCTACGTCGCTCTGACACAAACTTTGCAGCGCCAATATGACACGCTCAAGGGCCGTTATATCGCTGAAACGACCCAATTAAGAGGAGAACGGGATATAGCTCGAGCTGGGTCATCCAAAGCCCAAGACGATTTGGAGACAGGGCGCGCGGGGAATGAGAATGTATGCGTCAAGGCGGAGTCGCCCGTCCCGAAATCCGAGACCGAGCTTTGGGACGCCCTGGAGCTACAGTATCCACAAACCCCGGCGTCGGATGAAGATAGTGCGCCAGTTGCAGTAACGTCGAAAATCGAGTTGGACGACGCGGAAACTCAAACATTCAGTTGGGATGTCAAGCCTGCGATCAATCCCAGGAAACGGTCCAGGCGCGAGTTTGAATGCGACTCGAGCTCTGGGACGATGGGACCGCCACCAGATCCAGAACTGTCGATGGGAGACCCGTTCCCCGTTCCCCGACAGGTCGACGTCAAATCACTCAATAGTCCGATCCGCTGGTTCATGCAAATCCGGAGGAAGAATGCTGGCTAGTGGATCGCTAGCTCCGGTGGGCTGATTCCAGCATACACCATGGGATACTGTGCTCGGCGATTGTCGACCGCTCCATGCGCCTTATCGACTTGATTAGCATCCAGATGAAACCGTCACTGTCCACAATCGTTGAGCGCACTGTCACGTCCTATGACACAAGCGGCAATACCCACGTTCTAGGATGGACTGGCTAGATCCTGGCTGGAACCCAATACCGGTCACCGACGTCGCACCGCGTCGGGTGCAAACGGGATATTCTGTCTTTGATCACGGCGCGATGCGGAGTTCGGGGCTTTATCAAACCTACTGCACACCCGTCCCGCACGTTTATTTAATCATTAGCAGTATGTATATCTGACAGTAATTCAGTATCAATGACACTAGGGCCTCTCGCTGTTTCATCCGTTGCGTGGAGCAGACGTAATAGATTGGTAGATTGGCGCTCTAAACCACCGTTCGGTGAAAGACGCGCACGTGACTATCGTATCCATACGGCAGTTGTGGTGCACTCGCACAGTCCAGCCTCTCATGGACGACGACTCGGCCTCGGCCGACGGGCATACAAGAGACCCTCCAGCCCATGAAAGCGACGAGCCCCCCAGCACTACACGCAAATCCCGCGTCCGCCGTAGCCTTACCCTCTTTCCAAGGAAAATCACCACACTTGACGTGAGTACCTAGCTTCAAGCTCAAGCCTCGAGGCATCTCACTGTAAAACGCGGCTGACCCGTGTCCTTCTTCTCAGTTCGCCGCCCTCATCCGAACGAGCAGTCTGCGGAGCTCGACAGCCAAGTCCAAGGCAAAGCGCGCTCAAGTGAGTGCCTGTGCGCTCCTGATTATCCTGTGGGGAGTTTATGTGGCTCGTGTCTGCAGAAACGAAATTCGCGTCGGACCATGGCCGTGATGGAGTACAATACCGACAGTAAGGACGCCACACCCGACAGCGAGGATGACCGTGTGGCCATGCCCCAGATTTCCACTGATGTCGTACCGGTGCCGGTCCTCGAATCCGTATGAGCTGTTCCTTCTTTACCTTTCTTGACCTTACCAAAGACTGCAGAAGGCAAATCGGAGTACGGACTCAGTGGAAAAGGAAGAGGAGGATGACACGGGGAACGACTCTGGGGTTGTTATATCGGATATCCTCCTCATCCGCCAACTACCTCGCACTCCACCCTCCACTTCCGATTCCCCCCATCCCAGTCCATCAAATGTAGCGGCTCTACGGCAGTCCTCGTCGACCGTCAGACCCCTGTCCACCGCGACGACCAACACAGCGAGCACCGCGACCCCTGCGAACGTGACGCCGCGCAAACGACCTCCGTCGCGGATACCCATCCCGTCTGTTCGAGAAGAGCCCCTGGATTCGATGACGAAGACTCCACCAGCAACACCGCGGAAGAACTTTCACATCTTTGGTATCCCTCTGCCAAGTCCAAGACGCGGATCGTTCAGTAGCAGCCGCCCAGCTACACCATCGGATGCGGGTGCGTCAGTATCTGCACCGAAAAGGGAGTCGTCGTCATCGAAGCCGCGATTCCTCATTGGAACTGGACTGAAAGTGTCATCGCCCAAAATGACGAATGCGCCCAAAGCTGCAACCAAACCCAAGGCGATGCCATCCCCGACTAAGACGCCACCAAGGACGACTCCCGGACAGCAATCTCCGTTGACCAAGTCGACATCACCCAAATCTGTATCGTCCCCGACCAGATCTGTGTCCGTCTCGCGGCCGCTATCACCCAAATCGCCCGGGTCGCCCAAATCCTCCTCTCCTCGGGCCCATATTTCGAGTGCAGCTGTGGCTGCTGATTCGATTGGCAAACGGAACAATCGCCAATACATGTCTGAAGTGGGCGCTCGATCACCGCGTATCGGGTTGCCAACTTCTCCGCGGGGGAGCTTGAATATCGGCACGCCAGGCAGTCTGAAGCACAGCAGCAGCACCGTGGGGAGTCCGGTTGCTGTGCGTTCAGCTCTCGGTGTATCGACGCGGGCAAGCGCTGGGACTTTGTCGAGTGTGTCCACCCGCGAGCGAAGGCCGTCGAGTGACTCGTCCTCGCAATCCCATTCGCAATCGCATGCCCATTCGAACCTGAATCCGCACTCACCTCACCACGTGCACTATCGCCCTGCAGCGCATTTGAGCGGAATTGAAGAGTGGCGGTTAGAGACTGATGAAGACGCGTTGGCGCGGATCGGCATCACCAATGTGCAGGCGAGGCCCAAACCGTTATCAGTCGCCGCACGGGCCGTGTCTGAGATAGGAAATCATGCCAGAGCACACGTGACGATCGCGAAATCTTCTCTGGCAACGACAACCATGACGTCCGCTGCGAGGACACCCAGTACGGTTGGGAGCACGGCGGGGAGAAAACATGGATCGTTTGACTTTGAGCGGCCGGGATGGAGTGTGGGGTCCGCGACGAGTTCGATCGGGGCAAGATCACGCAAGAGGCCCGAGTCGGAGGAGAACATTCCGATGCGGCGCGGTGCGCATATATCCGCCAAGGATCAGCAGAACAGATCGACCAGTGCGGGTATGGCTGGAGTTGGCTCGGCTCGGTTCTATGCGTCCATGGCACCGCCACTGCCCGCTGAGCCTGAGCCGACGCCACGCCAGAGGACGGATAGCTGGGGCAAGAGTCCCGGGAAGCGGTTGAGCGCGGGGCTGACGAAATTGTTTGGAAACACTGGCAGTAACAGCAAGCCGAGCAGCGTCGTGGGAGTCAATCGACAACACGCCAAGTTCTCATTCGAGCCCCCCGTCCGGCTGGCGTCGCCTCCCTCCCCCGAACCTGTGCTCGAACGCAGGCCCTCGCCCACCCCACTTTCCAAGCGCGGGCACAGCGCCAGCCACTCGACGTCCAGCACAGCGAGCTCGGCTCCCAGCGTGGGACACCGATCTGGCACGAAGCCGCGGTCGCTGGATCTAGGGTTAGGTCTCGCGTGGGCACCCACCAAGCTGCGCGAGGACGCGGTGCTCCCCGCCTCTCCGCTGGGGAGGAGCCTGAGCACGAGCAAGAGGGCGGAGCAGGGCCGTGCGGTGGCTGAGCAGTTCCGCGGTGCGCTGGACGAGGACGGGTATCGGAGTTTCAAACGATGTGAGTGGTTGTTGTGTTGTGCCATCCTTCGCGCGCGCAAGGTTATTTACGTTGCATCGCAGATGTGCACCGGTTTGACGCGCATGAGATTCCGTTTGACGGGAGCACGGGGATCGTCACACGGGTCGAGCGTCTGCTGAAGAAGGCGCGGCATCTGAGCGACGACGAGCGCGCGAGGATGATGGATTCATTCATCAGGATTATACTGCAGGCAGCATGAGACGACGACGACATGCCACGAGGACGACACATCTACGCGCATCCACATCTACTACATCTGCACGCCATCTCTACGTTTCTGCTCACTTGGGTTCACGCTGCTTCATGTATCTCATGCTTCTGTTGTGTATTCTTATCCGCACCTGCCACCTACTTACCTAATTTGCTATCCTATCCGCATTGCAATGCTATCTCATGTTTTCATGATGAGCTTTCCTCGTCGTTGGCGGTTGTCCCGAAAATCATGTGGGTCCTGTGCAAGGAGCAGTCGGCGTAGACGTAAATATCCCGTTGTACTCATTCGGATACACACATCCCGCCACTACAGTGACCCCACCCGCCGTGTCCTGCGGATCGAACCATCCATCCGGCACAAAGCTGGCTGAAGCAGGCAGGGTTCCCACGGGCATGGGGATGACGGCTGCTGTTTGCGTGTATGTCGGCAGCAGACTGGCGGGCACTCCGGCATTGGACAGTGTAGGAGGAGGCCATGGGAAAGACGCCGTGGACGAGGCAGCAATGGAGGATGTCGCACCGCCAGTCATCCATTCTGCGTAGCTGCCATTCCACGGACTCGGGGTTAACCCCAACTCTGCGCACTTGCCGAGAGCGGTCCGAGGATCTCCTGGAATCCATCCCTCACGGAGACCAAGCTCGTAAGACCATAGAGGGGATCCGATGGATCCAGCCCCATTAAGCCCAATCTGCAGCACCGGTCAGAACAATCGCGACTAGATACCATCCGCTGATTTCGCCTGCCTTCCATGTCCAAAAGAACCAGTCTCTTGTGGCGTCCATGATCGCCAGAACATACTCGGAGATTCCCGCCTTCATGGACTCGTTGAAATGCATATAGTCGTCGTATTCCGTACACTGCGGATTGGTCGACTCGGGTCCGACCCCGCGGAGAAAATAGCCACAGTCGTTGGGCGACGCAGCCCATTCTCCCGTGACGGTCACGCCGAACGCCGACTGCGATGCGTTGATGCTCGGGCCCCACGCATTGCACGCTTGCCGCGGCCACTTTCCACCCGGGCGACCATTCGCGTCCGGAGTCGCGATTGGCGACGTGTCGATCCCACCGAATGAGAAATACGGGTGGGTGTCCAAAATCATCCGATCCGACCCGGCCAAGAAGCCAGCCCAGAAGTCGAGCGACTGGAACCCGTCGTGGATTGCGATGTACTGCGCTGCCAGCGTGAGAATGTGAGTATGCGGTATCCGAACTATCTTACGGGACCGTTCCCAGCTCCGTAGCCCGTGATGCCTCTGATCATGGAATGTGCTTGCAGATAGAACGATGTCAAAGCGTCGATTCCTATTACCCCGAGGAGGGCCTGAAACACTTGAGACAAAGACGAATAAATGACGGTGAATGTGCCTTACTTCATTGACGATCCCAAAAACGGGGATCAGATCCCGGAAAGCAGGTTGCGAGATGAACTCGGTGAGAACCCGAACGTAATACAACGTCCTTTCAGCATTGGCCAAACCCCTTTGCACAACAGATCAGCAAGATCAATCGCACGTGGATGTCTCTTACATGTTTCCGGAGAGAAAATTCACAGGCGACAGTCTGTGCACGATTGAGCACCTCGATTTGGTGAACATGTAGTCGCGCCAACCGTCCAGAGTGGTTATTGCCTGATGAAAGCGCATGAGCGCCCCTTTCGGAATATCAAGAGCAACACCCACCGTTCTGCGATCCGGGAACAGTATGTAAATCCAAGAAAACACGTATTCCGTACTTGCGCGCCCAACCAAGCAACCTTAGAAAATATCTACGGAGTATGTTATTTCCGAGGTACTACTGGAGAAGAAAGGCATACGTCCAGGATGTCCTCGCAAGGAACGGTTCACCAAAGCTGTTCGGGTCTCCAGGCCAGGTTTCGATAGCCCAGAACGGGATGGGAACTCGAATCCAGTTGAGACCCACACCTGAAAGTTGAACCAGGAGTGAAATGGTTGTATCGGAGCAGATCGGAGCATAACGCAGACTTACCTGCAATCTGAGCAATGTCTTCCTCCGTCTGGAGTGAAGAGTAAGTCAGGATGCAACCATCTCGAACAAACTGACTATAAAGGTGTTGTAATGTTGCTCAAGCTGGCTCAGCCCACCACCGGCCGTGTCGTTGGCCATGGCAATCGAAAGTGTCCATTCGTCCACAGCCTGGGGCGAATACTTGTCGAAATACGAAGCAGTGATGAATGGCTCTGTTGACGAATCAAACCAAACATCAGGAGCAAACAGGTTGGAGTACCGAGAACGAAAAGGCCACCAAGATTCACACCGTATATTCGATCCACCCCCCATGTCCAGCTCGTATTCAGGGGCGGAGTCCACGAATTCGGTCGTGCATTGTTGTTGAACGGGTTGGCCGGGTCTTCGACCCCTTCAGCGTAGCATTAGGCCCATCATCGGTAGGTCGCACGACGAAACACCCACAGAATCCCCCGAAAGAGTTATTGTAGACAAAATGCCCGCCATCCAACGTAGTCACAGTCGATCCGTCTCCGCCGGTCTGCGAGTGGATGAGAAAGGCGACCCGAGGTAGATGTGTTGCGTCTGCACCGTATATTTCGTGGATGTCGCGTTGGAAGAAGCGGGAGAACCAGACGAATCCAGCTCGTGTCTCCGCCGGACCGTGCCGAAATGGACACCTAGCACGACCACAAGCACCAGACCAACCACCGCAGCGCAAAGAGCGACGACCCGGCGTCTGGTAGGTTTGAACCTGGCGTGGCGCGTGACTGGCGCATGCTTTGAGTCCCGGATCGATTCGAAAGGGGCATGGGCCATCGGCATGCGCACTGCTCCCCGAAAGACACGCGTCTTGAGGCTGGTAAACAACAAAGGCAGAGGATATGACGGGCTCAGTACACCGTGCAGGACACGGAGCGATAAGAGCGTGCGCCGGGCCTGATCCGGATGGAGACTTGTCTGCAATCACTTCGATTTCGGCAAAGGCTGAGCACATATCCGAGATATACACGAGAATCTTTGTCGTCTTAAGCGTTTGCAGCGTGGGTAGGGGAACTTCGCATGACGATTAACGAGATTCAAGTATTCTTACGTGCTAGCTTGTTAGCAAAGACGAGGACGCTCCATCCTAATTGTGGGACAGACAGATACTTGGTAGGAACCACGCCATCGCCATGACGTAGACGAATACCGTCTCGTCCTCGAGGATACGGAAGCCTGTCGAGGAAGCACTCAAGATTCCGTGGGACGCCGTAGTCAGTCATTCGCGGCGGCCGACCAGGCGGTTGAGATGGTTGTTGCCCGGAAGTAGTGCTAGTAAGTGGCTGTGTCCCTTATCCTCCAGCTCTCTGTTCTTACACCCATGTCTAAATCCCCCACAGTCTATCTCGCTCATTTTCTCGGTATCCTCTGGGCGTGTCTTGTTTCTCTTGTATCCTTGCGTCGCCCGGTCCGACACGACAATATCGCATTACCTACGACCTCGCCGCGTCCTCCAGAACCGAGCACATTCGGATCTCCAGCTGCAGCGATACACGTACTGGGTTCGCGCATCCTACCTTGATTTGTGACAAAGAAAATTCAGCAGATCGCTTTCCCACTTTCACTAGATCCCTGGCAACGCGACAAGCAAGATTTCCTACGACGGCCGAGTCTGCTCAAGGCGAGCGCCAGCCCCGCGTGGGTCAAAGGACAGAAACTCAAAGCTCACTGGACATCGCGCAAGAAATCAAGTGTCAGCAGCAAACGTACGCAGAGGACATCAGTATACCCCCCGCCGCCGGAGATCTACGTGCAAGACTGGAGCTCGGTGACCGTCAACATGGATGATCTCTTCCACAGTCCTGAGCCCCTGCCTAAATCTGAAGCGCCTCTGCAAGTCGAGCAGACGTCTGTGCCTGAGATCTCTCCTGCGCCCTCTGAAGAATCTGCCGACATCGCGGAGGCTCTGACTATCTACACGACCGACCATCCTGAACCCGAGCTCGCCTGTTCACCGGACTTGCCCATCTACTCTCCAGGCGACATGTTCTCTGCTGCTGGCGATGGCCCGTTCTGCGATCCCTTCGCATCGCAAGTGACCTCACCTTCGATCCCACTTCCAGCCACCTGCCCCACGGTGACTGTTCACTCTGAGACAGGCAAGATGGTCCCGGTCCCGCTCGCTATGCCCGGCTCTGGAGAGAACTCCCACGTCCCGTATGTTGATATCTTCGACCTGGACATGTATGCCAACAGGATGACGCGCCATGCTCAACCAGTCTGTGGGTCTAATGTACAAGACGGATGTCGCAGTGCCTCGTTCTCTGTCACTCTTCCCCCGTCCCCTCAACGGTCTCCTCTGGCATCCGTTACGAATGCTAACCTAGATGAGAGGAAGCACAAGAACGATTGCGGGTCCTGGTTCGAGGAAACGAGTCAGGGAAGCATCAATACTCAATGGCTTGTAGCATGATCTGAATCAGCAGGAGCTTGACTCGACCGTAGCTGTCTTCTATGGATCGAGACGTGTTGTGTCAAGTCTGTCCGCCGGATCGCACACACCACACGGTCCATAAATCGTCCAACCGCACCTATATCCATTATAATACTCAGTATAAGTGATTAGGATTACGCTATCTTTCAATATCCATCTCTCTCTGAGCTTACGAGCAGGATCCACCTGCAACGTCAATGTTCGCGAGCGACGGGATCTCGTCGTCAGTGTAGATCTTGAACTTGGTGGCCGGGACGCCCTCGAAGGCGGCAGCGAATCGCTCGGCAGTGTTGTTTGCGCCATCGACTTGTCGGATCCAGGCGCAGGCAATGAAGTCTCCGTATTTGCGGATGCTATAGCGGTCAAGGTCAGGAGATTCTGGAGAGCGATGTGATATTGTACTCACGCCTCGGCGTAGGTCTCGGGATCCTTCTGCGTCGAGTCTCCGATGGTCAAGAACTTCTTGCCCGGGTACATTCCCTGGATACGGTCGATCATGGCAGACTTGTACTCAAAGATTCCGTTGCTCTGCACACGCGGATCATCAGCATCTGGGTCCTTCAGTCCAGACACACGCAGAAGACGAACCTGAGCAAAGTTGATGATGTCCTGGATGTTCGTCGTCGTCAGGTTCTGCAGCATGATCGGTCCGTTGGAAGCAGAGTACGTCGTCGAGATGAAGTCCCGCAGGAATGGGTACAGCTGGAACGGCGAGCCAGAGACGTAGACGAATTGAGGGGAGTTGAGCGACTTGGCGAGCGACGCGTAGAGCTCGGGCATGCCCGTCACAGGCACCGGCGTGTCGATCAGCGTCGTTTGCGCAAGTTGCAGCTTGTCGAGCGTGTGCGAGACCTTGACCGTGTCGTCAATGTCTACAGTTCTATGAGCACCAATTCCGAGCACGGAACAATCAACGACATGCCAGAGATGACACCAAATCCGCTGTTCGACGACGGGAACATGGTAAAGTTCACGTTCCGGTTGTTCAAGAATCCGCTGAGCTTGACATCACCCTGCACAGCGGCGTCTCCGCTCGCACACGCTCCGACGGAGACATTCTGGATCGCCATTCCCCCCGAAGCCGTCGAGGGAAGCGTCGCCGGCTGCGCACATCCGTCTACGTTGACAGTCACCGCTTTGCCCGAAAGCCCGAGCGTGGCAAACAGCGCGAGCCGGCCCGTGACGGTGTCCGCCGTGCTCGAGCTGACGTTGAGCCCGATCGCCTTCAGGGCGCTCGTGACGCCATCGATGAGCGGAGAGATGCTGACCTCGCGCGTCGACGCGTAGGCTTGCAGCTGAACGAGTGTGTTTCCGGGGTTGGCTGGGTCATCGAAGGCCGGGGCATCAAAGACAAGAACATCGTCAAGTGCGTTAATCGAAGACCGTTCAGCGGGGGGTGCGTATCCGCGCGGCAAAGCGTTGACCGATGCGAAAGCAGCGAAGGAGAGAAGGAAAGAAGTCTGGCGCATCTTTGCAAAGAAAGGATCGGTTGTCGAATGAATAAAGAGGGAAGCAGGGGAGAAATAAACAAGAAAGCGCAGCTGCTCAGCAGATGAATGAAACGAATGAATACCGTGACCCTGCGCGTCTCTTATTAAATCCACGCGGATCCCGTAACTTGTAAGCCTCGGAAAGAGCAGAAGTCCATCACCGCATGCGAATTCTCGGTCACAGGTTGGTCGTGATATCAACATTGACAGGATCGTCTGTCTTCCCCAGCAACCAGTCGTGCGTATGCACATCAGGGCCTCATAAACACATGCAGAAGGTGATCAGGATGGAAAAGCGGAGTCCGATGAGCGTCTGGCGAGCGGGGTCACGGTGCAGGCAACGTGAGGAGGAAGTCCGGTAGTCCTGATGCACACATGCTTCATGATTTGGACGACGAATCGAAGACCGCGAAGGACTGGCCAGCAGAAATTGAGGTTGGCAATGGATTTCGGACTATTTCGGATGATATACATAGGTCGTGGATCAGCAGCAGGAAGGTGAAGGAACTGGCGATTGTGATGGTTGTGAGCGGTGATCCTACGTCTCGGCCCCGGTCCCGGCGGTCCGATAGTGGGAATTGCGCGGCAAAAATACTACCAAGTACCTAGATGTGTGTATTTCCAAAGGATGAGAATGGTATATTTACATCGACCCCGCGTCACTTGCACAATAACAGAGCCCACATGGCGCAGTAGTTGTATAGTGCATGCGATCATTTCATTTCCGATTGTCGAATTTCCAACGGAGGAGGGGCAAAGAGGGAACAAACTATTGGAATCAAGTCAACGACCCACACACTGGCTCCGAGATCGCGCCAAGGAAAATTGCCGTTTTCCGGAATACCACCAACGACGTTCGAGAGGCGAGACGTTTCACAAGTCGAAAGTCGCGCGAGGACTTGCAAGATCGATGCCGAGGCTTTGCCGCACACCGAGGGCAATTCGGAGAGGCAAGCAGTGTTCGTCCTATAGGCCTTAAACGCACCTCCGGGGGGCTATAGGCCTTATTTAAGGTATAGGCCTATAATTATAGGCCTGTTTATAGGGCTTAAAATTTGCACGTGATCAAAAATGTGCCCAATCAATACCAAAAAAAGAGTGTCGTACAAGATTAACTAGAGCTGGAACTCGTCTGACAAGTCGATTTTAATGGCACCATCATCAGGAATCGCATCCTCCACTTCATTAGCAAGTTCCCCCATGAGTCTTTCCTCCTCCATGACACGGCGCGATGGCTTGCAGAGCCGTGGCTTGGTGGTTTTGCCAAATAGGATCTTGAGTCACTAAGTAGCATAATCAGCGTGATGCGCCGATACTCAGGAATCAATCATACAATGCATTAATTTTAATTAATTGATCACGTGTTGGGACCTCATGTGGCCTATAGGCCTATTATAGGCCTATAAGATGCTCTCGGTGACCCTATAGGCCTTTAATATAGGCCTTAAATAGGCCTATAAGCCTATAGGCCTTAAACCTATAGGCGAACACTGGAGGCAAGCCCTTGGCAGATGTGCTACCTATCGCATCATCATGCGAAACGCTGTGTCTTTACTAATCGAACGCCGACTTCCTTCATCAGGATGAAAGCAGATGCAAGTCGATGCTCCGGGACACAGAGAGCGACCAGATCAAAATTGTTGAGATAGTCACTCAAACCTAGGCTTCCAAAAAGTGCCCAGGCCCAGATGTATCCCATGGGTGTTAGGTGACGGGCGCGTCCTCTAAAAGCTTCACATTGAAGCTAAGACGTGCCCATGTCGACGTCCCGATGTCCCTGTACGTAACCGTGATTTCCTTTGTACTGCCGCATCGGCACATTGAGGGGGTGAGATAAACGAATGCGCCAAGTTGCCATCCGCTTCATTCTTGAGAGAGAACTTGCGCGATCCCAGATCCTAGCATTCAGTGATACACCCTCCCAAATCCGGATCGTCCCAGCCAGCAAAGCTCATGCCGAGGCTTGGAGCATGGTCCAGGTCCCCTCGACTCAGTGCGAGATTGCTGTCGACCGAGTCGCCCACAACATGGCTCTCGAGCGACTCAAAGGAGAAACTTGCTCGACTCATGCCACTCCTTCCAAGTGTATGATGCGAAGTTGAGGATGATTGAAGCACCCAAGGATGTTCCCCGTTCCTTGTCGCACAGTACCGCGAGCGGGAGCGAAGCGGAAATTCATCAAGAGCAGAAGGTAAAAAAGAAGATTTGGAGCACTCAGAGCCAAGTTGAGGGTGTGAAGGTCTCACTACATTCATGCGCTTGGGTGGCTGTAGAATCCACAGCCATTGAAGTAGATGGCAGAGAAACCCACGCGGGCAATGAGACTGGCACAAGGTCCCAGGAGAGCGACTCTCTCATCGAAATATCGGCATCTACCCTTCGCAACCAAAAAGTCCCCCGGATAGAGGGCTTGCGAAAGGACACTTCTGATTAGTACTTGATGATGGAGGAAGAACTGACGCTGTTAATCAGGAGAACTGGACAAAAAAAATAGCACAAGACAAGACGCAGAGTATGGAAGGGCGAATAGCAGACAAAGATGAGATGATTTGAGAGAGGGATGCGTCTGAGACTTCCGCGCAGTGATGAGGTTCGTAGATAGCGACTAAGTGCACCCGGTATCATTTTCAAGTGATCTCTCTGGTCCCCGAGACATTTTGAGTCGTCAAGCTTTTGTGCAAGTCTGACGTTCGAATGCACTGGTGAACGCTCGTTGGTGAAGAAAGTGTTCTGGGACTTGCACGTGATGAAGTGGTGGTCCTCCACGTGAGCAGACCGTTGCCATGTGATCGCGATTAGTAACTTGGGCTCCGCCATGATTGAGGGTTTGCCCGTCGAGCTCATTGGCAAGATTGTGGGCGACCTGAGTCTCGACGATGCTCTCAAGATGTCACAGCTTTCGCGACGTCTCAGAGCCGTCTCGTCGGATCCGGTCCTCAATGTCTGGCGACCGTGCATCCTGCGCAACCTCAAAGCGAGCACCTATGAAACTGCATTCAAGACCCTCAGCGTACATACGGTCGTTCCGCGGCACAACTGGCTCGAGATTCTGTCCCTTGGAAGGGCTGCGTACCTGCTCTTCGACGCGGTTCTCCCGAATCTACCAGACGCAGAGTGGGAGGAAGCGTTCAAGCGGAGGTTTCTGACGTCATGGGCCAGCGCGTACCACAAGAAAGCGCATACGACGTGGAAGTCTGCTTTTCTGCGCGTGCTGCACTACACGTGGCATCGGAGTACGACAACTTGCAGTGTCAATGAGGCATGGACCAAGTCAGTCCCCGGTTGCTGCTGTTATTAGTTCAGCCTCCAAGTTTTGTAGATACATCCTTCTGAACCGGAACGGAACCGCGAATTACTTGGAGGGCTCCTCAAGAGGGTTCAGTCCTTTTGCCATCTTTGAAGAAACCAGGCACGATAAAATCCAGTCAAAGTCTCGACAAAGTGAAATGACGTCACCCCCAAGAACCCAGCAGAATCTCTTGCATCTGCCTATGCGTGTCAGAGTTTGTGCCCCAGTGGCCATTGACTGCATTAACGCTGAAGATTCTCTCCCCAGGTCCTGGTTGAATTTTCTGATGCGCGTGTGCTTGTGTTGGGAACATTAAACCGCCCCCGGAGCTCTTTGAGCGTAAATGCGAATGCAAAGTTGCTGTTACAGCCTCCAGGTATTCGACCGGGCGGAAGCACGCTCTCAAATCTAGACTATTCAAGAATCAGATATCCTCTGCCTGCAGAGTCATTTTTCAATTACCCCTTCTACACGAGTGGGGGTTCGGATCGGCGCTGGCTGGCACCGGGGGACGCCGATATGGAATGGGTCGGAAGCGTCATGTTCGTCGTCTGGAATTTTTCGATTTAATTGTTCTTTTTGAGGGGCTGATCTCCGCGGTTCTTAGGCTCGTCGCCCAGATAATTACTCGCGATTCGAACGACGACGCGACTGTTTCAATCGATGATGATGAATTTGAGGACCTCGACTTCATACTGGGTCCCGGACGAAATCAATACGCTTCGTTTACATGGGAAGACCTTTGGACGGTGGCGCCTTGGATTCGGGAGAGTATCTCCAAGGAAATTGATGGGGCCGGACTGGGTCTCTAATTTAGACTCATCAGTGGCAGTGCCGCTCGTTTGATCGAACACAACAACATCAAGATCCAACTTCTCCGGATCTCTGAATTTACAACCATGATCGGATATGTGATCGGAAACCGTTTCAAAACACAAAAAGAAACCTGTTACGCCCCGAGGCTGATTATTATCCTCATTGTGTAACTGCGTCTCTTGTTACGTACCTTGTGGGCTCACTTGCACACGCTGATTCTATGTTCCGCCGACAGCTCTCTCCGTCCGGACATCCATTCATGATCATCGTCTTTCCCTGTGAACAATAAGCTTTCTCGCTGCTTTGTTGCTCCATTGGGTTTGTTCTGGAGAGTTTAAATAACGATTCTTTTGACCGAGTATCTGCATTCTCCTCTACTTCCTTTCCCCAACGTTGCAGGGCATCGTAGCAAGCCATTCCCCTCTTTTCCAGCCTGATACCTTAATTTAATACAGTCATGACGATCGTTGTGCGTGGTGTTCTCTTTTTATAGTCCATCCATTGACCGAATTCTCTACCAGCTGTTCCCTTGCAACGAATGCCACAAGAAATTCACGCGCTCCGGCGATCTCAAGCGTCACAGCCTTATCCATCTTGGAATTAAGTGAGCTCCTCCCTCATCTTCTGATCAGAGCCTGAGCTGATACAAAAAAGAGCCAACCACTGCAAGATCTGCGGCAAGTCGTTCTCGCAGCCGTCGGGCCTCAAGACACACATGAATACCCAGTGCGCCATCTTTCTGTTCTTCCTTGCAGTATTTCTAATGTCTTGTGTCAGCACAAACTCGAGACCTCACCGCTGTGGCCGAGGAGATTGTGCAGCCACGTTCAATGACCCTTCCTCTGCATCCCGTCACCGCAAGGAAGCGCACTCGTCAAGTCATGTATACGAGTGCCCCAAATGCCATACTTGGTCTGTTCCGGTTTTCTTCCCAATCCATTCACGATCTGACATTTACACCCCCCGCTAGCATCAAGCGCAGGTCCGCCTTCACGACGCACCTGAAGAAGCACGGGGACCAGTTCTTCGGTGTCCCAGTCGACATCTTCTATCATGGCGACATAGCCATAGGGAGCAGGAAACGGTTCCGCCGGGCATCATCTGAAACTTCCTCTGATTCCTTTTCGATCTCCTCGATGAGTATGTCAATTCCCCTTATGACCCATCGTGTGCTATTTTCCTGCTTCTGTTGACCGTCGCTGATTTTTTTCTGGGTAGATGATCCATTCGACGGCTCTGCCTATCATGGTCAATTCATGGGCTCCGCGAGCGTCAAAGGCTTCGACTGGGGCTCGACGTCATTCTCTTATGATGGGCTTGACTACTTGTCGTTGCCAGCCAGTGAACAAACAACCCCGTTTGATTCTCCAGAACTCAACCTCAACGCACAAACTCAGTACCTATCCGAATGCCTTTCCCGGTACGCGTTTGGGTCACTTGACCCCGTATATAACTTTGGGGATCAGCATCTCTATTCTGGCGCCGGACTCGTGCAGGATGTGGACTTCAGTGGTCTTTACACAATGCCTTAAATAAGCGGTCGATCTGCTTGTTACCAGTTATGTTGCTAATGTCGCTATGTCAACTTAATTATATAGTACATCTCTTCGAGCTTCTCGTATAATTTGTATCTTGTACTGTACTCCCAATCGCTACAATAATGGACTGCTGATGCAGATGCAATCGTGGCGAATGGGGATAAGACCGACAACCAGAAGTGTGACCTTGATTAGACGCACTCACGTGTTGGCGACATCAACAAAATCTTCAATCTCGTCCTCTCGAACACCTCCCCCCATCTCCCGCCGCTAGCCCGTTCACCGTGGCCTTTGCTGTCCCCCGTGCTTATTCTTACTTTTGTCTCCTATACCGCCCTTGCCTCTCTGGAGCGCGCCGACCGAGAATCTATTCTAATCCGGCGTCCATGCTCGCTTATGCGTCCCCCGCATCCCCCTTCCCAGACGGCGCGAAATACTCCAAAGACCTCGATTCCTTCAACAAACTCCTGCCGCCACCGATAGAATTCGTAGAAGGGTCGTCGTCTGGAGCCCTAGCCGTGCCTGAGGGCAAATACGATCCTATAAACGCCACCCCCAAGGCGTCTAAAGCAGATGTGAGTACATTCGGACTTCAAGGTGGAGCAGACACGTATATCATTCCTCCTCATCAGGCTGTGCGCCCCTCTTCCATCGCTGCTCGCCCATCCACGCCCACGACCCCCAAACCCACCGCTGCATCAACACCCCGGGTGAATGGCAAGGCGCCGTCTCTATATCCCGGCATTATCGACCTGACATGGCCACCGAATGTGTCTTCATCCGGAAGTGGCTTGTACAACAGCGGCAACACATGCTTCCTAAACAGCGCCCTGCAATGTTTACTGCACACTCCTCCGCTTCTCCGACTGTTATACGAGCACGCCCATGGTCGATGTCCGTGACATCCAGTTGTATGTCAGTGCCAGTCCTCTCACTGATCGAATTGCAGGTCCCGTGAAGGACAACGCGTTCTGTATGACATGCAGCCTCGGGAAAGTCGCATCCCAGGCGTACAGCAATCGAAATGCGTTCATGCCGCAAGCTGTGTCCGGGAAGCTACAAAGTGCGCTCTATCTGCCTTCCCGGTCCGATTAGATGACTGAGTCTGTTGCACAGCAATCGCGAAGCACATGCGACGGGGACGTCAAGAAGATTCGCACGAGTTTCTTCGATACGCCATCGATGCGCTGCAAAAGTCTTGTCTTGCAGGACAACCTCCGTGCGTGTCTCCTTTCTCTAGACTCTTGACTTAGGTCTATAACCGTACGCAGAAAATTGGACCCTAAGTTGGCTGAGACGACCTGGGTGCACAAGTTGTTTGGCGGCAGACTACGTTCACGAGTTAAATGCACCGAGTGTGGGCATAACAGCGACACATTCGACAGCATCCTGGACCTGAGCGTGGACATCTTGAACACGAACAGCGTCAAGCTAGCTTTGCGCAAGTTTGTGGCGGTCGAGTATCTCAAGGGGCAGGACAAGTACAAATGTGAAAAGTGCGTCGTGATGCGCGTTTAGCTCGCATCCTCTCTGACCTGTTACTGCAGATGCAAGAAGCATGTGGTCGCGGAGAAGAGCTTCACGATACAAGAGGCGCCGGCGGTGTTGACGATGCACTTGAAACGGTTCACTCCGATGGGCCGCAAACTGACTCACTTTATCGACTACGAGGAACGATTGGCACTGAAACCATACATGAGCGACGGCTCATTCGGCCCATCGTACTCGCTGTACGGCGTGATCTGCCATGCCGGTGGTGGGCCCAACTCGGGACACTATTTCTCTTACGTGAAAGACTGCCGTGGGCAGTGGCACGAGATGAACGACGAGTCTGTTACGAAGGTTCCACACGCGCCGCTGAAGCAGAAAAACGCGTACATCCTCTTTTACCTGCGGGACAGAGGGCAGGGTCTCGATGCGGCAGTGAACCTTCCACCCAGCGCAATGGTGCCGCGCCAGAGCATCGCCAAGAACATGAAGAAGCGAAAGGCTTCCGAGGATGGACACGAGGACGAGGGTGTCAAGGTCACTAAACCCTTTATTGGGCCGCGCATGCCTTCTCCGGACCGGATCTCGACGCCGAAGAAGACAGCAGAGAAACCCAACGCAACACCTGCCAAAGCCGATCCGCAAGCAGAGCGTGTCCGTCAAAAGATCGAGGCTGCGCAAACGAGCAAAGCCTTGGATGGTCTCGAGGCATATGGATCTGACTCGAGCGACAAGGAGGACGACGGGCCTGAGGAACTGGCCAATCCGAAAACGGTTGTGGGAGTGCAACCTCCGCCGACTGGTACCTCACCGCTACCTCCGTCTTCCCCTCTGCCGACGTCGGCTACCACTCCGAGTCGATCCTCAACGACAGACTCCAATGCTGCCAACTCCGTTCGAACGCCCATTTCAACGACTAGCTTCTACGGTGGCCCAAGTTCTTCACACAAGCGCAAGCACTCGGAATCCTTCGGCAAGGAGCGCCGTTCGTCTGCTGCCAGTTTCAATCCGTTCGACAAGAGTCGACTCACCAACGGCCGGAAGAAACCGAGACCGTTGTGAGCATAGTTTGCGAGTTAACGTACTTACATACATAGACTTGGTCGTCCGTACATGTATGTAGTATTGAGTTATCCTTGGACTTGAGTCGCCTGGCATCTTGATTACACATAAATGGTGACAAAGACAAGGCTTGACTTGCCTCCCACCGTCTATGCTACGCCGCGCTTGGAAGCCGGCATTGGCAGCCACGGTCCCAGCTCTCGGCGGCGCGTACTGGTATTATTCCCGTGAACCCAAGGAGGAGACGTTCGACCTTTCTGTGCCCGTCAAGAGAAACGGCAGACGTGAAAGAACGACGATGACGTTCCCGCTTCTTTCTCAAGACGCAACGGACGCGCGTATACGGGGGAATGCGACAGCGCATACTATTACGAGGCCTGGGATTGTGTGGCATCATACCACCGGTGCGCATTGCGTCGGGAGCGTCGCCGTTGTGTCGTATGAACTGATATGTGCTTACTTACTTGCCTAGCTTCGGTCGCGTCGAACGACCCCATCGAGGATGCCACCGCGCATCAGGTCGTGCGCCGGGATGAGGGAGACGGGGACCTTCTATTTTTTGCTGTTATGGACGGACATGGGGGGTTTTGGACATCACAACTGCTCTCTCGCGTTCTCATTGACGCTATTGCGCTGGAGCTCTCCTCCCTCGGCAAGACTGTATCAGACACTTGGTTCGGCGGCGTGAAAAGTCTGTGGCGTCGGCCACAGAATAAACAGGATGAGGATATCAATCTGGACGCGTCTTCCAGGGGTCTTCCGCCACCTGCGACACCCATGTCGTCGCCCCTCCTGGTCGCACGAGCACTACAAAAGTCATTCCTGTCTCTCGATGCCGAGCTTCTTGCTGCACCGGTACGCGTGCTGGCTGCGGCGTTAGCAGAAGACCCCGACGCGAAAAAGGGCAATGCGAGTTTGAAAATCCCGGACCTGAGCAAACACCCCCTCGCGCTGCCCGCGATGCTCCCGTCGCTGTCCGGCAGCTGTGCGCTGCTGACGATGATCGACACAGCCCACAATAATATGTACGTCGCCTCTGCCGGAGACTGCCGGGCTGTTGCTGGCGTCTGGGAGCCGGAGCAAGGTAAATGGCGCGTTGAGGTTCTGACAGAAGACCAGACGGGACGGAATCCATCAGAGGCTGAACGGTGAGTGTGTCTCCGATCGTTGGGTGTGTTGGATTCTGAATCGGTGTTTCTGCAGAATGCGCAGAGAGCATCCTGCCGACGAGGCTGGTGATGTCATCCGCAACGGTCGTGTGCTCGGTGGATTGGAACCAACTCGCGCATTCGGTGACGCGCGATACAAATGGTCGCGGACGCTGCAGGCTACGTTGGTCTTTTCGATGGCTGCATACATTCTATGTTGCTAACGCTGCTTGTAAGATTATATCGCGCGTTCCTCGAGGGTGGAGATCAGCAGGCACGAGGCCCACCTACGTTGCTCAAGACGCCGCCTTATGTGACTGCACGACCCGTCGTCACGCACCGAGTCTTGAACTTGCCAAAATCAGACGGAGCGGTCACCAACGCTCCGGCTCTGCGGTTTATCGTACTTGCGACCGACGGACTCTGGGACGAATTGAGGTGCGCATTTTCAGCTGCATATACTCAGGCATCGACCCACATGTGATCCTCTACCAACAGCTCAGAAGATGTCGTGCGCCTAGTCGGCGGTCACATCGGCGGCCTGCGAGGGAATGTCCCGAAAGACTCGCTCTCGAACCTCGTCCCGACCGTCGCCGGGTCTGGCACTGTGCAAGGCAAGGATGCAGACCACCGCCGAGCGCGGACCTCGGAAGCGTGGACTTTCGTCGACGACAACGCCTCAGCGCATTTGATCCGCAATGCATTCGGTGGGGCCGATGCGAGGTCGGTGCGCGAGGTGCTCAGCATCCCGTCTGGCCTTGCGCGAAGTTTCAGAGATGATGTTTCGGTGACGGTAGTCTGGTGGGAACAGGAGAATGAGAGTAAATACCAGGTCGCTACTCTCACAGTTCCACCTCCGGACGTCAAGGCCAAGCTTTGAGTATCGCGGATGATCGATGATCTGTGAAGTGGATTATATAACACAAGTTGAGAGTACACTACACAAGCATGTAAATCAATACAGACACCTTGTAAGCAAACGACAATGTTCCCGTTTAAAACATATACAGACTTGCAATACACGACATGCGATGGACGAAAACATTTCAAACCGGACTAGGCTCTATCTGAGACTCAAGCTCGGGGCGACACGACAGCAGCACCGTGACTGCGCAGCGCATAGCGGGGCGTAGAAGACGGGACAGGTGACGACGGGGGCGACGTCATCGGGGTCAAGGAAGAAAGGGAGGACAGCCGCGACAGCGTTCTTGTCAACGAGGCGACTGCGTTCGGGTTGTGCAATGGGGTGTTCGTCCGAGGAGGCTCTTCCAGGGGCGGGGTGTTTCCTTCTTGGGTTACAGTCGGAAGCTCATCGCTCCCGGGCGGATCAGTGAGCGAGAGCATCGTGCCATTCGGGGTGATGGGAGGAGTGGGCACGTAACTTTCGTAATCGGAGGGATTGTTTGGGGTGTGCGGGGGCTGGTGCTGGGAAGAGGGATGCCCTTGCGAGTGCTCTTGCGACTGCGGGGGCGGAGTGCCTTGCGACTGGGGCCATTGTTCCTGCGACAACGGCTGCGAGAACACATCGCACGCCGCGCGCAGATCAGCTTCTTCGCCTGCAGTGATCGAGTTCCCGCGCAGCATGGAGAATAGCGAGGAGTGGGATGGGATCGAGAGCGACGTGTCCGTGCGTCGGAGCTTGTTCGGTCGCTCGCCCGTGACGGGATGGCTGTCCGGCGGTCGTGTGCGAGCAACCCCCATGATAAACCCATATCCGTGATCCAACACCTCCGTTCCATCGGGTCGTAAACGCTTCAACGCTCTAGGATTCCGCCTGCTCGGGTGTTTGATCGACTTCAGTGGAACCAGAGGGTTGTTGTATGCCCAATCGCGGACTTTGATTCCCATCGCTTCAAGGTCTGCAGGCGTCGGCTGAAGATCATCTTGTACGCGACGGATAGGCGAGGGAGATATGCGTCTCGCGGCGGGGGACGATTGGAATGTTTTGCTGGAGGAAGCCTCTGCTTCCGGTGGTGGGAACGCCATGGCGAGAAGACGGACAAGTAAGAAAGAGATCGTGATGGCGCTCGTGAGTGGGATAGTGAAGTGAAATGAGACTATCAGCCGCGGACTTGGACCTTCTTATACCCTCGTCCACAATTGAACTGCACAAGGAGATGACCAGAAAGAGGATACTCGCACGTGAATGCATGATTCGCTCATTGTTCTGTCACTTTGATTGTGACAGACTGACGCGTAACGCGCTGTGGTTCGACTCACGGACTGGCGCAAGCCATTACCAGCCATTACCCATTGTGTCATTGTTGCTTTCAAAGGTTTTGATCCGACATTTACCGAAATCATATAAGCTGACTACCGTCGTCCATTAGGGTCAAGGTCTATCTTGATGCCAGGATCTGACTAAGTGCTGGGGGTCCTGGCACTCCGTGACCATATGCCTCATATCTGCTTAGTAAGGTGATATCGGGTGATATTTCGGTGTAGTAAGTGTTGTCGTCGTCGTTGATGGCGATAGCGGCTTCTAGTGCTTTCAGACTGCAGAGCCAGTTTTTTCCTGTTGTACGGCGATTATTGGAGTGCAACGTATGAAGCACGTGAAATTTGCATGCGAACAAGGGACACAAACCCTAATGGTCGAGTCAACTATCATTTCAGGTAGGGCTAAGCACAGCCTTGTTGGCACGTGCAATGATCTCCGGTAGTCTCCGGTTCATTTGCGCTATGTATTGGCTGGGATCCGGATTGTACTTAGCTTGGATCATTGACCAGACTCTCCGCATCAGGATTGACAACAGATATCTCTGCCCCACGCTGTGTGGCCTTCCTACGAACAGCCGCCTGCTGTTTCAAGCGATCCAAATCAATCCGCGGAGGTACATTTTGGAATTCCGATCGCCGAACAAGTGACACACCGTGGGGAAAATGAGTTTTGTGGTCGCGTTCATTTGGGCGTTTCCTTCCTATAAAAAACTACAAAAATGTACAAAAATTTATTTTCATCAAATCACTATTAAAGAGAGGTGCCTTTGCGCACTGTACATGCAAAGAACCCACGGAGTGCACCGGTCCAAGCGCGACGCGAGAGATAACGACGAGATGAAGAGATGGCGAGGGCGATGAGCAACGCCGAATGACACATCAGGGAGGGGTCACGGTGTGACTGGAGATCACTGGTTGGACCCCAACATCGAATCATGATCACACTTTCCTAAAGCAGACCTTGACCCTAATGGACGACGGTAGCTGACACCCTTGATTCAAAAAATATAAACTCGTTCGCTGAGATATTAATCAACAGGTATATTGCACTAAGATATCGATGAAATTAGCCTCAAGTGACTCTGAGACTGTATTCCAGATAGACATCCCTGGAGCCTGAGCTGAACCTTTCCCACGTGCTCTACACGGTCACGTGTCCTTGTGTCCAGATCGACAATCGCGTGTAGCAGCGAGCTATTCTAGCATCTTATCGTATTCGACCGTGGGATTCCATTCAAATCGATCAAAAATTCACTAGTCCAACCGGCAGTAAACATTTTTCGCGATGCTCCGATGGTTCTGCTTGACATCTCTGATGTTCAGGCTGATATCTCTCGAGACTGGGATCGGCCGGGGCCAAGTCGCATCGGTCGCCAGGCTACGTGAGCTGTAAGAGCATGCGACCCACTTGAACTGTATCCATGTTCGAATTCTAACTAACCCTTGCTTCAGAACCGCCCTGCACGTAATCCCGTTCCGCGCGTCTGTTCCGTTGATGGTCGTTGATCGCCCTGCCGGCCGAATCGGAGGGCTAAAATTGCAAAAATCATTATCGGGTCACCAGTCAAGTGACATGTTGCAGAGAATGCAGGGCCCGCATGGATGGGGCCTAGCTGGTTCTGGAAATCTGACCGATCTGGTCGCGCCAAGCCGCCGCCGCTACGGCCGACTTCTCCTGCGCACGAGGCGGTCTGATCGCTGATACTTACTTGAAAGGAAGCCGACCCAGCCTGAACAAGATTTTGAGTCTTGAGTCTTGACAGAAGTTGTCCGGGCGCCGCCGGGACAAGACACTAGTCTTGGCAGGACCGATGATAACCACGTGCCTTGCTCCCTTCCAATCCCCCTTCCCTCGTGCGTGTCGACTGTCTCCGTTCCGCGTCCGGTCAAATCCTGCAATGTCCATCCATTCTCTTGGCCATCTGGATTTCAGCGCCAATTCCACGACACGATCGACGACGCTGACGCCGGCTCCCCCTAATCTGCATCTCCAATCAGGGCGCAACGAAGTCATCTGGTTCTCGCGGAATGTCAGAAACTGACAGAATCGGTACCACAAGCGACGACGACCGTGGAGTCCGTTGGGCCAGCTTGAGGCCACCTCCACAGTTCCTGAAAGTGTCATGTCCGTAGCGCTCTGACGTCGGTCTCGCCCAGCAAGCGCGCTTGGGGCGTCCTTGAGAATCGCTCGCAAGGGCCACGCAGTGTGTTTGCATCCGGAGGCATTAGACCCTACTGCCATTCTTCTATCTCCCTGAATCTATTAGCTCGGATGATTCCGGAGTATCGTGATTCTGGACCCATGAGCTGGTCGCGCTTCACATGACTGCCGCGAATCCTGAAACCTTTGATCTCTCGAGATCTAAGACCTTGAAAAACGTCACTCGCTTAGTCGCTGCTTCTGATGTGTGGCACGAAGGAAGGAAGGGACAACGCGTTTCCCAGGCCGCCGCCGCTTCTGCGCAGTTAAATAAGTACTTTGGAAGAACGGAGTTCGGGTTTCCTGACTACGCCTCCTTTCGCCGTTTCCCTGCCCCGCGATGAGCAACAGCATCGACAAGGCGACCTTGTTTCGCATCGTGTGCGCTTCAACTCATGGGGCTGGCGGGTCGCGCGTGCTAAATGTCGACGCAGCTCATTCACACTGGCGGGCGCGGATGTATTGCAAACGATGCCTGGTGCGTGAAATACTAGATTGTGTTGGGGACTCTCGAGCACTTAAGCAACTACCAGCTACATATAGACTGTATAGAAAGCAATGGGACAACAAGAGTCTGAGCCCTGTCTGTTTCTTCTACGCCATGTCAAGATAGTGAGCAGTTTGTCCAATGGAAAAGCTTTTGGCGCTGATCAGCGGACTGCAGCATGAGCATCATCTCCCTGATCTCAAATGGAATCGGTTCGTCCTATGATCATCTCTATGTTCCGCTATCTAATGCTAAGTTGCAGGCGCCTTGTCGACCAATTTTACCTTGGAATCGTGCAGACGGTTCTACATGCTGCCCAACATTACTGCTCGTAAGCTCAAGTCGGATGTGCTCATGCGCTTGAGCTGAATGTTGTCCAAGTGCTGGCTGGCATTGCGGTTCAGGCGCTGCTCTTCATCCGGTCAGTTCGCTAGGCCTGGGAAGCCGGCTCGTCGTCTAACTTGCACGACAGCACATACGCCATCTCAGGTCGCTCCAAGTATGTTATGTTCGGCCTGAGCGCACTGCTTATGGTCTGCATCCCGGTGCGTCCGACCGATTCAAGCTAGTGTGTTCCTGCTCCTCATGCGTTGCCAGCTGGAAGTGTTCGGAATCGTGTACCATCGTGATGTGAGTCCTCACTCTCTCTCGGGGTCGAACAGGCGCTCAACTCTGTGCAGATGCAACTCAAGGGGGTAAGACTGTCCGATCTGTCTCTTCTCCGTCTCTGCTGAACTTATCTAGGGCGCGTGAGTGTTCGTTTCCTTGCGCTCTCAACCACGAGACTGAACACTTGGCCAGATGCAAAGGCAAAGTCTTCCACAAGGGCGACCCAGACTGGAATGTTGTATTCTACAGCACCCAGATGGGTTACGATCTCATCGTGTGTGCGGTGGGGACATATTTCCTGTGGAGCTCGGCCCTAGTCAACGGACAATTGTCGGTGTCCAACCCTGCCTTCCTTGCGCAGGCTTGCTGACCTGTGACCCTCCAGCAATGCTTCTCGATTCGTCCGGCGTGTGCTACGCAATGGGCTATTGTATACGATCACAGTGTTCCTAGTGAATCTGTAAGTACTCGTTATCAGAGACACCGACATTGACCCACTGATAACCCATCGACAGCTGGGTCGTTCTGGAGTTTTCCAGGGTGTTTGTCACAGGAGCTGCATCGACCCTGCCCCTGACCGTTGTCATGATCGGTGCGTCGCTGTATAACAACCCACCAAGGACTGATTGGATGATATTCGCCGTTAATAGCGGCTCAGCACCTGATTCTCAGCATCCAGAGTCCCCGGGGCACGGACGATTCTGTCACCGATCGCCTGCGATCAGGTCCGAACTCGCGCACGATCAGCGGGGGACGACACCGCGAGACAACGCAGGGCGTGGAGATGTACAAAGTCACGGAAACGCACCTCCACCACGACCCGCCACCCCACCACACCCATCAGCAGAAGATCACATTCGATGCGGAGCGCCAGAGCGTCGACATCGACAAATCTGGACACTTCCCCCATTAGATTCGGCCGTCCGCCTGTCCGCCCGCTGGCGCCCACATTCGTTTCGTTATCTTGTATATATTGAAGAAAAGATTGTACATATTGTGCAATAGAGTCCTTGACCGCCCCGATACGGTCGCGTCATGCAGCCGCCCACGATGGGTCATAATTAGGTGGCAGTGTCTCCTCGAACCGCCCGGCATCGACTTCCTGTCGTGCTGGAGACCGGGACGATGAAGACGATCCCGTATTAGGTAATAGACCCGATTTGCGACTGGGCAGCGAGTGGCCGCCCCCGACAGCCAGCCTCGGGCTCGGGGGCACATCGGCATATGGATTAAAGTCGTCTGAGAGCGGCACCTGAGAGTAATTGACACCGGAATACATGCCTCCCCTGGAATCCTGCATAGAACTCGTGGCCGTCGGCGAGTAGCTGCCGTAACCCAGCTCATTGAAATTGGCCTGTTGGACGCTGGAATTCCGCAGGTGACCCAGCGTCATGGAGTTTTCTGGCAGATAGTTTAGGCATCCCTTGCGACTGGGACCGAGCGAGAGACAGCTCACGAGGTGTGTGTTTATACGGGGTTATAACCAACCCGTCTGAAGACGTCGTTGACCGAAGTCGCGGCCTGTTGGAGCCGCCTCAGATAAGATAAGATAAGATGGATGAGGAGATCCGCACTTTCTTCTGTATCTTCTTCGAAGACAAACGAAAGCAGCAAGCAACAGCGCGATTGCACCTAGTACGGCGCCCACAGTGATTCCAGCAATCTTGCCGTCATGCCTGTCGACGTGCTGAGGTTGTATGGCAGATGGAGATGTCCGAAATGATGATGAAGTGGAGGACGGGGAAACGGATACACTCGAAGTCGAGCTCGTGCTGCAGAGCATGAGAGATGATGAGGCGATTTCGATTCCATCCTTACTTCTGTACATTCATCAATACAACCTATGCAAAATGGATTAGCAAAGCTCCCGCCGCAAACGATGGACGACGAACACTGTGGATGTCAGAATAATTGCCGTCGTTCAGATTAGTCAGGGTTACACGATATGACGTCGAAGGATTCAGGCCGCTTTCCCAGTATATCAGGTTGTCCAAAACAAACCATTTAGACGTGCCGCTGAGAACCCTGGGACCCGACGACGACCCCACTGCTGGGTTTATTTCCACACTCAAGTTCCCATGGTTATAATTTGTTGTTCCGTAGATAAAGACAGCGGAGCTGGAGCCAAGTGTCAAATGCGGCTGAGATATGCCCGACTAGTTAGCTAGGGCTCACCTGTTTGTGCATGTGAACGAGATGTACGCCCCTGCGGCATTGGTGTCCAGTCGAGTGTACCCTCCCTGGTCCTGATTGTGCTGGTTACTGAATCCCGATCCAGAAGTCGAGTAGAACGAATTGGTCTGCGCAGATCCATCACCCTGAATGCTCACTGCTACCTGGGTTGTATTCACTACAGATCTATGCCAACGGTCAGACACGATATCTCGAGCGGAATTCCACGCTCACGCAGATCCGACATCTGACCAGAGGTCGATGGACGCATAACTCAGAGCCAACGGTTGTGTTCCATTCGCCTTGAGTAGCAACGTGTGCTTGGCATGCGCGTCCAGGTCCTTGTAGGTCGCCAGAACAGAGCCGGAAGGTGCCCCGGCGACGGGAGCTCCATCGTCGAGAGTGGTGGTATACGCGCCTGCAGTCCCCTGACCAAAGACAGATACCCTGGTCCCGACGAACTCAATCTGGGCGGAGGCGCCGGAGAAGGTGGTCACATGCGAGCTAGAGCCCGACGGAATGTTGTTGGCCTTGTGTCTCGGATCGTACGCGCTGTCTGGCGTGCCCGTCCAAGCAGACTGCCATGTCGTATTCGAGCTCCCTTCGCTGCTGGGGAAAAAAGTCCATTCAGGGGATTGATCGGTGACCATGATCGTTAGGGGGGTCGCGGACGACATGGGAGAATCGCGGCGAGAAAAGCCAGTGACGCGCTGAGAAGACAAATAAAACGGAAAAGAGAGGATAGCGCGGTGGTGGAAGAAAGAGGACGCTCGTCGGGAAGGATTTCTGGCGATCCCTGGGAATCTGATAGTCGTCTAGGTACTACTCGACATGTAGTCTCCTACACGCACAGCACAAAACGCGTCAACCACGTATTCCAGTGATGCAGTTATAACTGTCCGTGTCTCTCTTGTTTCTTGATCCGTAGATATTGTCCCGTCCTGTGGACTGTTTCATCTTAACCTCGTCTTCGGGGAAGTGCCTCACGCGGCGGCCCACAACACAGCGGATGAACGACTGACACGACATAGCCACTGATGCTTGTTTGAAACTCCGTAATTGATCTTCTCCACAAACCTGTTCCGCACACGCGTTGAATGCACTTATACTTGGCTGGGCCACCAGGGCCTCGCGTCATCTATCTCATCTCCCCCGAGCGCCGTCGAGTGCTTTCGTTCCGGCAAAGCGAGTCGAACCCAGCACAGGCCGTCGTGGAATTCGTTCCACAATCACAAGTCAACCTCAATAATGCGATCCGTCTGACGACCAGAGTTATCAAGGGTTGCTTGGGACTGATCTCATTGGAGAACGGTGCGTCTATCTACCCTCTCCTGTTTTGAGGGCCGTGTTGACGTATCCCCAGATATCTTCCTCGCTGTCATCTCCAGCGCAACCGAGGTCGGGAATACGCGCCCCAACTCTTCCCGTGTGGAGTCAGTGTCAAAGATCCACCAAGTCAGCTTCTACAGTCTGACCGTTTCGACGTGGGATGATATCGCAGCGGAGACCCTGGCCACGACAGAGGCGGCCGATGCTATCGTCAGGGAGAACTACGGCCAGAATGTACCGACTCTCGAGCATCCATGCGCCCCGCTGACGAAGATCCTCTCGTCCGGATCCTTCTATTACGCTTCCGACTCCCAGTGGGACGTATCATCGCGCCTGTCGCTCCGCCTCGTACGAGATAAGACGCCGAACTTCAGCACTTTCGATCCGGCCTTCATCTGGAACTCGTTTCTGCTGCAAGGGCTGCTCGATTTCCGGGACCGGTTGGACAGATTCGAGAGGAGTGAATTCGACGCGTGTCAGTTTATAGTATGTATGCTGGACGCTGCCCTCTTTCCGACGAGCGTCAGGACTGAGCGGTCTGCAGCGTTTGGCGATTCAAGGCTATGTCGGCGTCTTCACCATGGCCCTGCCGGCACCTCCAACGAGTGGTGCTCCGGCCATCGTGACACTTTCGCTCATATCACGGCTCGGTTCGAAGCGGGCGGGCACACGATTCAATGCGCGCGGAGTGGACGATGGTGGGAACGTAGCTAACTTCGTCGAGGTGCGGATCATTAGAGCGCAGTCGGCCTGCATTCTAACGGCTTGCAGACGGAAACTATCTTTACGACGGACCAGCATTCTGTTAGCTACGTGCAAGTACGAGGGAGCGTTCCTTGTCAGTGCTACGTATCCATCTCTTCCAATGCTGATATGGTGCACGTCCAGTGTTTTGGGAACAGCAAGGGCTACAAACATTCGGTCATAAGATCCAGATTACCCGGCCAACGACGTCCCAACCTGCATTCGACCGGCATTTCTCGCAATTGGTGGACGACTATGGCTCGGTGCATGCCATCAACCTGCTCGGCACCAAGGAGAATGAAGCCTCTCTGACAAACGCCTACGCCCGTCACGTACAAATCGCACGCGAGGGTCTTGGGGATAGCATTAACATCAGCCACTTCGATTTCCACAATCATGTCAGGGTTGGAGGACACGACAGCGTGAGCCGAGAGCTGCGGTATGTGTCGGAAAGACCCGATGGTTGCGTCGCTTGCTGACGTGAGCTGCGCAGACGGATGGATCGGATTGCTACACATGTAGATGAATACGGCTTCACGATGTGTGATGCGACGACTGACGAAGTCGTGACCGAGCAAAAGGGTATCTTCAGGACCAATTGCCTCGACTGGTGTGTCGTGCAGCCCTCTGCTGATGACACGGCCTGAATGACACCCCAACAGTCTCGATCGAACGAATTTCATCCAGGAGATCTTATCTAGAGGAACATTAGAACAGTATCTGCTTCTCGTGAGACGAGAATGGCTGCATTCCAACACTCTTTGGACACATCACCGTGAGTTGTGGGGAGACAACGGCGATGCGCTATCCAAGATCTATGCCGGCACTGGGGCGCTCAACACCAGTTTCACGAGGAGTGGGAAACGCACATTAGCTGGTCGGTCTTTACTTGCCATGCCATGACGTCATCTGAACCGAGACGCAGGCGTCCTGTCGGATGCGACGAAGAGTGTATCTCGGGCTTACATCAACAACTTCCAAGACAAGGCCAAGCAGACTGCTATCGACATGTTCCTCGGGAATCTGAGCAACCAGCGGTCGGTGACGATATTCGATCCCATCCACGACTCTGTCCGAGATGCGCTAGAATCTCGGTGAGAGTCTCCTTATCAGCGGGTACGCGACCCTGGCTCACGAGGTGGTTAGGATCAACGAATACTCGTCAACCAGGCAGTGTTCTCTCTTCGTCGGAACATGGAATCTCAACGGCAGGGTAAGTGGTCTAGGCTTCCACTGCGTACTTTGCCGGGTAATCTGGATCTGTTTCAGCCTCCTTCTGAATCGCTATTACCTTGGCTATTCCCACGCGAAACCAAGTCCGAACCAGACATCTTTGTCCTCGGATTCCAAGAAATTGTCCCTCTCACCGCGCAGCAGATCGTGCAGACAGATCCTGAGAAGCGGAGGGTCTGGGAAGCCAGGATTTTGGAGACGCTTGACCGACGGCCGACGAAAAAGTCGGACTATGTATTGCTGCGCAGTGAGCAACTGGTTGGTACAGCGTTGCTTGTGCTGGTGAAGACGGAGGTGGCGCCATTGATGAGGAATGTCGAAGCAGCGACTAGGAAGGTTCCTTGGTTCCGCTGCTGTTCGTGAGCCACCGTTTGAACGTGCTTGCAGACCGGTCTCCGTGGGATGTCGGGCAACAAAGGCGCTGTCGGCGTGCGATTGGATTTTTGCGACACCAGTTTCTGCTTCTTGACTGCGCATCTGGCGGCAGGTCATTCAAACGTCGAGGAGCGTAATATGGACTACCGCACGATTGTGAACGGGCTGCATTTCCAGAAAGGAAAAACGATCCAGGTCCACGAGTGAGCTGCGCTGTTGCTACGCCGGCACTGATCAGAGCGCTGATCGACCGATCGCAGTAACATTGTCTGGCTGGCGGATACCAACTACCGGATAGACCTTGAGAACGATACGGTCCGTTCCCTGGCAGTTGGCGACGAGTATGACGCGCTTTTGTCTGGAGATCAGGTGGGTGTTTGATGGCTGAGTTTGGCAAGACCAGGTCACGAGCTGATGATTGGGCAGCTGCGACAAGCGATTGACACTGGAGCAGCGTTTGCTGGATACGAGGAGGGCCCACTATTGTTCAGACCGACGTATCGGTACGACCTGGGGACGGACAATTACGACACGAGCGAGAAGATGCGCATTCCTGCGTGGACAGGTTCGTCACGTGTCTCTGCACCAGTAGGCGACTGCGCTCATAGACATTCTGTGCAGACCGCATTCTTTTCCGGGGCGGTGACTTGGATTTGTCGACGTACTCACGCGCTGAGTTGAAGGGATCGGATCACAAACCAGGTGCGGCAAGCTCATCGTGTTTGCTGCATGGGCGGAGTCCTGAGGGGTTGCTGCAGTATTTGCTACGTTCAGAGCGTCGGTTCGAACCATCGACGAGGCGAAACGGACAGCGCTGTCACAGCTTCTTCTGCGGAATGTGCTTGCGACGGGGCCAGGGCAGAGACTGGACGAGCAGCTGGCTGCACTGTCCCTGCCCTCGACAGTAGGAGACCGTGCGTATTGAACCCTGTTTGTGCGTGCGATAGTTGCTGAGTTCGGTGGTCAGTGCCGCCGCCCAGTTCTGACGAGAGTGCGTGGTGGAATGGACCTGGTGCGTTGCTGTATATTGTGCTACGTCCGTTTCTTCTGAACTTTATCGCACAGCGCACATGAACGGAGCCGTTTCTGAGGTCGAGATACGGCATCTCCGGACCGGGGTAACAAATCCCTTCGAGCTTTCTGATTCCGACTCGATCTCATCGTCGTCATCTTCGGACGAGGAGCTGTACACCGATGCCTTGACACTGCATGCGCCGATATCTCCAGTGCAATCTGCAATCCCTCGGAAAATGCCGCCGCCTCCACCTCCTCGCAAGAAACCGCCGCCCGTTGAGTAAGGTCTGTATCGGCAAGCTAGTATTTGTATCATGGATTATATAATCGACCCGTTCTCCTCGATAGCAGCCACATAGCGAGACCATTTCTCCGTCGGCTCCTGTTCCTCGACAATGCATGAAGTGATGTTCCAAGCACACTGACACGTCATCAGGACTGTCGTACCACAGGATACCAGGTGACTGACCTCGAGTGAACAGTTGAAGTAAAGATGGTCGCCAGGTCGGAACGTGCGCGCAATGTCGGCAACATCCGCGATCGCGCTCCGGTGTTTCTTCAGCACGAGGGCATCGAACGGAGCGGTGACGCTGTATACTTCAGCCAGCGCGGCGAGCGATATGATGATGCAGCCTTTGAGCGCCAGCGAGAGCAATCTCTGTTCCGTGGACACGTCCAGTTGCGAGATCGCAGCGATATGTTTTTCGACATCAGCGACGAGCACTTTGCAATGAGCAGACCACTCGCTCGCAACTGCATTGTCTGCTGCAGTTGATCTGAGTTCTGTGTGCGGCGATTTGCACCTCAGAATGACTTGCCAGAGTCCCACTCCGCCCGCAGCTCCTTGGCTCGGACTACAAAGTGTATGCTTTTAGCCCTGAGATAATTGATCTCGGCATAGCCCGTGTCGCTGGCCTGATGAGTTGTAAGCAGAGATTATTCGACGAGCGCATGACGGCGACCGACGACAAGATGCCGAAACTTGGCCAACAGGACCGACGGAAGCTGCGGAGAATGTTCTGTGCTGAGGCCAGCGATGCTCGTCGCCATCATGACATACACCATATGCGACAAAGCCGATCTCGCTTCGGCAGCGAGCCCCGACGGCACATCCAGCACATGAGGACTGGGGGGTCCACCGCCACCGAATGAGATGGCAAGGTTGTCGGCGTTGAGTCTCAGGGCGTGCTGATTCTGCATAACGACGTTGCTCGCCTTCCCAAGGAACTCCTGCGACTTGTTGTATTCCGCGTTCTTTGCGTGGTACACCCCCAGCAGTTGGTACACCTGGACGTAGGTCATAGGGTCGGGTGCACGCACGGATCCCGCTAGGATGTCCAAGATGTGCAGCTTGTATCTCTTTTCGATCGCTGTCTGCCGTGTGATGCGCCCGTCGCTCGAAGAGACGGGGTCGGTGGCGACCATGTAACCCATCAACGCACACAGCACGATGAAGACTGGGTGCACGACGGCCCCAGAGGTGTCGCCATCGGCGATGGCTGCTCGCTTGTCGGCGCTGATGTTGAAGCCGTAATGCCAGCAATGTTGCAGGAAAAGACAGCGCCTTATTCCCTGTATCAGCAAGCAGAGCAAGTCACTGACCAGCGTGTTCGGGCACTCACAACGCAAATGAGTCGAGCTGACCGCCTTGGTCTGGGAGCGTTTCCGAAGGGGAGGCAAGTGGAGAGGAGGTCTCTTCTTCCGGTGGGGGACTATCAGCAGAGGATATATTTGGGATCGAGACGATGTTTGAGGGCCCGGCAGCGGATTGCGACTCGGTGTTCATCTCAGTCGATATCGGGCTGGATTTCTCCTTTCTTGCAGCGCGTCTCTCCCACACTTTCCCACCGTAGTGACACGATTCCGACATTCCCAGCCGAACGCAGCCGGAGCACGGAGTCTTGCCGTTGCATTTCTAGCACCCACCTCAATCTCGCTCGCAGGGTGCAACACCGTCGAGCCACACACCTTCTTCTTCTGCCTGCACGATGAGCCCGGACATCAGAGAGATACGGCACGGCGCTCACCGGCAGGAGATGCACGCAGCGCCTTTCGTAAGACCTCCCGGATTTTCAAGGCGCATACACGCAGGCGAGGTGGCCGCGCGATCGCGTACAAGGCCCGCACGGGTCCAAGCCGTCACACCGCTAGGCGACTGCCGCTGAGCCGGCTCGATTGGGTGACGCTTCGGGACGAAGTGGACGCACCACTTTGCGTGTGCGGCAGGCTTTGCATGTTCTTGGAGGTTCAGACATGTAGTGCTAGTAGTAAGCCAGCAGATCATCGGTCCGACTGGCCGCTGGCTCACAGCCACCGCGCAGCATTCGTCGATGGATAGATATTACAGGGAAACAGCAGTTATAAATGACATCGACGACCCTGCCAGTAACACAGGTTCTGCATCCAGAAGATGCACTAAATAATACCCTGCTTTTTCAAGTCTTCATACGTTTTCCGGTCATACACATTGCCGTCTTCGTCCTCGAGCTCTTCCATCGTGTCCTGTTGATGCATGTCCCGCCGATTGTCTTTGCTTAGTTTCTCGGCCACTGGATGAGTACCAAAATTAGCATCATTCAATGCATCGCCAGATGGAACAACAAGCACGCACGTGATCGCGCATCCTCGATCCGAGTGATCTCGTGGAAGTGCTTCGTGTTGGGGAGCCCGAGCGCTCGCATACCAAAAGCATGGCGAGACTCCTGGAAATGGCGCTCAAAGTTCTTGCGGCCCTTGTAGACGGCATCGGAGCAGATTTCGCAGCGGTATTCGACGCCGAGCCCGTGCAGCTTGTACAGCCAATAGGGAATGGGCTTGCCGTCCCAGCCCAGGGGAAGCTTAAGAGGGTTGTAAATTCGCTCCTCCTCCTCCTCCTCTTCGGCCCCTTCTTTGGTAGAAGACGTAGGCGGTGCCACGGGCTTGGCCTGCTCGATCAGCTCCTGCTCGCGCTCCCGAGCGGTGAGCGAGAAGCGCCGCTCGACGTTGGATTTGGTGTCGTTCAGCACGGGGATCAGAGGAACGAGCAGAGAAGTTGATAGCCATGTCCAAAGCGCCGTATTTCGCAGCCGCGCTTGAGTCGAAGACTGTGTTGTCGAGGATGACACGGCAGACGTTCCGTTCTCTGTCGGCCGAGGAGCAGGGGTCAACTCCCCAGCATCGATCTTGGCTTGCGTCTTCACGTGCTTTTTAGATGTGAGATGTGCATCGAACACCGTCTGCTTGGCATAGAGTTTCTGGCCTGTGAGAATACTCGTCAGAAGGGAAGGAATAGACTGTTGTGCCACTCACAGGCAGGACACCAGATCCCGGCAGTCTCTTGGCCATTGACAGTCGCTTTAGGGGCATTTTCCTCCCACCCACGAATCTCTCCAGCCGCCCACTTCTCCTCGAACAGCTTCGTTGCGTCCAGTTGCTGCGACTCCATATCCACCAGAGGCATTGTGCGCTTGGAGAAAGAGAGCAGATACGTGTGCAGATTTTTGATGTAGGTCTCGAAATCCTTGGAGAACCGGGTCTCTTTGGACAAGTCACGGTGGATAGGACCGTACTGGGCAAGAAGAAGCAAATCAAGGTACTGCAGGTAGCCCGGACGCTTGCCGACATTCTTCAAGTTTGTAAACGCAACGTGGTTGGCGTAGAGATCGACGTATTTGCCGTAGGATTCTTCTCCTGAGAACAAGAGAGATATGGCTATGAAAGCACTCGTCAGGCTTGTCCGTGTTTGAAGCAGTCAAGCAGGACGCACGGTCTTCCTCCTCGTATTCTTCATCAGCACCATCCTGATTTGGTTCTTCGAGAAGCGTAGCCAGCTCGAGATCGAACCCGCCTGGCACTGAGTCAGGGTACTTGGCGTGGTGCTCTTGTATTTTAACCAACCGGGCATAGAACTCGGTGAAGTCGTCCTGTTGGTTAGGTGCCGTGAGGCGGTCTATCTCTGCCCGTCTGCGCTCCTCGTCCTCATAGAGAGCGTCAAGTGCCACCGCGCGCCCCGTGATGCGGTCCAAGATTTGAGCTGCCCGTGTCTCTTGTTGGATGCGTTGCTCGTGCGCGGGAGTATTCCGAGATAGCAGACTAGACAGAGCGCGCTCGAAACGCTCAATCTCCTCATGGGTCTGCCGCTGGAGCTCAATGACACTATCCATGGTGAGTGCACTCGAGATGAAGAGAAGAGGAACGCGAAGAACGGTGGGAGATCAACAATCACAAACAGCTTGCTTTCGGCCACCGTGACCACGCTACTTAGAATGTCCCTGGACGACGATGATTTTACGTTCGGTTCTTCTGTGTGGGGCTCCTCTGAGCCGGTTACTCTCGCCCCTCCTGCTCAATCCACATTCTTCCCGCCGCCATCTGACGATTTCGACGATTTCGGATCCCCAACTGAAACTGCTGATACCAATGCTGCTGTTGAGGACGATGATTTTGGAGATTTCGGAGACTTTGATGATGCGGGAGGTGGTGGAACCGAGTTTGGCGATGACGCCTCCGGGGGCTTTGGAGGCACAGCGGAGGCCGGACCTTCGTTTGCCGCAAGCTGGACACCCTTGAGGCTAGAATCGTCGCCAAATAGAGATCGGTTACGCGGAGATATCGACGAGATACTGGCTCCTGTCTGGGCCAATGTTGATTTCAGTCAGGTCATCACTAGCGACGGCATTCGGGAGGTGGAAGGAATCTCACAAATCTTGATCAATCCTGAAAGGTAAGGAACTCTAGAGCAGGTACGCCAAGCAATCATGCTGACTACCGATCTCGCAGTCGAGACTTGTATAACATACTACTCAAGTCACCACCTCCGACCAAGCCCCCGAACTGGACGCGTTCTCGGATTCGCCGACAGCACTTGATCGCACTGGGCATCCCCGTTAATCTGGACGAGGTCCTACCGCCACAAGCCAATGGACACGCTATGCCCCTGCTGCAGGTGACTACGCGGCCGATGTCGGCGCCCCCGGGTCCTCGTAACGGGTCGGGTGCAGGCACCCCGGTGCCTCGATCGGGCACTCCACAGCCGGGTGGGCGCACGGAACAGTTCGGGCCCAGGCCAGACATCGATAACGCGAAAATCGCCCAGTTGCTGTCGCTCGATGCAGGTACGCCTGAAGTTTCTGTTCAGTTGAGGGCTCGTAGTGATTTAGATTTGGATTAAATAGACACGCTCGCGATTCAGCCTCTGTCGACGCTTGAAGGCTACTTGGCAGCGCTTCGGGCCCAAACTGCAAACACGTCCGCGCTGCTCTCCCATTTGCTGCAAACTCGGGAAGCGCTGCAGCAGGATTCGGAGACGTACAACGGGCTCATTGCTGAGCTGGTCGGCGAGGCACAGAAGATCAAGACAACTAAAGGTCGGACACCCAGCAGGAAGGGGACAGCGCCATAACCCGATGGCAACATCCGTTGCTTCCATGTGTCTGTTTTTCATCCCGACTCGATATCTCCAGGGATGCATGCGCTCATGGTTCAAGATTCGAAGCAACCCGGCAACGGGTCGTGTGGTCGGAGTTTGGATTAGGCCTGGAGGAAACCATCTATTTTGATAGCGACGTTCTCTGGCCATGCAGCAGAAGACATAGCATAGGGCGATTTAGTCTGTGATGGGCAGTGCATGACATGTTGCTTGACAAAGAGTTTGACCTCCATGCTCCAGGGGATCTTCCGTTGCCACGATTTGAGCATCCCGAACGCAGCAGAGCCGTGCGGCTACAGACCAAACCTCACGGTTTGACTGTTTAATGAACCCGCATGTCGAGACGGTCCTCCATATCGGGTCAATTGCGTCATCAAGAAACCCCACAGTGGGATTTTCACCTGAGGCCGTCAGCAGGCAAAGCAGCGGGTGCTGATCAGTCTGAATTGAGGCAGTACTTGATCTGCTCCGAGGAAAGCTAAGCGGGCAGGGACTCGGAGGAGAAGATGTGCAGAATCCTGACTTTCGGGGGCGAATCGCTAGTCCCGACTGTCCGACACAGATCACAGAGAATCGAAGCAGAGAGTGTTTTTTTTTTTTTTTTGCGGCACGTTTGGAATAACACCTTGAGACCGACATAGGTCCATCTCAAGAATGTCCGTGAATGTGTGACGTAGGAACCAGGACCTCGTCGGCAGTCTGCAAGGTAGGAATGCATTTACGCACGAACGGCAAACGCCGAACAGTGTGGGACTCGATCACCTCGTGATAATACCCACTAAACCTCCTGAAAATACGAGACTTTCATTGGGGATTGAACTCCTGCTTTCACAGGACCCAACGACTTCTGTTTCACACGGAAGCCAAGACCGATGGTGCCGTTAGACCAGGGCGGCCCTGCAGAGAGTGTTTTGTTTGAGAAGCCGACGGTCTTGTCCTGGATGTCAGCCATATGTCCTTGTCTGATTAACCGCGGTCTCCCCTTGGATGATCCTGTAATTAATATCTAACAGGCAGGTCAGGAAAGATGTAGTGGATCATTCTCTCGTTCGCGTCAAGTCTGCGAGGTGACAGCCGTCAGCAAAGCGAGCCAGTTCCGCCGCGGTATAAAATCAGTGAGTATATGTGATGCTGCGAGCAGCCCAAGGCACCTCGAAAACCCATGTGTTACTGGCGGCAGTGAGTCCTACCAGCTCCAGTGCACAATCACAGTCCCGCTGACCCCAAGACCAGAGTGCGAAACCACTACACGCAGTGAGGGCCCAACAAACGTGGGATGAGATGACTCATATATTCACCAGATGTGGGCATGCCATATCCCTCGTTTGTCGCCCTCCTACTCTGACCAAGACCTGATCGATTGAGTTCGCATCGTCTGTAGGTCGACGAGGAGGTGAGTGAAAATTGCCCGACCAAACTGTGCCTTACCACGGCATTGGCAGATAAAATGCGATCTCGTCCGCTGTAAATTCAGCCCCGCACATCCTAAAGGTTGCACCGGCCAAGCGTGCATGAGGACGTGTTGGCAATAGTAAGTCCCGAGAATCCGCTTTGACGAAAGATCTCATAAGACGTTCAGTCACCAATCTCCACAGCAATATTGTGAGTGCTATCGCCGAGCAAATCGCGGATCTCACAGGATGCCTAGCCCCGCACCTAAAGAAGCGCTGCGAGTCCTGCAAGTGATACCCTACCTTCTTGTTTCTGCTCTCTTTTCTCTGCTATTCAGAAGGGGAGGGGCATCAATATATACATTCGTGATAATACACACCCTGGCAGGACGGAAGGGATAACAGTACAGGATACAGCAAGCGAGGATTAATCAGCGTCTCCGATATTGTGCTTTTGTTTCAGTGCAGCGAGTTCTTCTTCTCGTCGAGCCAAATCCGCCTTCGCCGCCGCCGCGTCTTGCTTCGCAGGCATGTGATACAGAACGACGATGTAGCGCTCTTGCAGATGGAACCCATTCAGATGATCGAGGGCGTTCTTCGCCTGAAAATGTAGCACATCAGAAATCGATACCGGGGCCGCGTCCGAGACTCAGCGGGTGCAACGTACATCCAACACATCATCGAACACCACGAACGCCGTTCCCTTGGTTTTCTGCTCATTCCCGATGCGGACTTGGCGGATGGTGCCGTACCTGCCGAAGAGGTCGTACAGGTCTTCGCCGGTGATTTGATAGTTCAGGTTCTTGACGAAGAGAATGCGGTTGGCACCAGGTGGAAGCTTGTAAAAGTTGACCTTTCTGACACATGCCTGGAGCGGTAGAATATACGTACGGCAGGTCTAGCAGCCATTTATCGAGATGTAGGAGCAGTGATGGTCTAATGCGGAATATACGGCGCGACGAGAATCAGGGAAATGACCGAGCTGGAGGTGTAGAGCCTGAACAGTCAAAGCCTGTGGTGGCTATGCCGTTGTATGTGTCCACATCAAACTTCGCAGTCCAAACAACTCTTATCACTCGAAAAAGGAAACTTTTTCGTTTCTCCTGCAGGAGCCAATAAGAGAGCAGCAAAACGCAATCTCAAAGATAAATGAATAAAGCTCCAGACGATATCAATGGCCGGAAGATACGCGAGCGAAACTTCCACTCCATATTACAACCCTTGACATCGTGTAGATGGAGGAAGTGATAGAAGCCTACGGAGCATCTTGAAACAGTGCTTTCGGCGTATGGGCTCACCCGGAAAATGTGATCGGAATTAAGTATACAGCAGCATGTTCAGGAAACACGCTGTGCGGCAAGTTATTCAGCCGTGGAAGAGGCGAGCCACTGACAAATGACTCCTCGGGGAGACACACTGAAACTTCGATTTGCACTGTCGCATGGATTGCATGATACTGACGGAGAAATGCGGCACGCGGAAGAATCTTCGAACATGAGCTTTCGAAGCGGGATAAACAGAACAATCGGACAAGAGTGCCGAATACTGGGTGTGACCCCAAATCAAATAGAGATAGGGGGTGCGAGCCACACAACACGACCAGAGCGCACGCGGGGGAGAAAGCGGTCGGAATGGAACGCAGCTTGTTCCTCTAACACAAAGGTCCCATCTATCTGCTGCGCGTCAACTTGTCCAGCTGGCTACAATCCGTGCCTCCTCTAACGCAGATAACGGTCGCTGCGTGCTTGTTTTCTCCATCGGGGATGGTGCATTTGATGTCTCCGCGTTGGGGCAGGGGCAGTCTACAGGGCTCGGAACGCAGTCCAACGTTGCGGGACAGAGGTATCTGGGACATGAGACTAGGACGGGCAGGTGTATGAGCTCTTGGCAACCCGACCCGAAGTCAAGTAAGGGACGCACCGCTCTCAAGATGTGCTGCCCACTGCGACGCTCCAGACGGCTGCTGCTGCTGGCGATGCTGCTGCTGGAACATTCCGTCGAAGAATTGGAATTGAGCGGCGACCATTTGTATGCCGGTGAGTAAGAGTAGATAGGCTACGGCGCGAAACATATCGACTGCTGGGGGGAAAGCGTCTTGGAAGGGTAGAGTATTGGAATTTGATGGTGAGTCGCGCAGAGACGTGTCAAATTGGTCACGTGTCTGAACGCTCCTGCGTTCGGATGTTCAGGCTGCTTGTCCCGAGCTTCACGATGGCGGAGACTGGCCAGGCACCGCGGGTGCACGATATCCATCTTCTGACTGCGCTACCGACACATTTTGGCATCCTCGGCATCACAATTAAAGACAACTCGACGCAAGCGAGCCTGACCTGGTCCCAGATGCTCCGTTGAAGCCGCATTCTTCTTCCTTCGTGCCAACGATGCATGCAGCGGAGCGAATATTGGATGCTGACGTCCGTAAACGGTACCGGTTCATCCCGACTGGGCGACCAATGAGACCCGGGTGAAGCGAGTGAAGGGCATGCACATTGCTGGTGCTTGATGGGCGCTGTCACCGTGTACCTTGCACTGCTGTCATGGCCCTGGATCTTCGGTGGGCACCGCACGGCTATCCGATTTAAAGGGATTCCCTGGTGGTGTGGTCTGACCCAACCAACGCCTCAAACGCCCTCCAGCCATGAGTGGATTCAAAGTCGAAAATCGCACCAGCGAGAGCGTCCAATGCTCTATCACGAACACCACCGGCGGCAACGCGGAGTGGTTCAACGTCGCTCCAGGGTGCAATGATACGTGGAAAAGGGCAGGGTGGGAGGATGTCAAGTTCCGTGACCCGGCGGATACGAAGTTCAAGTCTCTTCGAGCCAACCGCGGGGAGCCCGCGATCATCTACTTCGACGGGTTTGACAAACCTTTAACTATCGTGAACACCTACCAGCCTGCTGGCTTCAGAGTCAACAACAAGTCGCCGCAGACGGTCATGGTCTCCGTCACCTCCACTACAGGGGGAGACAACGCGCTGTTCAAGCTGGTTCCCGGGCAGTCGGACGTCTGGAGAAGGAACGGATCCGAGACGATTCGTGTCCAGACTGAAGACGGAAGCAAGCATGCAGAAGGCGTCTTCGACAACAAGGGCAAGATGGCGGACGTCAACTTTGTCGACTTCAGTTACAGCCTGGTCTTTCGGACGGGTAACGCGAATTACATTGCTGACGAACACTACGCCGAAGCCGCGCGCATAGCTGGTTCTTACTACGACAAGACTCAAGCCTTGGATTCCCATTTGACTCTGGCTATTCCCAAAGTCGATGCGCTGGAATGCGCGGTTCATGGCATGTCTCTCGTCGGCTGATTACTCAAAGATGCTGAATCACTTTATTCTCACCAGGCCGGAACGAGAGCATCGGAGACTTCAGTCAGATCGACAGACTGGCGCTCGTGATCAATTGCGTGAACTTTGGTGTGCCCGGGCCTGCTGTAGTCGTGGGAGCCAACTCCGAATGGATCAAAGTCGCTGCTTATTGCCGTGTATCTGACAATATGGCCCTGCTCGGATTCCCCGCGAGAGTGATGAGCCAGATATCACCTGGCAATTCAACTCCAGTCGTCGGCTCGCGGCTCCTGGCTCTATCCACGTTCGTAAATGATGCCAATGCTCCTGGCGATGTCATCCCCGGTCCCCGATGTTCGAGTACGACGTTCTCATCGGTCACACAAAGCTCGCTGATAACGCTTCCAGCCCGAGATTATCATATCCTACCTCTGATCGCTCAATTTGTGACAGAGGATACCTGCTCCTCGAAATGGCATGATTTGATGAACCAGATTGACGAGACCTCGTGGTCCAGGGTCGACGAATGTTGGTCAGAATGGAAGGCAAGAGACTTGGAAGTACCCTTTGCACGACGGTTGACCAGTCCCCAGACTAGACACGGCGAAAACACATTTAGACTGGGAGCACCGTCTCGATACAGGAAAGGGCTGCGGGACACGGCAGTATGTAATATCAGGGTCCTTCTCGATTGTCTTCGACGGTTGTGCGTCGTGTATGGCTTCATTCAATAATTCGACATCTCCACTGCGAAAGCCGCGCCCAACTTCATGAAACTTGGTAGATAAGAAACTGTGAATGGTGCAGGGCAAGTGGAACTTACTGCAGCATATGATCGAAGGAAAACTCTGAAGAAAAGTCCATGCGGTCATCGATGCTATGAACATCTGCTCCGCTGAGGTCAGTCAACTGGGTGACGCAGTCAAGAGGAACGCACGGCTGTTGGCATATTTGAATTGTGCTTCGAGTGGATGACAGGCCTGGTACCCAGCCTTGTGCCAGATGAGGTGATCGCTCGTTGGTCCTGCACCGGTAGGGCCGACGGGATATTGCGTTTCGACAATGGGCAAGTCCACTGGAATCAATATGCGTCAATAAAAAGGCAGTCAAGAGCTGAGACCGTCCGTACAGTATTCCTTGGCAAGACTGAACAGGTGCTTGGTCAGCACAGAATCAACTTGGTTAGTGTTGGTAACAATGGCCAATTCTTC